TTTGAGAAACGTTTTTTTTCTGAGGACCACTATGCCAACCAGCGTCAACATCATGGACACTTTAGGGAGAATCTTTTGGCAACAAGAAAATAATATATGTGCTTGAAAAGTGTAAAATCACACCCCCTCCTCAAAAGTGAGAACACAACCCGAAAGGTAATGACAATACAGGTGAATTTTTTGCCTTTTTTTTTTACCACTGCAGAAGGACAATGACAAAACCTACGCTAAGTGCTAATGTACCATTCTCTGGTGTTGAATAAATCTGAAAAACGACAGTCAAGTGTCTTGTTTTTTAGCCAAAAAGGGAAAAGAAATGTCACCATCTGTCCCCATCGTGTCACACAGGCTACAGAAACAAGGGAAAAACTCGTAATGGCTACCTCAGAACAACCAAAGATCACCCAAATTACCTGAGGGTTTTGGGGGGGGACACTTACTACGCCACAAGTACTAGCTAACTAGCTGATTAGCTAGCTAACTAGTTAACTAAAACACAAGTAACAGTCAGAAAAAGGTGCTACTTTCCTCTGCAGGTCCTGTCTGTGGTGTATATTGTGTTTGACAAAACTCCTCTTGCTCATTTTATATTTTTTTTACTGTCACTTGTGCTTTCAGGACCTGTTTTGGTGCTAAATGTCAACACGATGTCTTGTTGTCAATGTGATGCCATTTTTCCTCCCATTAAAGTGTCGGCTGAAGGAAACAAAAAAAGGCTGAATGCGACGTTTACTAAAGATTTGCACTTAATCTGACGTGAGTTAAGTAAGTGGACAGATTGCCGGTTCTTTTTTCCAAACCCCGTCCCTTCCCCCCCCGTTCCCCACCCCCAGCCCCCATAGTCTTTATTTGTGTCTGCGCACGGACCCCCCGACTGTTTCATTCCTTCCACTCGAACCGCAATGCACACCTCCTTTCATTTTTCCTTTTATTTTATTTTTTGTTTTGTTTTTGTTTTGTTTTCATGTGTTTCTAATAAAAGGTTTCTAAGAAAAAAAAATGAAATGAGGCGGCACAAAGAGAGAGAGACAAAAAAAAACAAAACCAAACCACAAACAAGACACTTTAATGGTTCCAACGAGAGGATCTGTACTTATTTTGTACATGTATAATATTTCGAGATGTTTTTAATTATTTTGGATGCTGAAATAAAGCATGTTTTAAGTGGTCACCTGAATGTTCGGCATGTTATCTTCTCGCCCCCGGCCCACCCACCCCCCGCTTGGCTTTCTCTAAACTTTAAATTAAACAATCTATTCTGTCTTCACTCAACTCCATCTTAATTTCGATTTTATTGAATGTACTGTTGTGATTTGTGCAGATGTGTTTGCATGCAGTAATTAATGCAATGTGATCACAAAAATGAACGATGGGCCTCATTCACCAAATTAATTCCTGTCAAATTTCTTCTTAAAACCCACTTACGCAGTTTTCATCCAGAGCACAAAGGTGAGAACAGTTCTGCGCTTTAAGAACGTCATGAATCTGACAGAGACTTTTTCTCAAGAACACACTTAAGAAAAAACATTGGAGAATGAGGCCCATTGTTCTCAGTACATGTAGCACTGGCCATTTTATCAGAAACCCCTCTCTTATAGCTCCACCTTGCTGGTGCTCAGTGTATGTTAGCCATTGTCTAGTCCTTCACCAATGGTCAGTTTCCCTGCTGTGCTGAGAATGGACCGCCACCCAAATAATGTCTGGTCAACAGTGCTCTTGTGGTAAGAAACTGACCAATGATGAGTGTAGAGTGGGCTGATAAACTGTGCAGCACTGAGATAGTGGACTTAAAGGCAGGTAGAGGTCATAAAGAGGTTGAGTTTTAAATATAATAGTGAGAATATCTATAATCTGTGGTACTATATGTATAGTATTTTTTATTTTTTTTGATTATCAAGATCCCTACTAGAAAACCCAGCATAGACAAGCATGATTGGTCATCAACAAAACCAGCATATTTTGCATTTTGGACACTGGTATGCTGGTGATCAACTAAACCAGCACCAGATCATCATAAACCAGCTTAGACCAGCATAGAAGTTTAATCCCAAACTTTTTCAGCTTCAGGAATAAAATAAGAACAGCGCTGAGCAGTCCTGAGGTGGTTCTGACTCAGCTTTGAAAATTCCTGACAGTGAATAATTAACTGAAGTTCTCAGAAAGTCCTGCCTCCGTTAGTTGTTGTTGCTACGTCCATTGAACTTTCAGTTCAGGCTGCTTAGCAGCATCCATAGCACTTGTGCTCACAGACTACTAACCTACAAACAGACCAAATGTTCAGTAGTCCATCCATCCATCATCCATCCATTATCTTAAAACGCTTGATCCAGCTAGGGTTGTGGTAGCAGTTGGGAGAGCAGAGAATCCCAGACGACCCTGTCCCACGCAACTTCCTCCAGCTCATTCGAGGGGACCCCAAGCCGTTTCCAGGCCAACTTGGAGATATAATCCTTCCAGCGGGTCCCAGTCGGCCATGCCTATAAACCTCCAACAGGAGGCATCCAAGGGGCATCCGGATCAGACGCCTGAACCACCTCAGCTGGCTCCTCTCAATGCAGAGTAGTAGTGGCTCTACTCCAAGCTCCTCCCGGACGACCAAGTTCCTCACCCTATCAAGTAGAGTGCAGCCCGCCACCCTCATTCTTTTGGTCATTACCCACAGCTCATGACCATATTTGAGGGTCTGGACGCAGGCCGACCGGAAACAGAGAGCTTTGCTTTCTGGCTCAGCTTCCTCTTCACCACAATCCAGTACAGTGACCGCAACACTGCTGCCGCCTGACCCAGCCTGCGGCCGATCTCACGATCCCTCTTCCCATCACTCGTGAACAAGACCTCGACATACTTAAACTCCTCCACCTGGGGCAGCTCTTCTCCCCTTACTTGTTCAGTAGTACAAAGAAAAATGTAGAAATGCACAGTGAAGAATCTGAGACATTTGCAGACAAACGTGTTTGAGAGCTGACAAAATTTGAATGTGAGCCAATTTAAACCGTGTTTACATTAATCAAACTCGATGTTAAAGCTGCAGGTTTTCGTGTCTCATAATAAGGTTTTAGCGACTGAAGCTGCCCCTTCAGATGCGCTAATTCTAAAGCTAACACTGGGGCTAGCCAGAGCTGTTAGCTGCTGAGGAGAAAACTTTAATAAAATAATGCAAAGAATGGCAGGTATATGAGCGAGTCAGTATTTGTCTTCATACAGAATGTTTTAGCCACTAGTGTGAGCGCTGTACAGTCCTGTTTATCAAGCTGACTGGCTCTGCTAAGAAAAACGAACCAGTAAGCTAACTGATCTTGACATTATTTATCACTAGACATCATATTCAATTATTTTAAGCAGATTACAGTCAGTGAGTCAGTCTGTCTGTTATTAGTTAGGTCACTGAGACTGTTTGTGATTGGTTGAGAGGTCTAGCAGTCAATTGGTCCTTTGCTAGACCCCCTTCCCTTGGTCAATGTTGCTAAGCTACAATTGACCAATTGATATTTAGGAGCGAGTTCTAGTGAAGGGCCCATTTGGGAGACCAGTCGCAGATGGTAGACAGGTTTGGGCCGATTCTGGCTTTCCTGCGTGAGTGCTGGTTGACTACAGGACAGATGTTAGGCATGCGAGCCAGAATAGGGTTAGATGATGTACAGCTGCGTATGGTTTTGCCTCGTGTCTATATTTGTAGACCAATTCTGGCGTGAACTGTAGTTGGGCCAGATTCGGGCCACATTCGTTAGTTCTACTCATTAGCGGCGTGTGGGCCAGATCTAGGAAGAGGACCCAGTTGTATATCGGGCCAAAACAAACTCAAGGATGTGGCCCTCAATTGGGCCAGAAGAATTTTGCTAACTGGGATGTATTGCTTGAGTTCAGTGAAGTGGTGAAGCCACCATGTAAATAGAATATATCGCAGGTTTAACTTGGACTCGGCCACTCCTCATCGAGTGCGTTTACATGCACTTAATAATCTGATTTCTGCAGTTATCTGATTTTTCAAAGGGTCATATAAACAGCACACTCAGATTTCTTGGAACAGAGTAAGTTCTAGAAATCTGATCAAGAAATCAGATGAAGAGAGCTGGAATTTAGCTCAGTAATCAGATTACTCAGTGCATGTAAACTAGTACTCTGATTTCCTTCATATTTCATAGTCTGCGCATGTGCGAAAACAGACGGCAGCACCAGAAATAAGCGAGCAGCGTTGCAGCAAAACACTTTTGGCATGACACTGAAACCAAATACATGCTTTACAAAATGAAGGACTTAAATATTCTATATGATGTATGTTCACATTTTCGAGTAAAGTGACTTGATGTTTTAAAAAAAGCCACATCATGAAGTTTTGAGTTTTATATTAAGATTACATCATGTCATCTTCTGTGAGTTTATTGGCTGGTTGTAAAGCAGAAATCTGATTACTGTGTGACTCATGGAGATCCTGGAGTTTCCCCATTATCTGATTACGATAAGTCCATGTAAACACATTGATCAGGTTACTGGCAAAATCTGATTTTCTGCAGTTATTGGATTCTTAAGTGCATGTAAATGCACTCAATGTGTTATTAGCCTTTAGGAGGGAAGGAGTTTTGTGCTTTAAAATTTTTGGAGCTGGATTTGTTTTGCTTGAGGCCCATTAATATCTGTGTCACTATGATAGATAATATTTGCATGTGGTTTTGGGAGACAGAGGAAAGGAGGAACAGTCAGCTTCTGACCAATACATTTATAGAAACACCTGTACAGAGGCACTGGAGAAATCTGTTGGAATTTGGGGAAATTATTCAAATACTTTTTCCTTTTAGTATACTTTTTTCCTTTTTTTCAAAAGGTTTTATTGTATTTTTTTCAATATGAAGATAGAAACACAATATATTTCCACTTTTAAACAACATGCAGCGATACACATCGAAAACAGATCATCTGTGCACTACAAGCCACACAGTATGACACATACAGTACAGTCAGTTTGTCCATAACATCAGGGTTATTTAATAAATGCACTAAAGTAAAAGATCAGAAATAAAGGAAACAAATATTTCTTCATTGTTCATCATCTGCAGTTAACACAGAGAAAAGAAACTCCACAGCAAATATGTTCCTGAGATTTGTGCTTTTATTTCCTATGAAGCAGAAGAGAGAGAAATATTTAATATTTATACAAGCACCAATTCTACACTGAATATTTACATGAAACAAACTGAAGAAAATAGCAATGGACGTACGATGCATATTTATTTTTGTTTTGGATTAATTCAGTTGTATTAGGTCAAAATCACACGTGTTGATTTTCTAAGTGTAAATAAGTTACACATCCTCTACAGAGACACACTTCTGCACATTTTAACACACAATTACTGTTTTTTACTGAGGGGGAAAAATAAACCATAAAATCTGGCCTGTACAAAAGTTATGGCACTTTATATGTTTTATGCTTTATTTTCCAATATGTTAAACTAACTAAATAAAAGTAAATAAAAAGAAATTGTGCTCTAAAATTAGCAGAAAATGCTGTATTTAAGTTTCTCATATGGCAAAAAATATATGTACACATATTTGCTCATATTCAAAATTTTATGTGGACTATATGTGACATGTGTCTGATGTTTTAAAGTATATTTGCTAAATATTTTTAGAGTATATTTGCTAAATATTTTGTCATGTTAAAATATTAACATATATGCCTATTTATTCACATACATGTCACTCTATTGAAATGTGCATATGTAGATGAAATATATATGTAATAGTGTCATATTTTTTAGATAAATGTCAAACATATATAGAAATATTTTAAAAACTTTCGACAAATGGGTTGTACATATGTTGTTCCCTGAATAGGATGTGTTAACTTATTTTGACTCAAAGCTCAAATATCACAATCTAATTAAATTGTAAATTAATTAAATTCTAAATTAATCTGTTTACAGTGCTTACCTGGGCAGTGTGTCAACATTGGGCTCCCTGTGAACACAAAAAAGCAATGAATTACACTAACTACTTAGTATAGCTACTCAAAATACTGTTACCAGCTACAGTAGTAACAGTAAGTATCAACGTTTCGGTACAGCAACTCATAGAAGGGTTTTCCTTATTTGTTATTATTTTTTCACATTTTAGAGCAACAGTGAAGGCATCAAACCTATGAAATAACATACAGAATTTTGCATTGAGCAAAAAATCTAAAGTGTAAATGAACATCAAACTAACAAAAGTTAAAGTTCTCTAAAAGGTCATTTGGGGGTCTCAGCCTAATCAGTGTGCACCTTTATTCATGTTGCTTTTGAAGACTGTTACTAACTGTGATGACTACCGACAACTTTTTTACAATTATCAAATACAATTTTACATAAGCAGAGCAACAAACATTACCCAACATTTAATTCTGTACCACACACACTGATTTTTATTCACTGATGACCGTCACTCACGATCCTTCAGTAAATTAAAGCACTTTAACCTGACAAAAGTTATAGAGAATTTTGGTGAAGTCACCATTACGATTATAATTGGACACTGCACTGTTTCACATTATGTATATTTTGTAAATGTATACTGTGTGCCTACGAAAGCAGGATTAAGCTAACTTAAAGCACAGTTTAAGGTTGCCTGGGGTTTTAAGATACAACCCTGTTTCTAAAAAAGTCAGGACGCTGTGCAAAGTGTAAATACAAATAGAGTGTAATGATATGCAAATAATTTATGCCCTATTTTTAATTAAAAATAGTACAAAGACAACATGTGAAATGTTAATTTTATTGTTCTTTGAAAAATATGTGCCCATTTTAAATTTGATGCCAGCAACACGTTCCAAAAAAGTTGGGACGGGGGCCTGTTTACCACTGTGCTTCATCACCTCTTCTTTAACAACACTCTGTAAGCGTTTGGGAACTGAGGAGACACTGCTGTAGTTTAGAAAGTGAAATGTTTTCCTGTTCTTGTTTGAAACAGGATTTCAGCTGCTCAACAGTTCAGGGGCTCCTTTGTCGTATTTTTCGTTTCATGATTTGCCAAGTGTTATCAGTGGTGACAGATCTGGACTGCAGGCAGGTCAGTTTAGCCTTTTTTAGCCTTTAGACTCTTTTTATATGGAGCAATGCTGTTGTAATACGTGCAGAATGTGGTTTTACATTGTCTTGCTGAAATAAGCAAGGCCTTCCCTGAAAAAGACATCATCTAGATGGAAGCCTATTTTGCTCCAAAACCTGAATATATGAGGATGCAGCATCCACGATCTCCAAAAGGAATTTCAAATTCTGATTTTTTGGACGACAGGACACTTTTCCACTTAGCCTCAGCCTATCTTACACAGGCCTGAGCCCAAAGAAGGCAGCAGCGTTTCTGGATCCTGTTTACATACGGTTTCTTCTTTGCATGGTAGAGTTTTAACTTGAATTTGTGGATACAGTGACGAACAGAAGGTGAGGGTCCGAAATGACGGTCAGCCAATATTGTTTTTCGGCCTTGTCCCTTGCATACAGAGATTTCTCCAGATTCTCTGAATCTTTTAATGATATTGCGTACTGTAAATGATGAAATCCACAAGTTCTTTGCTATTTTACGTTGAGAAACGTTATTCTTGAATTGTTGCACACACAGTCTTTCACAGAGTGGTGAACCCCTCCTCATCTATTCTTCTGAAAGATTCAGCCTCTCTGTGATGCTATTTTTGTACCAGGTCATGTTACTGAGCTGTTGCCAATTAACCACCAGATCTTTTTTTTTAGCATTACACAACTTTACCTTCTTCTGTTGCCCTGTCCCAACTTTTTTGAAATGTATTGTTGGGATCAAATTCAAAATATTTTTCAAAAACAATAAAACTTTTCAGTTTCAACATTTGATGTATTGTCTTTGTACTATTTTCAGTAAAATAGCATTTAAATTATTTGCACATCATTGCTTTTTGTTTTTATTTACATTTTGCACAGTGTCAGCGTTTTTGGAAATAGGGTTGAACAATATGGCTGGAAATGACTTCTTCTCTCTACATTTCAATGCTAATCCTGATTTGTGAATTCAGATGACATCCTCCACTGTTCCACAGATTTACAGTCGACAGAATCCTGAATCACGAACTGCAAGCTCTCGTTATCACGGCACCTGAGCTACTGTGACAGAAGCTGCGGACTCACTGTTGGGCCATGATAAGAGGGATGTGGACGCTGTCAGAGGGATACTGAGGGGGCGCCGTCTCGCCGGTGCGGGCGTTAAACATGGGCAGCGTGGAGAGGGGCTGTGGTACGCCGGACCGACCGTCCGCCATCGTCCTCAGCTCACTGGTGTTTCCGTGGATGGTGTGATGATGGTACAGCTGGATTCTGAGAGTGAAAGATGGGGATAAAGTGTGAAAGAGGACGTATTGGTGCAAGATACTGACAGATAAACAGAGTAGAGAAGATAAGAAGCATACTGTTCATTTACTATTACTGTTGATTATGTACTGCATGTATTTATTATACACTGATTATGCACTCAGATACATTGCCTGTCCACTTTATCAGAAACACCCTTCCAGAAACAATGCTAGAAGAAGGAATGGGTGTAGTTGTGTTGTGTTACGTACTCTGAAGTCATGGCATCTCGTTTCTGACTGCAAAAGCAAAGAAACAGAGAAAGTAAGTGTACATTCACAGTCACAGAGCCTCCTCACAACTTTTTTACTCTGATGATAGTTAAACTCTAAACCAAACTCCAAAAATACTCATTAAAAAAACATACACCCCCCCATTCAATACAGTTTTAACATTGCCTCAGATATAACTAATTAGCCTAGATTAAAGGGCTAAACAAGCTTTATATAAAGTCTGTTTTTTGAGGACTTAGAGCATAATTAGCATTAACTTTGCCTGTAATTGCTTCGCCTGGCCTAGTGTTCAGTTTTAGAATAAGAATCGTGATGCACTGCCCTAGCTAGCAGTGTTTACTGTGTAAAGCCCAGTTTGAAGGTAGCAAATCAAAATAGTAAGCACTGCATCGTCTTTCTGAAGGCCACCTAGTGGCCAATCCGCTGGCAGAATGGAAATCGACTTGGATATTTGTAATGAATATAATTAAATAAAATATTTGTCCTTGTAACTCTGTTATCAGATGGACTGGGACTCTGTTGCCTCTCCGTGTGTGAATGCTGTTGAGCTGCTAGTGAGCAATGAGGGGTGAAAGTGGAGGGCTGAGACCCTCCTGCTGAATAGAAAGTAGAATTTGAACACAATAAAGACAATTTTATGAATATTGATGTGTTTGCTCACTTATGAAGGTGAAAATTAAGTTTCTGGTTTTTTACGTTTCCACAGAAATATATTCCATCAACATTACCGAAGGACAAAATGTGAATTTTAACCTCCAAAACAAGTGTAAATTGTATTTTATGGCCGCTATGAAAAGGATTAAAGTATTTTATTACTCTACCTTCTAAGCAGTTTTGTCAGACTATTTTTAAGGCTTGAAAAATGAACTGTGTCAGGCCTTTTTGTGTTCATTCTAATGCCAAACTCTATGTAGATTCAGGCCCTCACCACTACAAGAGGTCATCTTCCAAACCTTATTTGAGCTGATGCTGTAACTGCACAGCCCTTAAAGTGGTCTCAGGTCTTCCCCTGAGGGTAGATGGCAGGACTAAGTCAACAAGGGCATGTCAAAAACAGCACTGAAATGGGGGGACATGTTTGACCAGAATGCACTTACACTCCTTCCCTCCTGCAGCACATCACGTACGCTAGAATGAGGCAGAGGATGAGAGCAAGAGCGAAGGGAATGATTACGGTGATGATGTAGTCGGGGATGAAGTCTCTCTCAGGCGGAGAGTCAGGGGGGTTAAACTCTCCACCCCAGGCCAGGATTCCTGAACCAATAGTCGGGGCTACAGGAGGAGGCACAGGCCTGGACAAATCAATCTGGCAAATGAAAAGAGGAAAAAAAATTGTTGAATATCATTTGATTACACAAAAACACTAGTAAGGCTAGCCATAAGTGAAAACCATCGAGTGTAATTGGCTTGTATGATGCTGAGTGGCCCCTATTTCATCATTACTAGTGACATTTTTGTGTGAAATATTCTGGACCAAGCCTAACGAAGGCACTTGGTTATTCAAAGGTAAATGCTTTACGTTCAGTGTACATTCATTCAGTGTACTAGAGACATGTACTGTGCTTCTACTAACTGGCCACTTTTTTGGAAATACCCACCCTGTGCTCCCACTAACTGGCCACTTTATTGGAAACACCCACATTGTGCTTCTGCTAACTGGCCAGTTTATCGGAAACACCCACCCTGTGCTTCCACTCACTGGCCACTATATTGGAAACACTCACCTAGTGCTTCCACTCACTGGCCACTTTATTAGAAACACCCACCCTGTGCTTCCTCTCACTGGCCACTTTATTGGAAACACTCACCTTGTGCTTCCACTCAGTGGCCACTTTATTGGAAACACCTGCCTTGCACATCCACTCACTGGCCACTTTATTGGAAACACCTGCCTTGCGCATCCACTCACTGGCCACTTTATTGGAAACACCTACTTTGTGCATCCACTCACTGGCCACTTTATTGGAAACACCTACTTTGAACATGCACTCACTGGCCACTTTATTGGAAACACCTACCTTGTGCATGCACTCACTGGCCACTTTATTGGAAACACCTACTGTGTACATGCACTCACTGGCCACTTTATTGGAAACACACTCCCTGATCCGGCGATAACTCTAATTTACCAAAAGTTGTTGCTTTACAGGTGTAATTTTGTGTCACTTATAAATAACACCACTGCCTTTCACAGGGCAGGCTGGGGTTCAGTTCCCTGTCTAGGGAAGCACATCATGCTACAACAATAAAAGTCCTTGGGCAAGACTCCTAACGCTCCATCCGCCTACCACTATAACATGATTAAAACTGTAAATGTAATACACTTACCAGCGTTGATTTGCACCAGGTTATGCAGTCGGCAGGGATGGTGCAGACGCTGCAGTCTCCGCTGATTTTACCACCGGCTTCACACTCTCTCTGGTGCGCTGCTGTCTGCAGCCTCCGCAGACATTTAGAGTAGGGCTGATCTGAGCCCAGCTTCACATACACACTGATAAACACACAGACACAACGCCAGCATATAGGCTTAAATGTTCCGGTAGTGACAATTTTAGCACATTTTGAGCACAAACTCAGCCAGTACATGACCACAAACACAGCTCTGAACAGCTGTTCACACAGAAAATCATCATATTGTACATTAAAACACTAAAAAGTGCTGAACTGCAGAAAATATGACGATTCTTAATGTTCCACACTGATTTACAGACTTTGGGACTCATTTACTTCAAAACAATGCGATCTAACTGCTCACCATGTGGCCATGAGGGACAGGGATGCAGCCTCACTTCCTGCTCTGAAATGCAGGGTTGTGGCTAAAATAAGGCCCCGCCCACATACTAAAACTCTGTGTTTCGGTAGTGACATGAAAATGTGGAACAGCATTTTCAGAAGTTTAAAAAATAGTTTTAATAAACTTATGATAAATCTGAATCTTTTAATTGAACTTTAAAGGAATTCAAAAGACATTAAATAAATAAAAATAAATACAAAAATGTTTGATAAATATATTAATATATTAGATAAACATATTAAGTAAATATATTTTGTTTATTACTATCTCTGTTAATGTTTTGGGTTTAAATAGATCATAACGTCACCCTTGCAAATATTTAAGGAGTGAATACTCCTTATCTCAAGCAGGGTTTTATGGTGTTTCCTAATCTTATTCCCCCATATGAAAACAGAATATCCCATTATGTTGTCAATATAATCCAAATAAATGACATTTTAATGAATGTCTTTTATATAAGAGTTTGGGTTGTATGTTTGTGTTTGTGTTTATGTTTGTGTTTATGTACTGTACTGTTTGATGACGTTTTCCTCATGATCATCAAAGTTTTAAGCAAAAAAAAAAAACTGATTAGACTGACCCCTCGTAGTGCCCAGCCAGAGGCAGGGGGACACGGCCACCCCGGTCCAGGGCGGAGGTGATGTTGACGTAGTCCAGCCTTTCAGTGCCCCACATCAGCTGAATGTCCTGCTTTATCTGATTCTGAACTTCAGAGGGCAGCACCTTCTCGATCTCCCTCAGCTCAATGAAGAACTCGGCCTGGTAGGGCATCAGTTTGACTGGAAGAAGAGAAATGATTTTAGTTTTGTTCACTGATTTTCGATTATTAACTTTATTGATTTCAAAGCTTCACTATGATTTTCAATGACTGTGTTTGAAAATCTACTTTGCCCTGCTATAAAATACAGCACTGTTTAGCTGGTCACCTATCAGGGCATTGCTGGTTGACCAGCATATCAGCATCCAAAAAACAATGTATGCTGGTTTTGCTGCTTTTTCTAGCAGTGTTGCTTGTATTTATTATTGAAAATGCATTTGTTAGATGTATTTTAAAGTGCATTTTAAGTGTATTTTCTAAACATGTTTATCAAATATATTTTTGCAATGTATGAAAATGGGCAAAAAATGTATGTCATTGCTGTCGGACCAAAACCTCGTATCTCCAAAATGGTAACTTTACAGGAGAAGGGAAAAACTTACTTCACTTTTAATGTAAGTCAATGGAAAAGTAATTTTGGGCCGGTTTTTTAGTCCATTTCTTTTCAGATTTGCACACAATGTAAAGAACAGTAGGTTTTTTTCAAATAATGTCAAAAACAAAAAAACGACACAAATGGAGATTCAAGGTTTTGATCTGACAGCAGCGAAATGCTAAACAGTGCATTGATCAGTTTGTGTTATTATCAGTGTTGAGTTGTGTAATGAAGGTTCCAGATGTACCTAAACGTACTGACTGTGATCTGCACTGTACTTTACATTAACCATGTACGTCTGCAGTCAGACTCTCACACACAATGTATTTCACATAAACAAGATATCAGATCATAACTGCATTTTCACAGAGTATCAATACCCACAACACTCGCTTCTGTCCTTTTAAAGGATCATTAGATCAGATTTAAAATGAAGATACTGGAACACAAATTCATTTCAGACAGTGAAGAGCATCAGAAAGGATTCTGGATACTTTCACACATTTTCAAATGGATTTAATAAACACATTTACATACATTTATATTTGTCTATGTGTAATATTTCCCCATACATTTTAAAATATATTTGGTTAATATGGCAAAATATTCTGAAACATATTTTAGTGTTTGGAATGTGCACCGATCAGGTATAACATTCTGACCACCTCCTTGTTTCTACGCTCATTGTCCATTTTATCAGCTCCACTTACTACATAGGTGCACTTTGTAGTTCTACAGTTACAGACTGTAGTCCATCTGTTTCTCTGATACTTTGTTATCCCCCTTTTACCCTGTTCTTCAGTGGTCAGGACCCCCATGGACCCTCACAGAGCAGGTACTATTTGGGTGGTGGATCATGCTCAGCACTGCAGTAACACTGACGTGGTGGTGGTGTGTTAGTGTGTGCTGCGCTGGTCTGAGTGGATCAGACACAGCAGTGCTGCTGGAGTTTTTAAACACTGTGTCCACTTACTGTCCACTCTATTAGACACTCCTACCTTGCCGGTCCACCTTGTAGATGTAAAGTCAGAGACGATAGCTCATCTGCTGCTGCACAGTTTGTGTTGGTCATCCTCTAGTCCTTCATCAGTGGTCACAGGACGCTGCCCACAGGACACTGTTGGCTGGATATTTTTGGTTGGTGGACTATTCTCAGTCCAGCAGTGACACTGAGGTGTTTAAAAACTCCAGCAGCACTGCTGTGTCTGATCAAATATATAAAAATACCCGTCCATATTTTTTTCCATATGGGCCTATAGCTCAGTGGCTTGGCTAGTTGACACCACAGAGATTCCCAGTGGTCGTATGATGCATCTGCACATGTGTAGTGCAGGAAAAAGTAGTGAGAGAACATTATTAAACAAAAAAATCACAGACAAACAATACTAAGTGGCCAAACTGATGAGGCTGAGAGACACAATGCTGCGCTGAGGAATACTGCATAACATGGGGAATATATTCAATTCTAATTTTAGGCTGGAATTCCCCTTTAAGAATGGAGTTAAACCAGAACAAGGAGTTTCACACTGGATTTACAAAGAAGCTCCACTGCAATTAATCATTTGCAATTGCCAACAACACGTTCATCCTAACTTCCGTCCATCATCAGTCACGTACCTGCAGGCCCCACGTTTATGACCAGACGCTCCTTGAAGGTCTCGTAACTTCTCTTATTCGTCACAAAGATCTCATAGGAAAAAGGAAGAAGCATTAGAGTGAATCTCAGGGAGATGAAGGAAGGACACTGTCCTTTACTCGGTCATATTAAAAGGTTCTATAAAATAAATATGGGAATATCTTTATGATGTTTGGTTGATTATTAATTACATATTCTACATTCCTGTCATATGTGATGAAGGTGCTGTACCTCTATAATGTTCTTGCCCAGGTCCTCCTGCAGCGGGGTGCCGTACAGGAAGCCGTTGTCGTACGGGTGACGCTGGGTAAAGCGCAGCCAGCGGGGCAGGTCTGGGAACAGCTGCCTGTTGCACTTGAACACCATGGGGTCATTATATACCCTCCCTGTGTGTCCAGGACAAAGGGTTTTTAATGAATGTACACGTCCAGTCCACTTTATTGGAAACCCCTCTATTGTAGCTCCACCTTGCTGGTGCAGAGTTAGAGACTGTAACTCATCTGATGATGCGCAGTTTGTGATAGCCATTCTCTAAGCCCAGTTTCTGACCACAGAGCTGCTCTCGGCTTGATGATCATCACCAAGTGGCCAGTGAGTGGAAGTACAGGTTGGGTGTTTCTAATATAGTGGCCAGTTAGTGGATGCAAAAGGGATGCATTTCTAATAAAGTGGCCATAAGTTCATGCACAAGGTGGGTGTTTCCAATAAAGTGGCCAGTAAGTGGAAGTACAAGGTGGGTGTTTCTAATAAAGTGGCCAGTGAGTGGGAGCACAAGGTGGGCGTTTCTAATAAAGTGGCCAGTAAGTGGAAGTACAAGGTGAGTGTTTCTAATAAAGTGGCCAGTTAGTGGGAGCACAAGGTGGGTGTTTCTAATAAAGTGGCCAGTAAGTGGAAGTACAAGGTGAGTGTTTCTAATAAAGTGGCCAGTTAGTGGGAGCACAAGGTAGGTGTTTCTGATAAAGTGGCCAGTGAGTGTAATAGTATATTTTGTCCAGTCCAGCTTACCGTAGATTTTGAGGAAAGGCTCAAATTCATTCTGGAAAGTTTCTCTCTGTAGCTCATGCACGAACAGCTGGCCTACAGGAGCGTACGCTATAATGTCTGCCTGGACCACCAGCAGGCTGACCACAGTCACTGTGGAGAGAGCAGCACTGCTTTAGACGTACAGGCCTGTTAAATAAACACTAAACACAGCAGTAAAAGGCTGCCTGTAGAAATGAACATGCAATTCATGCACTCCTGTGTCCAGATTTGGGATATGAACTGACTTGTGTATGTTTAACAGTCATTATTAGTACTGATCCAGTGACATAATAACATGTTCTCAGAAGATCATCACATGAACAATAATTATAATAATAATTTTCATTTATATAGCACTTTTCATGCTGGTGGCATCTCAAAGTGTTTAACAGACAGGTGATACAGCTTAACAGTAATACAGGAAATTATAAGTATTAATTCAGAATCATATAAGAAAATGACACAGATCAAATTAGAGATAAACACCATGAGACGTAGAGTTTAATGAAGCTCTGAGTTAAAGAGCTGAGGTGTTTATTAAAAGTGAGCTCTGAGCTCGACTGTCTAATAAAAGCTGAACTGAGCTCCACAGTTTAGAAGCAGAACAACTGAAAGAGTCTCTCTGTTTTCTGTGTTTTACTGAAGGTGTTTGTAGTTTAGTATCTGCAGATCTAAGATCATAAAAAGACAGACACTCTGTGATGTAAGTGTGTGTTGGGCCATTTAGAGCCTTAAAAACTAGTAGCAGAACTTTAAAATCTATCCTGAACGATACAGGTGGCCAGCAGCTCTTTCACTGGCTACCTGTATTATTCTTTTCTAATCACACAACAGACCGACGTACTGATGCATTTCATGTCTTATTGATATTTTATATATGATATCGACTCCTGTTCATTTTTGACATGGACATACTGAAGTCAACAGTAACATAATATGACATACACCAATCAGGCATAACATTCTGACCACCTCCTTGTTTCTACGCTCATTGTCCATTTTATCAGCTCCACTTACTATATAGGTGCACTTTGTAGTTCTACAGTTACAGACTGTAGTCCATCTGTTTCTCTGCATACTTTGTTAGCCCCCTTTTACCCTGTTCTTCAGTGGTCAGGACCCCCATGGACCCTCACAGAGCAGGTACTATTTGGGTGGTGGGTCATTCTCAGCACTGCAGTAACACTGACGTGGTGGTGGTGTGTTAGTGTGTGTTGCGCTGGTCTGGGTGGATCAGACACAGCAGTGCTGCTGGAGTTTTTAAACACCTCAGTGTCACTGCTGGACTGAGAATAGTCCACCAACCAAAAATATCTAGCCAACAGCGTCCTGTGGGCAGCGTCCTGTGACCACTGATGAAGGACTAGAGGATGACCAACACAAACTGTGCAGCAGCAGATGAGCTATCGTCTCTGACTTTACATCTACAAGGTGGACCGACAAGGTAGGAGTGTCTAATAGAGTGGACAGTGAGTGGACACAGTGTTTAAAAACTCCAGCAGCACTGCTGTCTGATCCACTCAGACCAGCGCAACACACATTAACACACCACCACCACGTCAGTGTTACTGCAGTGCTGAGAATGATCCGCCACCCAAATAGTACCTGCTCTGTGAGGGTCCATGGGGGTCCTGACCACTGAAGAACAGGGTAAAAGGGGGCTAACAAAGTATCAGAGAAACAGATGGACTACAGTCTGTAACTGTAGAACTACAAAGTGCACCTATATAGTAAGTGGAGCTGATAAAATGGACAATGAGCGTAGAAACAAGGAGGTGGTCATAATGTTATGGCTGATCCGTGTATATATCAGCCTTAGTGTAGCTACATTTATAATACACACTCAGTGGTCTGTCTAAAGGCCCATCTCTGTTACACAGCAGCTCCATGTTCAGACTGACTCTACCTCTGCATTATTACTGATATTTATCAGAACAGTAAAAAGAAAAAGTTTATATACTTGCCTGCGAGTGTTAAAGCCCAGCTCCCCCCGACTGCCATTTTGTTTTGAGCCTTGACTGACAGGACCAGTTGGAAAAAGACAGTGGACTCTCCGCCTGGGTCTGAAAGCTGAGGGGGGCTATTTTTGCCGCACGCGTCAAACCATGACCCACCAGTGAACGTACACTCTTTTATTCTCTCTCTCTCAAAGGCTGCGGGGACATTTGTCAGCTTCCTATGAGCTTTTTTTCCACCTAACACAAAAGTGCTAATTTAATAACCTGAGAAACAAAGTGAGGGCTAAAGATTCCGCAGAGGTCACTGAGGTCATTGTTAAAGTTACAATTCCACCCATTTTTTAAACTTTCTGATTGATCACATGGTTGATTATGTCACACTCATCATGTGGTCATTCAGAGTGGTTTGGTGTGAAACGCTCTGTTCTAGATAAACTCACAGAGTCAGAATTGTTCACAGTGGAGGTGATAGGAACCAGACGTCCACCTCTAAAAGCTCCCTCACAGAAAGTTCTTACATGAAATGGTTATGAATTCACTGCCTGATGACTGAGACACTGTTTTATGATAGTTTTGAGAAGATTTTGACATCAAATGTATCTTTTTTATGATTTTTATAAATAAACACATATTAAATGCAGTTAAAAGGTTGACAAGTTGAAGTAATGCCATTATATACACTCTTAAAAGTGCTGGTGCTTCAGGGTTTCCTTAGTAAAGAAAATGGTTTGGTATAGAACCATGAACACTTAAAGAACCCTTTGCATGATTAATTGGTTCCGTGCATCATGAAAGGATTCCTTGGGTTGATGGAAAATGTGCATAAATGTGCTATAGACGGTTCTATACAGAAGCTTTTTGAAAAGGGTTCTATATAGCAGCCAAAAGGCTTCTTCTATTGTTTTAAGCTTGACACCGTAACAATAGAAGAAACCTTTTGCATGCTATATAGAACCCTTTTCTAAAAGTCCATCTGTCCATCAATCTGAAGAACGCTTTCATGATGCAAAGAACCCTTTAATCATGCAAAGGATTCTTGAAGTGTTCCTGATTCTATAAAGAACAATTTTCTTTACTAAAGAACCCATTAAGAACCATCTTTTTGAAGAGTATACTGTAAGGAAGAATATGTGAAAAAGAGGGGAGGACAACAATAATAAAAAAATTTGATAATTTAAATGAACAAATAATTAAATACATACATATTTATTTACCCATATGACGCAGGCAGCACAATACAGCATAAACAGAAGAAAAACTTACCCATAAATACAAAATAAATCCAATAACAATAAAAAAGCCAGAAAGTTCATGAGGTAAGGGGTCAAATATTATCTTTTTGTTCTGTTTTCATTCGAACACAGTTCAAACAATACTGACCAGTCACTGATTTCATATACTGTCCCAATTAACTGCATCGAAGCGCATAAAGATTAGTGTATTATTTATTTAATCATACATTACTGATGTGGCAGACAGATATAAAAACACTGACTTTTTCCTTGAAGGAATGTAAGTCACCACTGACCCACAGTCAGAGATACTAACGCTGACCTGAACAGCAGCAGTTGTCAGAATGCGCCACCAGATGGCGCCAAATCCACAAAAAAGAGCTGAGGACGCTTCCTTAAATCCAGAAGACGCTCTCTCACTTCTCTTCGTGTTAAATAAATATTTCGCTTTTAATAAAACAGGAATTTTAGTTTTACACCTACTTAATAAACACTCGGTCGATTTCAATAAAACGACTGCTCAAGAAAATCCTCTAACGTGGAATCATACATTTAATTTCTTAAATTCCAGCCTTAATTTCACGCTATTAATCTATAGATTCCCCTCTAAAGAGGATTTTAAGAAAAGAAGTCTGCATAATTAGGTGGTTAAGATGTAAACACAGTCGTTCAGAGAAACTTAACAAATCAGAATTGTTCACAGTGGTGGTGATAGGAACCAGACTGTAGTTCTGATAAAATACGCATATAAAAGTTACACATTTATAATACATGCTGAATAAATTAAGTTGAAAGAACCCTTTCATTTGTACCAGCTTACAAATGTACAGCAATATTTTCAAAACAAATATTTATACTCAAGATGGTTCCAATATCTTGTGGAATCCATGCCATGAGAACTGTTTTGAGAGCAAAGGGAGGCCCACCCAGCATTACTGTAGTGTTCCTAATAAAGTGGTCAGTAAGTGTACATTCACACGTTCCCTGAGCTATTTCTGTTACGGGGAATTCCACCAATTTTTCAAAACTTCTGCATAGTTCAGTCATCAAGATATTAACTAAGTCATTTGGATGGTTTTGTCTGAAATGCCTCACTGTAGAGAAACTTCCCTTCGAAAAAAAACCAAAAAAAACAGCACAGACCAGATTAGACAAGTATGAAATAGTCTGTGCTGTTTTTTTTCCGAAATTATGGTTTATGCTGGTCTGGCTCTGGTTTAGCTGGACACCCCAGCATGGTCATGCTGGTTGACCAGCATACCAGCATAAAAATACAACATATGATGGTTTGGCTGGTGACTAGCTTATCAGCCTCCATTGCTTCTGGCCAGCATACCAGCACCCAAAACACAACATACGCTGGTTATGCTGGTGACCACTCATGCTGTTTTTTCTAGCGGAGTACTTCACAGTTGTGGTGTTAGGAATCAGGTATTGTTTTCAGTGCAAATATAATTATATTATTTATTTACAATCCAAAACCACTCCATGAGTCTCCATGAGTCTTCTGAATGTAACAATGATGATGTTAAAATGGGGGTAAATCTGGGCAGAAAAAAGAGTTTTACTGGGGACTATTTTGCCACTTTGGACGTCTGGTTCCCATCACCACCACTGAACAATTCTGACTCGGTACGTTTCTTTACAACAGAACATTTCACACCAAACCACTCTGTTTACATCTCAAACAATACATGAATTTCGAAAAATCGGCGGAGTTCCCCTTTTAATCGACACTCCTCTTCCTTTAACGCTGGAATTGGTGAGTCGCGTAACTTCGGGGAAGTACGGTAAAAGAGAAAAACGAGTGAAACAGGTTTAAAGTGCGCTTTTATCAGAACGCAGCGGTAAACCCGTGCAGGCTGGACTTGGCATCGGACACAGAAACAGAAAGAGAGGTCATTTAATGCGGTGGACAACGATGGATGGCTGGCAGATAATCAGTGGTGTCGCCGGTGACTTGTGTGTAGTATTTTAAGGGCGATTAGCGTCGGGCTGAAGCCAGCGCCGCTGCAGCAGCTGTGTGAGCGCTATATAAGACTGTGCTGCTCTGCTGTGCAACAATAACAGCACTAACAGTCGATACGGGTGTGTTTATTCTCTTAAGACGACCCGGAGAACCTGTAGTGTCTGTATTTCGTAGGATAGCGGTCCGCTTTCCCCTTCGAGCTTCATTTTCCGTTTATATGTGACAGAAGTGAGGATGAAGAAGAGAGAAGTGCTCGGAGAGACACACACCGCTCCTCATCTGCTGTGTTGTGGTGAGTTAAGGCACTTTAACCATCACCATCAGACCGAGCTGAAGCCATTTAGCTTCCTATTTCTACTCCAATTTCCCCGTTCCACCTTAAATGGTGCAGCAGTTCCGTTCTGTGTGTAATTCAGAATGAATTCGGAGCGTAACTGCGGCACCATTTAAGGTGGAACGGGGAAATTCGAACTCCAGCCTCGCCGCTATCGGTCGGTTCTGAATCGCTCTGAAAGTGTATGAAGTGGTTTAATCTCGTCTTTTTTAGCTGGAGAGACTTTGTTTTAGTCTCTTTTTGACCGGAACACAAAGTTAATGTCGTTTACAAGTAGCTACTGACGTTAGCTAGCCTAGCTCAGCTTTGTTTTGGGTCTGAGGTGCTAACAGCTGGTAGAGATGGACGATAACATCGATGGCATCGATAACATCGGCTTTCTTACCGATCCGATACCAAGTCATACCGAGGCTGGCGATTTCCACGATACCTGTACCGATACTGATAGTTTTACATATAAAATAGGTAGAATCATTGTGTGATCCAGCAAATAGTAATAATAGTAATAGTAATAATAATAATAATAATAATAATAAGTTTCTTGAAGGGTTCTTTAGAAATGGTAGTGGTTTGGTTTAGCACCGTGTGTTCTGTATAGAACCATTTTTTGTGTATAATGGTTATTTGTGTGGTGAAATGTTCTATATAGCACAAAAAATGAGTTTTTCTATAGTTACAATGTCAATAGAACCATTCTCAAGGTCGTGTAGAACCATATACAACACATTCTCCATCAATCTGAAGAACAATTTCAGTGTGTAAACACTTTGGCTGGACACTTGATTTAGTGCAGCTCAGTGTGTGAAATGGTGAATAAAAATAATTGCATTCGTAGTTTTTGATAGTATTTTTTAAATGTGGCCCTTCATTGTCTGTTCCAACTTTACAGATGTCAGAAAAATAAATATCGTGATGTATCGTGTGTCGCGAAAACTTCTTGAAGTATCGTGATATTACATTTTTGCAGTATCGCCCAGCTCTATTTGAAACCCTTCTTGATTACGGCTCTGCTAAATTTTAAGGTCTTACTATTTAAGGGTGGGAGATATGACTGAAGCATAACATCACGATACGTCAAGACATTTTAATGATAAATCATAATATTTAGTTTATCTAAGATGTAATGAGATTTAAGAGGTTGAAACAGACAAAATACTTCTAGTGCCACATATAAGAAGGGCTATAATAAAAATTACAAACATACAACTACAATGATTTTTATTCATTTTTTATGTTTTATAAGCTGCACTGCACTAGATCCAATTAAACAGGCCTAATTATGCTCACTCTGTAATCAAACATGCAGTTGGTCGGTGTTCTTTAAGCACTGATGATACCCATGATACGCTCAGAAAAGCGTATTGTGACATAATCTATCACGATAATGATAAAATATCATCATATTGCCCACCCCTATGTCACGGTGCTCAAAGACAATGTGCACAATATGTACACAAAATTTCAGTTAAATAAAACATTTGCAAAAATAAACTGTCTTGCAACATCACGCATTATTCTGTGTTCTAGAAGTTCTTATTACGCACTTAAAAAAGATGGTTCTTCAAGGGTTCTTTAGTAAAGAAAATGGTTCTGTATAGAACCATAAACACTTAAGGAGCCCTTTGCATGATTAAAGGGTCCCTCCATGGTGAAATGGTTCTTCAGATTGATGGAGAATGTTTTTTTACATGGTTCTATATAGAACATTTTTGATAAAGGTTCTCTATAGCACCAAAAAGCGTTATTCTATTGTTACAGCTTGACATCATAACAGTAGAGGAATCCTTTTTGTTGCTATATAGAACCATATACAACACATTCTCCAATAGGTCTGAAGAACCCTTTAATCATGCAAAGGGTTCCTTGAGTGTTCATGGTTGTATATAGAGTCATTTTCTTTATTAAAGAACCCCTGAAGAACCGTCATTTTTTAGAGTGTAGTATTAAATAAACTGACGTAAACAAACATAGGCTGCTTAATTGTAAAGAATAAAGAGTGTTTGGAAATATTTAATTAATTAATTACAGCTATTTTTGATACATAATCCTATACGCATATAATAAGTGGGCCTGGGGGGGGGGATAAGAGGGTATGGGTCCTTTCTAGCTGTCTGCTGGAAGCTGGAGCTAAAGCAGTTGATTTAGAAGAAGGTTATGATTAACTGCAGGCTGACGTTTCAGCTTCCAGTCTCCACATCTGTTACCGGTTGAGGTATCATTGCTGCTCTGAAAATAGAAGACAGGAAATTGCTCACATTGATGGCACAGACTCGTCCTAGAGTTGACCAGGACAGCTGAGAAATGATTGCCAATGCCAGACCAAACTCATGTAGCGTTTATAAAAATAATTCCAAGAATTATAAACAGTAACGTTCACACAGAGACGGTGTCAGATAATCCGAAAAAACGCTGCGGATTTTGTCTCTGCTAACCTTTATTGTTTCAGGGAGGGAGGACATATTCACGGTACGTGATATGCATCAGTGTCATGTTTTATACTTGTATTATGTTTTTCAAATACAGAATGCAGTGCAAATGGTGGAAAAAAGCAGTAATGCCTTTGAAAAGCTATGATGAACTGTGAGGGGTTAAAGGTCAAAAATAAGCGATTTAAGAAGAAAACACAAGGAAAAGTAATCTGTAAAAAAAAAATTATTTAAATAAGATAACGGCATAATGGCCCGGTGTCCAGCCATTTGTTTCTAGAGGTGGGCGATATAACAATATATCATGTATGTATTTCGTTTTTCATACCATCATATGCTCAGAAAAGCATATTGTGATGTAATTTATTACGATAACAGTACATAATCATAGAGGTGGGCGATATGGCAGAAATATGGCAATACCTTTCATGATATGTCACAATATTTTTTCAGACATCTGCTGTGTCTGATCCACTCGTACCAGCACAACACACACTAACACACCACCACCACGTCAGTGTTACTGCAGTGCTGAGAATGACCCACCACCCAAATAGAACCTGCTCTGTGAGGGTCCATGGGGGTCCTGACCACTGAAGAACAGGGTAAAAGGGGGCTAACAAAGTATCAGAGAAACAGATGGACTACAGTCTGTAACTGTAGAACTACAAAGTGCACCTATATAGTAAGTGGAGCTGATAAACTGGACAATGAGCGTAGAAACAAGGAGGTGGTCATAATGTTATGCCTGACCGGTGTATGTTGTCATGTTGCCCAGCCCTACTAATCATTATTTCACTTTGTCTCTTGGATCAGGGTCCAGTTTGCTGCACTAAAGATGGGCACTGGAGAGCAGAGGTGGCCGAGCCCAGGCGGCTGAGCTGAGCTGAGCTGGCGCTGAGCACAGGAAGAATGCATTTGTCTTCCGTTGGCATCAGCAAATGCTGCTTCCTGGTCTCCTTGGCCCTCTGTGCCCTGCTGCTGCTGCTAATCTCCACCCTGCAGACACCACAGCGCCAGGGGGAGCCCCCCCAGCCTCGGCCCCGTGCCAGGCCCACCAGAGCCGGGAGGGGGCACGAACCCCACAGCGCCCGCAACGCCACCGGGAAGAACAGTGCCGGTAATACCAAGGATTCCAGCGTCACCCGGCCGCACCCTCCTGGGGCTGGACCCCAGAGGCCGGATGGGGACGCGCCTCATGCCAGCTCCCCTGGCTCTCGGTCCAGGGAGCCTCTGGAGCTGAAGGACATATTTATCGCCATTAAGACCACTAGGAAGTATCACAAGTCACGGCTGCAGTTGCTTTTTCAGACTTGGGTGTCGGAAGCCAAGGAACAGGTAGGGGGGAGGGCCTCGGGACACTCGTCATTCCATCACGTCAACACCTTCAGCGAGCACTTCTGGCATGGTAGAGCTAGACTGCTGGTGCCGTGGAGCTCCTGTACATGCAGGCTTCAAATTAAAGGTGCCAAGGAGGGTTCTGTGGGGCGAAGAACCACCTTTGGTTCCCTTTCAGTGCTAATAACGTGCAAACAAAGTTTAAAGAATAGATTGCAAAGGTTCTGCAATGGAATGCAAAAGTTAGGGCACCCCTGGTCAAATTATGTGTGTTGTTGAAGTTAACGTCCTCTACAGAAAACACACTTCTGCACATTTACTGCTCATTACAATTACTGCTCATTACAAATACTGTTTATTTTCTGAATTTCACATACAAATAAATAAATAGATACAAACATATAAATACAAAGAAATAGAAATTGTGCACTAAAACTTGCAGAAAAAAATGCCATATTTAAGTGAGTTCTTTGTGGGGCGGGTATGTAAACTTATTTTCTCTTAGAATATTTACCAAAACATGTGATTTGATGTTCAGCATTTTTTATATGACTTTATAACCAGTTAAAGGTTTTTCCAAGAACCGTACATCTGAGCCAAAAACTAATTAGGAAAATTTGTGCCACAAAGAGTATCTGAATGGTTCCGTAAAAGAGCCGTGTTTGAAAAGCAGTTGGTGTGGTGGGGTCCACTGATGTCTCTCTGGATTAAAAAGTCCAAACCCCAGCTCTGTGTGCTGTTATGGAGGCAGCAGAGCACAAATGATGGCAAAGTTTTTTGGTTTATAGAAGATTTAGTGGGGTCTTAAAAGAAGATGCCTGCCGAAATCCGTACATATCAGCCTTTTGATTTTGCTGTGGTGAGCAAGAAGTTTTTACCAAAAAAAGGCAGAGAGTGCAGAGAGTTTTATTTGCATTGTTGTGGAACTAAATCATTTCCCAGCTTGTATTTTAGTCTCAGAATCCAGAATTGAAATGTTAAAATCACTACAGTTTCTCCAGGAGCACTGCAGCTGGGGTTTGTAGGGTCATGGAATTGTAATTGCTGATTAATTGTCATATCAGTAATTGCGATTAATGATTTAATTGTCTTCTTTTTCATTATTTGCATCCATTGAAATACAAGCCAGAAGTGGCCAAATTGGCTTATTAGTCATTTACGGTATTTGGCAGACACTCTTATCTAGAGCGACTTATAATCTGATCATTTTACACAGGTAGGTGAAGGCAGTGTTAGGAGTCTTGCCCAAGGACTCTTATAGTGTAGGGGGCTTAAACAGATCACTGCTTGGTGGGTAACATTGGTACTATTGGATTGGTACTAGAGGTGGGCGATACACTAAAATGTCCCATCATGATACTTCAGGAATCTTTGTGTCACAATATTTATGTTTTCTGACGTCTCATAAGTTAACAGACAAAATTAGCCAACATTTTAAAAACACCAAAAAACTATAAATCCATTTATTTGTATTCAGAGTTTCACAGACTGCTGCAGTAAACCCAGTTAAACAAGAACCCTTTCATGATGCAAAGAACCCTTTATTCATGCAAAGAGTTCTTTGAGTGTTCATTTTTGTTACTAAAGAACCCTTGAAGCACCATCTTTTTTAGAAATCAATAGTAAGATGAGCATCTTCCATATGCATAAATGCAGATTTGTGAGCGTGCAGAACCTTTTTATAGGTTTAAAGAACCTTTATGTTGGGGATGAGCAGTATGGCAAAAAATAAACATCACGATGCTTCAGGATGTTTTCGCGAAACACGAGTCACAATATTTAGTTTTTCTGAGGTCTGATAAGTTGGAACAGACCAAAAGTACATTCTTAAAAAATACGGTTCTTCAGAAGTTCTTTAGTAAAGACTGTGGTTCTATATAGAACCATGAACACTGAAAGAACAATGCGCATGCTTAATTGATTCTTTGCATGGTGAAATGGTTCTTCAGATTGATGGAGAATGTGTTGTATATGGTTCTATATAGAACCTTTTTGAACACGGTTCTATATAGAACGAAAAGCTTGTTACATTAGAAGAGCCCTTTATTGGTGCTATATAGAACCCTTTTTTAAAAAGATTCTTATACAACACATTCTCCATCAATCTGAAGAACGATTTCACCCTGCAGAGAACCATTTCATCATGCAAAGGGTCTTTGAGCGTTCTATATAGAACCATTTTCTTTATTAAAGCCCTGAAGAACCTTCTTTCTCAAGACTGTAGATGTGCGAGTGTGAAGAACCTTTAAATGTTAAATGTTTTAAAGTTAAATGAAGCTTTGCATAAGGGAAAGGAACCATTTATTGGAAGGTACCTTAAGGAACCAGAAGTGGCTTTGAGCAAAGAACCATCTTTAAGACCGCAGGCTAGTCCACATTCCATTTCCATGAGCTGTAAGGAACCGCGTAGGAGCAAAGCTGATGTCGTTTGGTGGCCAGATCTTTCATTTTCTTTCCCTTTTTCATCCACGCATTCCTCCTCCTCCTCGTTCCTCTCCTGGGCATGCAGACCACACGCGAGGAAGACGGTGTCGCTCATTTGAGACTGGTTCTAGCATGCGGTTCTTGCGCGGGATTAGCAGGCAGCTGCCAAGCTCAGGCAGGGTGACCGAACACAGCAGGTTTTCAGAGGTGTAAATGGGTGACGGCAGCCTGCGAAGGCCAGTTGAGGGGGAGGAGAGGCAGCTTTTTGGCTGCATGCCTTGGTGTTGGTGGGTAGAGGGGATGTTTGGTTCCCCCCTCAGTGGAGGAAGTTCCTCAGCAACCTGAGACCTGGAGACACATGTAGAAACCGCTGTGTGTTTGCTTCCGCTCAAGAACACTCGCTGAAGCTGAGGCACCAGAAGGGTGGCAGGCAGCCCCCCAAATCGAGGCCGTTTTTTGGGGAGAGGTTTGGCTCTCGGGGTTTTACTCAGGTTAGCTGAGAAATGATTGGACATGTAGTTGGATACTTTATTGCTCTGTGTTGCGCTTAACACTCAAGCTTTTGGAGTACTAGACGTGTTTCTGCAGTGTTTGTATCTCGGGCGCGTTCTGTCTTTTATGTAAGTGGCAAACATTGAGTAACAGTTTCAGCCTCAGGCAGTCCTGTTTTATAACACCAGATTTTGGGCTCCTGTCAAGCTCAAAGCAATTAATCAGAGACAAATGTAGTGCTGGACTGCAGGAGAGCAATATGGGAAAAATATAATATCACAATTCTCATGATACAGGATGTGTATCACAATATTTAGGCACAGACACGATGCACTAGTGGTGCAACATTTAAAAACTGCCATTAAAACTTTCAAAACTGTCCATACAATGACAATTATTTAACATTTCACACACTGCTGCACTAAAACCAGTTAAACAGGACTAACGATGTTCTCATTGTTATAGTGATGATAATAATAATAATAATAATAATAATAATAATAATAGTAGACAGGTGATATTTTACACTACACACCTAAAAATTATGGTTCTTCAAGGGTTCTTTTGCAAGAAAAAAACATATGTACGTATGTATATCTAATCATATATATATATATATGATTAGAGTTCTTTGCATCATGAAAGTGTTCTTGAGATTGATGGACAGTGTGTTTTATCGGGTTCTATATGGCACCAAAAAGGGTTCTTCTACGGTTACTAGCCTAACAATAGCAGAATCTTTTTTGGTGCTGTATAGAACCATTTTCAGCATGCAAAGAGTTCTTTGACTGTTCATGGTTCTGTATAGAACTGTTTTCTTTACTCAAGGTCCCTTGAAGAACCATGTTTTTTTAAGAGTGTAGATACCAGGTTTTGCTCTGATAGTGATGATATGTGGGCAGTGTTGGAAGTGGGATAAATAAACACCATGCCAACATCTACAGTACGTTCTCCATCAATCTGAAGAACCCTTTCACAATGCACAAAGTTCTTTAAGTGTTCATGGTTCTATATAGAACCATTTTCTTTACTAAAGAACCCTTGAAGTTCTTTTAAGTACTGACGTTGTCCACGACATGCTCAGAAATGTGTGTTGTGCATCATGTAGGGCTGAAAGATCACAGAGGAAATCACAGTTTGAAAGAGAGCAGTGTTCAAATCTCAAGTGGTGCGATTTTAATTATCAACATGTTTTCTTAAGTTTTAAGTGGGAAATCTAACCAAATAACAAGAACTGCTTGTAGACACATCGGAAACAACAAAACACTAATATGCTGTGACATCACAGCCACCAGGAACTGGCAGTAACTGGCAGTGTTCATGCCTCGAGCCTGAAAAGGTGGATTTTGTGATCTTCTTGGCTAAAAATAACAGGACTGGACCTTAATTTATTTAGAATAAGGTCTCACTTTATTTGGATTGTCGACTATAGTCCCCTATAGATGATCTACAGATGTTGAAATTGTTAACAGACTATCTGTTGAAACTTGATTCTAAACGGTGGTGGAGTTGGGGTTAGGATTTGGACCGGGGTTAGGGCTAGGACCAGAGCGAGGGTTGGGTTTAGGTTTTGGGTTGAGTTTAAGGTTAGGGTTAGGATTAGAGCCATGTTTATTTAGTTTAATGTAACTTGAAACTAAATTAAGTATCTACAAAGCATCTAAAGTGGACTGTCCAAATAAAGTGTTACCAAAAAATTAATCACAGTTAAATCACAGTGATGACATTGGTCCCGAAAATCACAATTAGATGTTTTCCCCAAATCTTTCAGCCTAAGCATCATGGTAATGATAAAATATCATCATATTGCTGTGCATATGTTTATGATTTTTCACACCAACGTTGTGATTGTGATTTAAATTGTGATTATTTTCAGTAAATTAAGGCTCTTTTTTGGCCAAGAAGACCAACATATCCACTTTTTTGTAATGTAGTGTTTAAGGCCGGTTAGTCGTGGTTGTGTTGTCATGTATGCATTATGTGAGTGTTTAATTGCTTCTGATTTGCCTGAACTCTTACAGGCAGTTCACAAGCTCTGTGTTATTAGATTAATGAAAAGTCATCATCATATATTCTTCTGTTTGTTGTTAATATTAATGACCGTCTACGTACCTACATTGTTAACTACATTGTGAGTAATTAGGTTTTGCGCTTCCACTGTTGCCTTAATTATTCACTGTGTCAGGGGTTGGCAACATGCCGCATGCGGCCTTCTTACTGTCCTGTTGTGGCTCCACAGCTGAATCAGATTAGTAGGTAAAAATAAAATAATCCTCCTTTACAGTAAAATAAAGCTCTGCTGATCGTTCAACACAGTTTAACAATAAATGGTCTTAAACTCTGGAGTTAATGTAGAACTGCTGATTCACCCTTTAACCCTGAAGATCAGCGCAGACTGCTGGTCACCATAGCAACACAGACAACAATATCGCCTAGCTAGTAGCTAACGAAACGGCAAAGAGAGAGAGATTAAAGATGAACATCGATCATTTGGAGAGGAATGGACTCATTTGCATTCATAATCACTCCAGCTGGTTTCCGGATACGTTTAATCTGCAACAAGAAACTGAAACACTAAAAGGTCGCAAGGCTGAAGTCAGTTTCCTGGCGCCTCAGGCACCATTTAAGGTGGAACGGGAGAATTCGAACAAGAAGCTGGCGAAGCGAGTTCAGCCTCGTAAAAAGACGAACGTTGAGAGACATTTTACAAGAAACTGTTCTACCTTCGTGGAAAAGTTTCCTGCCGGAGATGTGAGAAAAGCAGCTATAGCTGAGCTAAAGCTTAAAGCAGAGCAAAGTAAGTCTGTGTTTTCGTTTATATTTTTTAGTCTATACTAGAACATCAGCTCATACTCAGACATATTCACAGCCAAGATGGTAAAATGGACATAAAATGTTGTGGCTTTCATAGTAGTTTGACTGTTGTTGAAAGGATTAAATGGCTCTTTATATGGTAACTACATACATACTGTAGCAACCCAAATGTTACGAAGAGCCACAGCTCTTCATTGTGAGGGCAAATCAGGGACGGAAAAGAGCCACAGATGTTCTGAAAGAGGCTTTTGTTCTTGTGGCAGCTTTTTTTTTCCACGAGGTAGAATAAAATCACTCAGTGGGGAACAAGAGTGCGTCCGCAGGCCTGGCAGCCCAAGTGTGGAAAAAGATCCATGGTTCTCTTCGTTCTGTAATTGCACCAGTAAAAGAAGCACAATAGTGCTGCACGGTGACACATTCCTATAGAATCTAGACTTTCGTCCGCATGGATAGATACACTATAGTCCAAAAATATCCAGACAGTCCGTCTGATGAGTGAATTCAGCTACTTTAAGGCATCCACTGCAGACACAGCTTCTATAGTCTCCATAGAAAAGCACTGACCAATAGAATGGGCTGTTCTCTAGCAGCTGCGTATGAGGTCTCCATGCCCAGTGCCAGGCATGGGCTAGAGAGGTCTAAAGCCCCCCAGCATTGGGCTGTGGAGCAGTGGAACTGTGTTCTCTGGAGTGATGGAGCTCCATCCAATACCTTTAGGATGAGTTGGAGTGATCCAGAACTGACCATCCAGCATCAGTACCTGACCTCACTAATGCTCAATCAAATCCTCACAGCAATGTTCAACATCTAGAGCCTTTCCAGAAGAGTAGAGGCTGTTACTGCAGCACAGACTCACTATTAACACCTTCACTGGAGGGTCGACAGGAAACACTGGAGTCGACAGTCTTCTGGCCATATAACGTATTTCGTAAGATAACACTGTAGATCTCTTGTTTTCAGTGGTGATGTTTGGATTGCTTAATGCCCCCTAAACGTCCTACACTTGCCAGAAACATTGCAAAAGCACTCGGCTGACGTAAAACAATCTGGTCCTGATGTTTCTGGTCCTCACGCAGCTGGAACTGAGCTGAGGAGCTCTGCCTGGCTGGCGTCTCCTTTGGAACGGCTGGGTTGGGCTCCGCGTGCCTGTGGTTTGGCCAGCAGCGTGCCAGGCAGGGATGGTTTAGCGGTGGACGGACGCTGTCCATTCATTGAGCAGAGGTACAGAGGCAGGAGAACGTCCAGTGTTCCAAAGAGGCCGATACTGTTTATGTAGTCCAAACCCAAAGTAAGCAAATCTGACATTTTGGTCTCATTTATTGGGGGTTGGGTTCGGAGCCTCTTTCCATCTGTGTGTCTCTTTGTATGAGCTGGGAGAGGGTGATTAGCACTTTGTAGGGATGCGCTGATATGGGAATTCCCAGCCGATGCCAGTAAACAATATTTTTCAAATACAAACAGTGCCGTGAAAAAGTGTTTCCACATTTCCTCTCTTTTTTGCATGTTTGTCACACTGAATGGTTTCAGATCCCCATACAAAATGTAGTACACGACAAAGAACATGTGGAAACACAAAAATGGTCATTTCATTTATTGGAGGAATTTTATTGCAGTACCAATCTCACCCATGTGAAGTATTTTTACAGTTAAATAGTTAGAACTGGCAAACAGCAGCAACCAAACGCTTCCTCTAACTGGAGATCAGTCTTTCACATCGCCATGGAGGAATTCTGGCCCCTCTTCTTTGCCGAATTGCTTCAATTCAGCCACTTTGGAGAACGTTTGAGCATGACCCACCAGTTTAAGGTCTTGCCACAGCATCTAAACTCCAAAACCTTTTGTTTTTCCTTTTGAGCCATTCAGAGGTGGATGTGCTTTAGTGCTTTGGACTGTTGTCTTGCTGCAGAACCCAACCGCACTTGCGCTTCGGATCACAGACTGATGTCTGGACATTCTCCAGCAGGATTTTCCCGATAGAGAGCGGAATTCGTGGTTCTGCAAGTCACCCAGCATCCCCACAGTGTCACACTACCACCACCATGTTTCACTCCTGGTATGATGTTCTTATTGTGGAATTCTGTGCTAGTTTTACACCAGATGTAACAGGACCCGTCTTCCAAAAAGCAACTAGCGACTTATCAGAACACAGAACCTTATTCCAAAACACTTGGGATTGGCAGAGTGTTTTTTTGGCAAATATGAGATGAGCTTGGTTCTCTTGGTCAGCAGTGGATACAAATTTCCTCGGTCTCTTTCTAATGGTGGAATCCTGAATCCCGACTGAGGCCTGCAGTTCCTTAGATGTTTGTCTGGGTTCTTTTTTGACTTTCTGGATGAGTCATTGCTGCGCTCTTAGAGGAATTTTGGTAGGCCGGCCACTTCTTGAAAGATTTACCACTGTTCCAAGTTTTCTCCGATTGGAGATGAAGCCTCTCACTGTGGTTTGCTGAAGTCTCAGAGCCTCCGAAAAGGTTTCGTAACCCTTTCCAGACCGTTATGTTTCAATAACTTTGTATTTCTCTCATCTGTTCTGGAATTTCTTTTGATCATAGAATAATGTGCTGCTTGTTGAGACCTTTCAGCCTATTTCACATTGCTGGAAACATTTAGGCAATGTTTAGATTCAGCAGGGCTGGTAGCAATGAAGCCTGGGTGTGTTTAGTTTATTTGGTTACCAAATTTGGTGAATAGTGTGATTGATTAACTAAGGGGTCAGTGACTTCTTCACACAGGGTCAGCTGATGTTGGATAACCTTTTTCCTGCAAAAAATGAAATAATCGTTTACAAGCTATATTGACTCACATGCTCATCTTATGTTTTTGTTCTATTAAATTTTGAAGAAACAATTAAGTGTGACACATGCAAGAATGGAAGAAGTCGGGATGGGGCCGAATACTTTTTCATGGTGCTGTATCTGTCGATGCTGAAACAAATACACACCTAATAAAATTAGTGACAAACGTAAATATTTTCCTCGCTGTAGAAGGTTAAAGGTGCAGTAAAATAAACGTCGCTTAAATATTCTGATCTTCTGAAGTTCAGTAGATACTTCAAACCAGTCAAATGTAATCGTCAGTATAATTAAATATTTTTTACCAATTATCTGCCAATACCAGTATGATTGGAATTACATGCATCTCTACACATTTATGGCCTGACTGGTGTTTCATTTCTCTAATAAAATCTGCTAATTTAAAGCTGCAGTGTGAGTTTTTGGGGATTTGGAGACCTCACTGATGAAAATGTGTAACTGCATGCATAACATTCTGTAGCATGGGTTGTGCTTCTTCCCCGAGTGGATGAATCTGAAGATTGAAAGAGAACTCAGTCTAAACATGGTGAAGGAGCGTCTTCTGAGGATGTGAGTGAATTATCTACTATTATCACATCTTCATCGGTATGATGTTGACTTTGGGATTGTTTGAAATATCAAGCAGAACCTTCTTTTAGAGTCTGTGTGTGACGTTAATACGTAAAAAGACGTATGACGTGGTGTGAAAAACTTGACGGCTCTGACTTTTAAATGATTATTTCAGGCTTTACAGGGCGACTCAGCAGCAGCACCATATGTTATTCCAAAAAAATCACTTTTAGAAATGATGCTGTTTCTGAACAAAAACCAAACAGCTACTTATCTGAGTTGATAAAATTTGACACTTAAGAACTGGCAGTCGTAACATATCAAAAAACTGTTTTTGATCAATTATATCAGCCACTGTTATGCTATATACCCCTCTAGCCCATGCTTGGCATTGAGCATGGAGACCATAGGCTCATGTGCAGCTGCTCCACAGCGTCTCATTCTATTGGTCAGTGCTTTTCAGTGGAGATTATACAAGCTGTCTAAAGCACTGTTTGAACTATTGGATCCTGTTGAATTGTTCTGAACCATATAAAATGATGTCAGTATCCAGCAAGCCTTCACACCTCTGTCGTTTCACTGTGCCTCTCTCCCTGTAGCTCCAACACTGGAGTCACTGTGCTCCAGTTGGAACACTAACCCCTTTGTTTCTTGCAGACGTTTATCTTCACTGATGGCGAGGATGCGGAGCTGAAGAAGAAAGCAGGTAATACAGCACATAAAGCCCAGATACAGATTTGCAGCTGCTTTCAGATTTGGCCCAACGTACTTGGTCAAAGGCCCAAACCCATTTCTTTCATTTTTTTTGAGTGTCTCTTTGCCCCTTGAAACTGAGTTACAGGGTAGTGGTTGAAATCTTCCCTCTGAAATGGGACCCTCAAATAAAAAGAGCATCACTTCATTAACAGCTACCAGCGCTGCTCTGTAGGCGACCCTGCCAGTCTGCAGTGACAGCAGAGGAGGGTAAAGTTCAGCTCCTCACTGCTGGGCTTTAGTTACATTTAGGGCTTCATATGACTTCAAAGAGGGGGGCAATTATTTATTATCACCCACCCCTAATTCTTCAGTGATATGAAGTTGAAGTCAGATATTCACCAGATTCTTGTTAGAATTTTCCTGTTCCACCTTAAATGGAGCACCAGTTCTGATGCCTGAGGCGCCAGAATGTAACTGCTGCACCATTTAAGGTGGAACAGGAAATTTAGCTACTGAGACGTCAGCACTACTAGAGATTTGTTATGCTTGTTATGAAAAAAAGGGCCAAAATACACTGAAACGGCATTAAACTAAGATAATACAGTGGTTATTGTAATTTTTAACAGAGAAAATTCTCACATTTGTGTGTTTCTTTGGTCTCTTGTTCAGCTATTTCGCCGTTTTATTTTTATCTCAAAACACTCTGTTTGGGGTCTCTGAAAAACCTCCGTTCTAACACTTCACCCTCCCCCTCTATCTCAACAAGAATCGGGCCACCCTGCCCCTAGACATGAACACACAAAACAGAGGAGTAGGGCTGAGTGGTAGGGGTGAGGGGTGAAATGGGACTGGGCCTAAGACAGCCCCAAATCTGCATTCTCACTGCATAACACTGAAGGAATCTTCACGTTGATCCACACATCATCCGTCCAACCTTCATTTAATTTCAGCTTCCCATCCGTTTATGTGGTGAGGTCATAGTACGTAGTTCCTCGTCTCATCAGCGTGTCGTTTGTCTACTTTTTCTTTTTTTGTCCTCTCATCCAAGGTGCCAACATCATCAACACCAACTGTTCAGCTGCCCACACCCGTCAGGCCCTGTGCTGTAAGATGTCTGTGGAGTATGACAAGTTCATCGAGTCGCAGAAAAAGTTGAGTTTTGTCCTCCCTTTAGTGCGAGAGGCCCTTTTCTCAGTGAAAAGGACTACATATGTTAAGGCTGCATAATATGCAGTCTTCCATAAATAGGAAAGTGAGAAGCGTTAAATATATAAAATAGTTGAATAGCGTATCTCTGAATGGCTGCGCAGCAACTAAAGACTCTTCATTTTCTTTCTTTTTTTCTTCCTGTTTTGTAATTAAACAGAAGTTTAAAGGGGAGTTCCACTTCTTTCTGCTGAATTATACAGGGAGATTCACTCGAAAGAGGCCCCGAACATTCTGTTGTAACTCCCGTTAGGATGAAGCAATCTGAACCAAAAAATACACGACATACCTTGATGTATGTGTAATAGATTCCATTACATGCGATGCTGGAAGTGATCTCTGTTTTCTGTCAGACACATGAAGGGGTACGGGGGGTCTGCCCCCGGAAGCTGCAAACGGAGGTAAAACGTTGCGATGGCTGTCCGGCGCCCACCTCATCGCTCTGACGCAGGGGCATCCCGGCTTGTTCGAAGCTCCATATACTGAGGAGCTCATTGCATCTTGTTTTGTTCAGATTGATTCGTCCTAGAGAGAGTTAGTACAGAATATTCAGGGCCTCTTTCGAGTGAATCTCCCAGTATAATAATGTAAGATGTAAACAAAGTCGTTCAGAGTGGTTTGGTGTGAAATGACAGTCAGAATTGTTCCCAGTTGTGGTGACGGGATGTTTTATTTGTTTTAACCCAAAGCATAATACTTAACTCCAGTATGTGTGTTTTCAAAATCGAAAAACATGCAATGGTCAAAGCCAGAAAAACGCAATTACAAATACGAAGTGGCGTCCAGAGAATAGTGAACACAAAGACACAGGTTGAAACCGAAAGGCCAAAACACAATAACCGAAACCAAACAGAGAAAATGTACCTGAAAATACGAACAAAAGGGTCGAGATACACAATTAATCACACAGAAAAGGCTCGGTACGCTCTGAAAAACACAAACAGTGGTGAGAGCAAACAGTCTTTATAGAAGTCTGGGGAATGAGCAACAGGTGGGATAATCAATATTCAGATGAAGCCGATGTCTGAAGCAGTTTGTGGTTGGTGGATGGTGTCACATGATCTCCAAGAGGATTCTGGGAGTTGGAGTCTGTAGCTCTGCAGGGCCAGGATGTGGCGTCACAGAGATTTTACCCAAATCATAAAATGTGTCCATAAAGGAAAAGCTTCTCTCATACATATCCCATAAATCTGCATTGAATCTTTTTAAAACTAGTGTTTTTATGAATGGGGTTTGATTATTAGCTGTTTAGTGTCACTGTCTGTTCATCACCTGATCCACAGTTAAAGAGATCCCAGTGATCAGTGTCTATGGGGGGCAGTCGTGGGCTGGATGTTAGGGAACCAGCTTAGCAACCAGAAGGTCACCGGTTTGATACCCTGAGCCGACAGTGTAGTGATAGTGTGTATGTGGTGTTTCACTGCATGGATGTTTTAGATTGTGGAGGTGAAATTTCTCCCTTGTGGGACTAATAAGGGTCACTTAATTTAATTTAATGTAATTTAAAAACCTTTCTGAACTAAGGACTGTATCGCTGTAGTAATGATTTCTACTGTGCTAATATCTGTAACGCCAGTACAGTGTTCATTTAAGTGTCTTGGTTTCTTGTTTGCCATTTTCTGAACTGTGTATATTGTCATATTGTTCACTGTATATGTCTATAACTTATTATTAATAAAACGACATTTCATCATCCTTTCTCCACTCTCTCCTCTATACTCTAGATGGTTCTGTCATGTGGATGACGATAATTACGTGATCCTCCCCAGTCTCCTGCAGCTGCTGTCCTCCTATTCCCATACGCAGGACGTGTACCTGGGCCGGCCCAGCCTGGACCACCCCATAGAGACCGCCGAGAGGGTTAAGAGCGATGGATCGGTGAGCTAGTGTCTTCTTTTCCCTTACACTTAACAAAAGCTAGTCATGCAGAGCAAATTTGACTCTGTTTTTATCAGTTTGTTCTACTTTTAAATGGTACCACGCTGTGCCCAGGAATTAGAAATTGCATCATTTTAAAAGGACACAGTGTCACTGATGCGCAGCAACACTCTTAAAAAGCACCAAAAGACACTTGGGTGCTAATAGCACCCCCTTGTGGAGAGTCTTCAGTCTGCTAAACACGAGTGAGTTACAAGACAGGTCTATGAGGTGTTTCGCATCTAAAACGAAAACTACAACATTCTGAAACGTAGGTTATCCAGAGTAGGAGTGGCTGAAGGTAGTGGTGGAGGGTTAATGTTTCTGGAATTGGGACGGAATTCTGTCAAAAAGTGGACCTGGTTCAGAATCAGTCCCACTTTTTAAAGTTTTTGAGCATTGGTGTGTGATTTGGTGTGTAGGTGTTGTCAGGATGAAGCCACGAATCTCTTAAATCTGTATGTCCATGTGTTTTTCAGGTGTCTGTCAAGTTCTGGTTCGCCACTGGAGGTGCCGGGTTCTGCATAAGTCGAGGCTTAGCGCTCAAGATGAGTCCGTGGGCGAGGTAAGACTTTCACTTCATTAACATCCTGGTTCACTGAATAATCAAATTTGCATTTATTTTTACCCCAAACAGAGTCAGTCGGCCAAAACGTATTTGGTGTCTGAGGTTTGCTGGAGCTATGAGGCCAGTATAAATACTGTTTAGCTACATTAGCCCCATAGCTCATAGTTAAACGACTCGTGTTGCATTTTAAGTGCTGTGAATCAAATACAGTGTTTACCCTATGAAAATATATTTATTAAAATATTGAATTCTACATCAGTGAGTGTGTTTACATACACTTAATAATCCAATCGTAATCGTATTTCTGCAGTTATCTGATTATTCAAATGGTCATGTAAACAGAACAGTCCGATTTAGAAATCTGATTAAGAAAAACAATAAAGAGGCTGGATTTTAGCTCAGTAATCAGATTTCTCAGTGCATGTAAACTCTTACTCTGATTTCTATCAAATTTCTCAGTCTGCGCATGCGCCAGAAAAGACGGTGGTACCAGCAGCGTTGCTGCGAGACACAACAAAACACTTTTGGAGCAACACTGAAACAAAACACGAAATATTTACAAAGTATTTAAATGTTCTTCATCTTCTAGATGATGTATGTTCATGTTTTCAGGAAAAGAGCTGCGATGTTAAAACCTGCTGCATGAAGTTTGAGTTTTACGTCACGTCTTCTTCTCTGAGTTTATTGGCTGATTGCAAAGCAGAAATCCGATTACTGTCTGACTCATGTAGACCTGGAGTTTCCCCATTGTCTGATTACTCAAGTGCATGTAAACACACTGTGTTACACATACTGACATACATTGACGTGGTTTTGACTGTCTTAAAAAAACTGTGCTGCATTTTTTTCTATCTGTAAAGAAAATCTATCTTATGGTGCAAAAACCACCATAAATAAAATTGTATGCAAAAGTTTTAACACCCTGGTCAGATTCCACATTTTTGTTGAGGTTCTAAGTGTTAATTAGTGATACACTAATACACATCCTCTACAGAGAACACAGTTAAAATATGGCATTTTTCTGCTAATTTTAGTACAAAATTTCTGTTTATTTAACATATTTTTTACATGTTGGAAAAATAGAACTGAAAATGTATAATGTGCCATAACATTTGTGCAACCCACAGCCCCCCCCCACCCCAATATGTTAAACTGTTTATTAAAATGTGCAGAAGTGTGTCTCTGTAGAGAACGTGTTCTTATTTTCAATTATAAAAATCAACAATAACATGTAATTTGGTCCAATCCTTTGCTTATGACTATCTTATTGTTTAAAACCTCTAGTGATGTTTGAGCAGCATTGCTTTCGAGTGACGTTCTGTTTGTTCTTCCAGTCTGGGGAACTTCATCACTACAGCGGAGAAAATCCGTCTCCCTGACGACTGCACGATCGGTTACATCATCGAGGCTTTACTGGAGGTTCCTCTGAAGCACACGCGGCTGTTCCACTCACACCTGGAGAACCTGCAGAGACTGCGCACTGACAGCGTTCTCAAACAGGTCCCTGCCACACTCGTCACATTCACGCGTCATATCAGGAGGCGGGCCTGAATGTGCGAGGGAGCTCATTTTAACTTCTGTGTGATCTGTTGTCCTCTCTCCCTGTAGGTGACCCTCAGCTACGGTGGCTTTGAGAACAGGAGGAACGTGGTCAGCATCGCAGGAGGTTTCTCTTTGGCTGAAGATCCTTCACGGTAATCATCAGAATCAGATTTAGTTCAGTCACAGTGTTTAAGGCTGCCACAATTACATGATTAAACTCGATAGATAAAATTTGTCATGGCTTGTTAAGATTTTGAATGACAGGCCTTTTTTGTCAATCTTTGATTACTTGATTGATCATTAAAATAACCCGTAGATTATTCTGGGTGACTGGTAGCTTAGTGATAGGAGAAGTGAGCCATCAACCAGAAGGATGCAGGTTCAAATCCCAAGAAGTGCAAGGCACTTAACCCCCAGGTGGCGCTGCTCTGCTGGCGACGCTGTGCTGCTCCCAGATTGGCCATAGTTAGGCAGCAGAATGACAAATTCCCCTTGTAGGATTAATAAAGTACAAAAATTTTGAATTTGATGCCAACAACATGTTCCAAAAAAGCTGGGGCAACAAAAGACTGATAAAGTTGTGTAATGCTAAAAAAAAACACCTGGTGGTTGATTGACAACAGGTCAGTAACATGATTGGGTATAAAGAGCATCTCAGAGAGGCGGAGTCTTTCAGAAGTAAAGATGAGGAGGGGTTCACCACTCTGTGAAGGACTGCACCATCAAATAGTGCAACAATTCAAGAAGAACGTTTCTCAATGTAAAACAGCAAAGAACTTCTGCTTTTCATCATCTACGGTACAGAATATCATTAAAAACATTGCTGAAAATGTTGAAGCTGTGACACTGTAACCATCCCGTCACCATCACCAATGAAAAATGTACATTACATTCATTTTGCTTGGCTGTGATCGTGAGATAGACACTGCTTTTGTCCCTACAGCTCATTTACTGAGTGTTTTTCATCTACAGGTTTAAGACGGTCCACTGCCTGCTTTACCCCAAGACTCACTGGTGTCCCCGCAACATTCACCACTGACCTCACCACCTGAAAGTCTACTCCACATTAAAGTGACACTTTTTTTTTAAAGTCTAATCTCTATCTGCTGGATCTGGAATGTACAGACCACTTGAAACTCACTTTCAGTCGCACTTGAATTTGGCATCAAATTCTCTCTAGTGAAATAGCGTTTGTTTTAATGGTTGACCAATTCGGTCTTGCAGCGTTCCAGAGTGAGTACATCTCACATGCAAAGTTCAGCTTTGGTCATTTGAAAATGTGAATCCAGTTCATAGCATTCCAAAGACGCCACTGCCACCATTATGGCAGACAACTTTAAATTACTTCGGCAGCACAGTGGCAGTTTGGCATGAGACGACAGAGCCATGACCCACCCAGCAAAGACAGTAACCGCCCACCTCCTTGTTTCTACACTCCCTGTCCACTTTATCAGCTCCACTGACCACATAGTTTCACTCTGTAGTTCTACAGTTACAGACTGTAGTCCATCTGTTTCTCTGCATACTTTGTCACCCTGTTCTTCAGTGGTCAGGACCCCCATGGACCCTCACAGAGCAGGTACTATTTGGGTGGTGAGTCATTCTCAGCACTGCAGTAACACTGATGTGGTGGTGGTGTGTTAGTGTGTGTTGCGCTGGTGTGAGTGGATCAGACACAGCAGTGCTGCTGGAGTTTTTAAACACTGTGTCCACTCACTGTCCACTCTATTAGACACTCCTACCTTGTCGGACCACCTTGTAGATGTAAAGTCAGAGACGATAGCTCATCTGCTGCTGCACAGTTTGTGTTGGTCATCCTCTAGTCCTTCATCAGTGGTCACAGGACGCTGCCCACAGGACGCTGTTGGCTGGATATTTTTGGTTGGTGGACTATTCTCAGTCCAGCAGTGACACTGAGGTGTTTAAACACTCCAGCAGCACTGCTGTGTCTGATCCACACCACCACCATGACAGTGTTACTGCAGTGCTGAGAATGACCATAGTGTAAGCCAGTGAGCAGATACTGAACTCTGAGTTGACCATATGCTGTAAAGACAGACAGCAGACAGAGATTAGGCTGAGATTAGGCTGGAGTAGTCCCTTAATGTCACGGTGGCCGTCAGCAGTGGCAGTTTACCGCTGTTGTGTTTTGTGCTTAATGTACAGATCTCTTTAAAGCTGTGGTACAGCTTCGTTTGTTTTTTTTAAACATTGCTTAGTAAGATGTTTGCTTATGATCCTAAAATGTGGTCTTAGGGTAATTTATACATTTTTTGTCCCAAAGCTTTTGGCCTGAGAGTTTTGAGACATACCAACAGATTGAGACACTTTAAATAAGAGCTGTGGAAGGAATGTGTTTCTTCTTCCAGATATTTCTGAAGGCAGCGATTCAGGGGGTGTTTAGTGGCTTTTATGTCACTGTTTTTATTCCTATTCTCCAGCTGAAGTCAGCAGATGAGGCTCAAGGCTGAATCGAGTCGCTCTCATAAGCATGTTAGTATTACTTCAGCCTGCATTTCAGTTTACTTTGGGATAAAGGATGTAGTGCAACACTACACAGCCTGCCAAAGTGATTTGGTGTCATGCCTGAACAGTTGCATCAGTTGTTGGGACACGAAATGCCATTTCACATGATTTCAAGGCCTTGGTTAAAGGGGAGTTCCACCCCTCTTTCAAAATTTCTGCATAATTGAATGGTTTTATTAAAAAATAAACTTATTAAACTATCTTTTTTCAGATTTTCTACTATTTTACCATCAACACTACATGTAAAAACCCAGAGGATGTGTGTAGGTTCGCTGGTGGTTCTGGATAGTAAATAAAATGTCTATATTTGTGTTGTACTCATGGTGACCCCTGGTTCCTATCACCACCACTGTAAAGACATCTGAACCATTTCACACCAAACCACTCTGAATCTCTCTGTTTACATCTCAAACATTGAGTTATACCGAAATTTTGTAAAAATGGTGGAATTCCCCTTCAGCAAAGACAGATTTCAGATGTGATGAATAAAGTCACAGTGTGGAGTCACAGGATTCAGCTGACTAATGAAAATACTGAACCAAAGTTGATCATTCAGCCTGTTTAAAGCAGGAAAGTTCTAGAGTGCTTAGAGTTACTCTGATTTATTGTGAACCATTTTACCCATCAAAGAAAGGCACTTCACCGGTTCGTCTTAACATGAAGGAACATTGCTGAAAGAGACAGTTCAGAAGTGATTCCTGCCAAAAAGTGTTTTTCTTTTTAATACAGATATATATACAAATATTGAGACTGCTGTGGAAGCCCAAACCCGCCAGGAAGAGTTCTGTTTCTGCAATAGTATGTCAACATTTTGACTTATTATCTCAAAATAATGACTTATTTTCTTGAAATACTGACTTAGTATCTCAAAAAAATGTGTTTTATTATATTTACTTGAAATCTTAACATCTTAAAGTACATATTTTCTCAAAATGTTGACTTAATGTTTTGAAATACTGACTTATTTTCTCATAATATTGAACATTAGTGTCTACAAATAACACATTTTTTAAAAATATTGATTTAATATCTGAAAATGATGACTTATTTTCTCAAGAAAGAAATAAGTCATTATTTTGAGATATTAAATCAGTATTTTCAAAAAATACATTTTTTCGAAATAACATTTTTATAAGTCATTAGCACAAGATATTGAGTCCAGTTAATTCCAGTCCTGTCTTAAAATATTGACTTAATATCTTGTGATAATGATTTATTTCCTCAAGACAATGAGGTCAAAATAATGAGTTTATTACATTTCAAGAAAGTAATTAATTAATAGATCAAAATGTTGCCATGCTGCTGTCAGAAATAGAGGCGCGGACATTTTCTGTCTCTTGTTTTTGAGAATGGGCTTCTATGGTCTGCAGTCCTGTCTTCTTGTTCATGCACAAACCTCTCACTGCAGGTCAGTGACTCACGTGAACGCACCAAAGTCAGGCTTGGAGTCAACAGTGACGACTCTGTAGTGTCTAAACGGTGAAGGAGCTTACGAACGCTAACATGCTGCCAAATTCTGCTGGTACTTTTTTGTCTGTCCTCTTTTTCCATGTGAATAAATAATTTACTTAATTGTGTCGTTTTATTCTTTGTTCAGTTTAATTGGGGAGAAAGTGTCAACACAGCCCTTTAATTAGTTAAATGTGTAAAGCTTGTATAGTCTCCATAGAAAAGCACTGACCAATAGAATGGGACACTCTGGAGCAGCTGCACATGATCCTAAGGTCTCCATGCCCAATGCCAAGTGTGGGCTAGAGGGTGTCTAAAGCCCCCCAGCATTGGGCTGTGGAGCAGTGGAACTGTGTTCTCTGGAGTGATGGAGCTCCATCCAATACCTTTGGGATGAGCTGGAGTGATCCAGAACTGACCATCCAACATCAGTACCTGACCTCACTAATGCTCAATCAAATCCTCACAGCAATGTTCCAACATCTAGAGCCTTTCCAGAAGAGTAGAGGCTGTTACTGCAGCACAGACTCACTATTAACACCTTCATTTCAGAAGAAACACTACAGATGTTTAGACATACAGTGTATATATTGGAGTTGGGCGACTTTGGCTGTTATTATTAGACTGTATTCAGAAAATGCGTTAATTCCAGTCCTGTTTCCTTACGTGGGCAGAAGTCTGGCCTGCTCTTATCTAAGCAGTGCCCTTCTCCCTGGTTCCAAAGGTTCATAGTTGAATAGTGAGGTACACACTGAGAAAAGAGTTCGCCGAGTTCAGGAGTTGGAGTTCCTGGAGAGGAAACAGTGGTTAAACACTGAGCTGGAACGGCACACGATCCTCCAATCCACCGTCCTTCAGGATTCATACACAGGATATGGCCTTATAATTTCAGTCTTTAAGGCCAAATTTCAGTGGAGGATGAAGTAGAAAATGTATGTACTTGAGTGGAAGTAGAAATATCCTTGGTATAATATTACTTCAGTAAAAATAAAAGTGTTTTATTTATATTTCTACTTGAGTAAAACTGTCTTTTGATGTACTTGCATATCATAAGTATTAGTACTGTGAGTTGTTACAAATGGTTCTTTATATTTATGGACAATGAACAGTTGACTCAGTTTTCTGTGCAGCCACCAAGCGGCCTCCTAAAGAGGAACGGTTCATCAAAATGATATCTACAATAACTCAAGGTACCTACAGTTTCTGAGATATAATAATCCCCAGAAAATGCCACTGCTGGTCGCCCCTCAGACCACCCAGATTACTGTCCTGCATACAAGCTCTCACTAGTTTTTAATCTCCTCAATCAGATTTTAAATCCACAGCGCCTTTTATTTTGGAAAATAAACTAAGACAATATTACGAACAACTGAGAGACAAAAAATAATAACTAGGCCTGATATAAAATGATTCTATAGAAAGTTGTTTCTGACTCTGAGCTTGACTAAAATTATTTACTGAACTAGTTTACAAAGTATAACTAGAGAAAGGAAGGAAGGAAAAATAAAATGGGACTGTAAATGGAAAATGAGCGATGGTAAGTGGAGTTTTGTATAATACTCTGCTTAAGCACCAGTTTTGCCATCAACAAGCCAACACTGGTCCACTATCCTCTTGCTATCAGGCATGTTCTGTTTTGAATGCTGGTATGCTGGTCAACCAGCATGACTATGCTGGGGTGACCAGCTAAACCAGCACCAGACCGTAGAACGGCTTAAACCAGCATGAAATACATGCTGGTCTGTGTGTTTTTTTCAGCAGAGTGAATATCTGTTTACATCTCAAGCACAGAAATTTTGAAATATGGGTGGAATTCCCCTTTAAGCCACTCTGCTTTTCGGGCGACATTCAGACTCTTCATATTCAGCACTTTGGCCTCATTTACTGCCTAAACTGTCTCACTACTCCCAGTAAACCAGCTGTTTCTCAGTGCAGGTAACTGAAGGGAGATGGTCCTCGGTGCGGAACCAGAAGTCCAGGGGGTTCGGCTGGATCTGATCCAACTCCTCCCACGTCGTGTTTTAATTGGTCTGAACTCGAGTGGAGCTGATCAAATGGACAGCGAGGGTAGAAACAAGGTAGTGAGCTAATAAAGTGGCTCATCAGGGTTTATAACATTTAATATGATTTTTTTAGGCATATTGAGTCATTTTTATTAGACTTATGGAAATTCGCGGACTTAGTTGATAAAAACAGTTATGTGGGTTATTTTGACCGGTCATATGTCCATTCTAGTGTTTAAAAACCCTCATCGTTTTTAACTAGAACCCGTCTATCATAAGTATGCTTGATTTGTAGGCCTACAGAACGGACTTTATACCGGAATGTGAAAAAAGCTTTTCGAGTTGTGACAAATAAGTGTGAACGTCGTAAACCATGAGCGGTTATAAAGGCTGTGTTGTGGCGTTCAAGACACCAGGAACACCTTTTGGTTTCCCACAGAGAAACACGCGGCAGGGCAGACCAATGAAAGAAGTCGTAGGAGGACAAAGTAAGCGACACATACTCGTTTAAAGACTAATAGAAATGTGAAAAGAAGACGTGGGCGGAGTTGGATCAGGTCCGGCTCCGCCCCTTTGGACTTCTGGTTCTGAAGCGAGTGATATTTGGACTGAGGTCGCCGCTCTGCTTCGGTCAGCATTTCTGTTCTTATTAACTGTTTTTCACGGAGCTCCTAATTCACTGACCCTGAACTTTACCCAGTCTGCTCACACGCACGCGCTGAGAAGGTAGGGCAGCTGCTTTAAGGTGGACTTTTCTGAATTAACAGTAATTAAAGCAGAATTAAAGCGATTCTCTTTCGTTTGGGGCTCTTCCAGCTGTGTAAACATGGCGACTGTGTGTTTTTCAGCGATATTACTAAGCTGGCTTTCTCTTCGCCAGCGTGTTCGGATTTCCCCGGTCCACCTTAAATGGCGCTGCATTACATTCTGGCGCCTGAGGCGCTGCAATATTACTGCTGCGCCGTTTAAGGTGGAACGGGGAAATTTGAAGGAAAAGCTGACTTCAGCTCCACAGCTTCCTGTTGTGTTTTCAGGGCGCAGAGCTCACTATGGAGATCACGTTCACCGGCAAACGGGCCTTAGTGACCGGAGCTGGGAAAGGTACTGTCACTTTTAATGCACTTCAGATCAGGGCCGCGAGCCTCCTCTGATCTGAGGGGGATCAAACTAGGTAAACACGGCTGAAAGGTGCGAGTGTTCAAAGGGCAGTATCCTATTTTTCTAGCATTTAATTCTCCCCTTAAACACCCAGGGAGCCTAAATCTGTGTTGTATTTCTAATTATGAAGTTCCTGCAGGCAAACAGTAAACATGTACTAAGTTCACCCTCTAAATAAGGTTCTAGTGACCAATAAATGGCCCATATATTTCACCATGTTTCTCTCCTCTTGGTGTAAACAGGGCAGTCCTAATCTTGGGTCATGCTTCCATAAGCATTCCCCTGACCAATCACAAGCCTGCATCTCTTGCCCCACCCACACAACAGTTTCAGAGTGAGAGAAGCTTAGTGAGCTAAAGTTAACCCAGCACACCTAAAATCTAGCGCGCTGGCCCACCTGCCCGTAGCTGCATGTCACCCGTTCATTCTTTTATCCAACACCAGCATTGTTCGTTCATCTGTTACGTATGTAAATGAGATCTGTTCTGATTGGCTGCCCTCATTCAGTCCAGGCTGAAACACTCCTTATGACTTCAGTGTGAGTGGGTGGGGCTAAACTGCTGTAGGCTGGTGTAAATGCATCACATCACAAAAGCAAGTAAGGTGTACTCTGTTGGATTGTGGATGACAGAAGGCCGTGAAGGATACTCTGATCTGGGGAGCGTCCTTGGAAATATTCCGAATGGGTGCAGCGGTCAAAAAATGCAGCCCACCTGGACCGCAGCCCAGCTTTTGGAACACAGCTTATGAACATTTTTGTGCTTTTCCTCCTCCAGCACACCTAATCGCGTTTCTCTGCTCCTGCAGGGATCGGCAGGGCCACCGCACTCGCTCTCGCGCGTTGCGGTGCTGACGTCACTGCTGTCACACGCACCAAGGCGGATTTGGAGAGTCTTGTGCAGGAGGTAAGTTCAGAAGAAGTCTCTAAATGTCCTGTTCATCCGCTAGAGGGCGCCAGAGAGAGAGTCCTGAGTGAATGAGGGTGAATGAGCTAAACGGCTAAAAATGTTGACATGTTTCCTTCACGCTGGAACGTCTCGATTTTTGAGATGTATTACATACAAAAATAGAGGAAAACTTACCAGTACCTTTAGGTTTACTACAGCACACAGGGTTTAGGTATTAGAGCGTACTGAGTACTGACTGGCTAGCATTACTGCTACTGAGTGCTGGTAGGTTAGCTTTACTGCTGCTGAGCGCCGATTGGTTAGCATTACTGCTACTGAGTGCTGATTGGTTAGCATTACTGCTACTGAGTGCTGATTGGTTAGCATTACTGCTACTGAGTGCTGATTGGTTAGCTTTACTGCTGCTGAGTGCTGAATGGTTAGCGTTACTGCTGCTGAGTGCTGGTAGGTTAGCTTTACTGCTGCTGAGCGCCGATTGGTTAGCGTTACTGCTACTGAGTGCTGATTGGTTAGCATTACTGCTACTGAGTGCTGATTGGTTAGCATTACTGCTACTGAGTGCTGATTGGTTAGCATTACTGCTACTGAGTGCTGATAGGTTAGCTTTACTGCTACTGAGTGCTGATAGGTTAGCTTTACTGCTGCTGAGTGCTGAATGGTTAGCATTACTGCTACTGAGTGCTGATAGGTTAGCTTTACTGCTGCTGAGTGCTGATAGGTTAGCTTTACTGCTGCTGAGCGCCGATTGGTTAGCATTACTGCTACTGAGTGCTGATAGGTTAGCTTTACTGCTACTGAGCGCTGATTGGTTAGCATTACTGCTACTGAGTGCTGATTGGTTAGCATTACTGCTGCTGAGCGCTGATTGGTTAGCATTACTGCTACTGAGCGCTGATAGGTTAGCTTTACTGCTACTGAGCGCTGATTGGTTAGCATTACTGCTACTGAGTGCTGATTGGTTAGCATTACTGCTGCTGAGCGCTGATTGGTTAGCATTACTGCTACTGAGCGCTGATTGGTTAGCAATACTGCTACTGAGTGCTGATAGGTTAGCTTTACTGCTACTGAGCGCTGAAAAGCCCTTGTCTAGTATAGTATAAGATGCAGAAAGTAAAGATTAGCTTCATTTACAGATCTTATCTCTTAACTCTTGTCTCTCAGTGTCCTTCCATCAAGCCGGTGTGTGTTGACCTGTCGGACTGGGACGACACGGCGAATGCGCTGAAGGACGTGGGGCCGATCGATCTGCTGGTAAACAATGCAGCCTATGGTAACCTGCAGCCCTTTCTGGAGGTCACGCAGGACCGGTTTGACAGGTAAGACTGTTTTACATCACATACTGCAGTACGTGTGTACAGCCCTTGGGGAATACTCAGCCAGTGTAAAACGTGTGATGACATTACAGGCCAAATGTTTGCAACCAACACAAACTTAAAAAATGGATTTTTGACCGTTACGTTTATGAACATAAAAAAAGGGATTATTTCTGAAATATAGTTATACAACAGTTAGTTCTAACTGTGCTGTTATTTCACCATAACATCACGGGTTTTTCACAAACACTGTATCACTCCGCTGAGACGCTGTTGCTAAGCAACGACTTTGACAGCTGTAGGAGACGCTCAACCATTTGAACGTTTTTACTTCTTACTTTGCCACAAATAGAAAATGGACACTTTTAAGATCACATTTGACCGACAGCCGATTTGGTCAGACTCTGAAGATGAGACAATACTAAATTCCCAACACCATTCGCCAAACTAAATGGGCTGTAAGATGCTTTACAGACTGGCTGGAACAAAACAACATGAATACTGATCTGGAAAAAACTGACAAAACTGAGCTGAACTTGATATTGCGGCAGTTTTATGGCTCAGTCTGATTTGGTCAGACTATGAAGATCAGACTACACGTTTGGCGAATGGTGTTGGGTTCATTTCTGGCTGATTCCAGGTTGTTCAGCTGTTCTTCTGTCTCAGCTGCCGACTGAAAAGCTGCTCAGTGGTGATGACAGTTTGGGAATTTAGTGTAAGGAGCTGGAGAACGAACTGCCGGCTGTGCAGCGAGTGGGCGGAGCTCGTTACCATGGCGTAGCAACGAGCTGCTCGTTAAGGAACTATAATTTGGTGAAGGAACTGCGAACATTAAAACATATTAAACGCCGCGTTCACGGCCCAGTTTATTAATTTATTACTTTATTTATTTAACTGTTGTATTAAAGCAGTAGAACACTCGAGGAGTGTGTTATCGCCAATAACATCACGGCTGTGATGATCTACGGCGACCAAATCACAGCCGTGATGTTATTTCATGATAACACACTCCTCTCGGGTTCTACTGCCTAAACATATAACACAGCAATAATATGGCAATAGTACGTGCAGAAAATGACTGTTCAAAGAGTTTAGTTGTGCAGTTTATTGCAGCTGTACCACAAGGTCTGTCTCACAAAACAGGATTTCTGTCTTAGCCAACTCTACGCTTAGACTGTGGTGGAAAAAATGAACCTCTTTTTCTTTTAAAGGTACAGGAAGCTCGACAGTGTGGATGTAACAGATTAACAGAGAAATAAGGCTGAAAATGATAAATTATATTCTGACTCGTTGACGATGCGACTGTTCAGTGAAACGCCGTCTGTAATTGCAGGTCCTTCAATGTGAACGTGAAAGCTGCACTGCACGTCGCACAAGTAAGGAAAATCCTATATAAGCTTTTCTCAGAACGTACGTGACGTGATCTGAATGAAACAGCGTTTCTTGTCTTTAAAATAGATTGTGGCCAGAGGAATGAAGGCCAGGGGAACCGGCGGCTCCATTGTGAACGTGTCCAGCCAGGCTGCGCAGCGCGCCTTAAAAGACCATGCAGTTTACTGTGAGTAGAGCTCAGTGATGGAGCCTCAGAGTTCTGTGTTCTTGTCCTTTGTCCTTCCTCCTTTGGTGTTTATTATGTGAGGTTTCAGAGCTGGTGTGGTTTATCAATGGCTTTACGAATTTCAAAAATTGGTGTCCAAATGAACATCTGACCATCAGAGAGTCCAAATGATGGGCTCTCTGATGGTCAGACGCCTTGCTTGGCCTTGCAGACCTACAAACAGTTCTGAAGGTCTGTTACTGAATCATCAAATCTGTCTGTCTGTCAGTCTATCTATCTATGTAACTGTCTATCTGTCTGTCCATCTATCCATCTGTCTGTGTAACTGTCTATCTGTCAGTCTATCTATCTATCTGTGTAACTCTATCTATCTATCTATCCTGTCTGTCTGTCTATCTGTCTGTCTATGTAACTGTCTGTCTATTTATGTAAGTGTATCTATATCTATTTATCTATTTATCTATCTATCTATCTATCTATCTATCTGTGTGTCTGTCTGTCTTTCTGTCGTATATCTACAGCTGTCTGTCTGACATCTTTTTGTCTGTTTGTTGCTCTGTCTGCCTGTCTATCTTTTTGTTTGTCTGTCTATCTGTTTATCTGTCTGTATGTCTGTCTATATATCTCACTGTTTATTTGCTTGGAAAACATAAAACAAAAATGTAACATTGTGTGGCAACATTTTATATTTTGTTTTATTTTTCACCAATATGTTAGCAAATATATAGAAATTGTGCACTGAAATTTGTAAAAATTTAAATTGTGTCTCTGTAGAGGATGTGGAACTTATGTTCACTTAGAAAATCCACAGAACGTGTCATCTGACCGAGGCTGTTCAGACAGTGACTCTGTGCTCTGATCATCTTTCTGAAGGCGCCACCAAAGGAGCTCTTGACATGCTGACGAGGGTGATGGCTCTGGAGCTGGGGCCGTACCAGGTGAATCACCGAGAACTCAGTAATGGACCAGAACCAGGGTGTAGATTTGGTCTAAGACGACACCAGCTGTGTATCAGGTTCTGTATGGCAGCAACTAATGTTAATGCTGACACTGGCTTGTTGGTGAACTAGGTCACTATATTTCATTGCAATCTGTCGACTCCAGAGTTTCTTCTGAAATGAAGGTGTTAATAGTGAGTCTGTGCTGCAGTAACAGCCTCTACTCTTCTGGGAAGGCTTCTAGATGTTGAACATTGCTGTGAGGATTTGATTGAGCATTACTGAGGTCAGGTACTGATGTTGGACGGTCAGTTCTGGATCACTCCAACTCATCCCAAAGGTATTGGATGGAGCTCCATCACTCCAGAGAACACAGTTCCACTGCTCCACAGCCCGGTGCTGGGGGGCTTTATACCCTATATCTAGCCCACGCTTGACATTGGGCTAAAAAAGTGAAATGAATGTGTTTTTCTGTTAAGGGTTTATTTCTCCAGTTTGGGTAAACTGGCTTATTTTTGTGATTGATTATGTGCAGATTCGAGTGAACTCCGTGAACCCCACTGTGGTGATGACGGACATGGGTAAAATAGCATGGAGTGACCCGGAGAAGGCCAAGACCATGAGATCACGTATCCCGCTGGGCAAATTTGCTGGTATGCCTTTAAGGAATGTGTATGGATTGGGGCAGGGTTTGAGTAAAAGGTTGTTATTACCAATTGGGGTAATATAATTTTTCATTTGGATAAGCCATAGAATGAACCACAATCATATATTTCATACATTTTTATATTTTAATAGTCTGTACATGCAAAAAGTATAAGAACTAATAGAGCATATACCACCAATTAGTGTTGATTATGTGTTTTCTGACATTGTATGACTTAAACATGGACTAAACTACAGACCGAATTTATGTTTTGACAGTTTGGTCCAAAGTGCAGGAATTAGATTTTCCCCCAAACTATTGTTTTAATATTGGCTTCATGCCAAATTTCATGTACAGTACTGTGCAAAAGTCAGAGACCATCATTCATTGATTGAGAACTCCACGGAAGCTTCACCAGCTAATCTACTCTCAGCTGTTTGAGTGCTCAGCGAGTCTCTCTTCACCTTTATTCCAGCTTCCACTCACTTTCAGCTCCTCAAAGAATCTGCAGACACACCTCCAAAGTTCAGTCTTAGACGCTGGTTGATCATTTTCTGAAGGAATCAAACACATTCAGTGGTGTTGAGGTCTGGACTCTGGGGTGGTCAGTCCATCGTTCAGCTTCTTTGTTTGATGTGTCCGTCTCCTTTTCTCAGTGAGGTTCTTCTTGATCAGCTACACATCCTTTCAGACCCACAGCGCTGAGTCGTCTTCTCACAGTGGAAGGATGGACAGAAACACCTGTGGATGTTTTCAGATCTGAAGCAGCTTGATTTTCTCCTCTCTCTCAGAGATGAAAGCTTTAAGTGCTGTTTATCTGATGGGGGCAGTTTTGGGGGTCTACCAGGTCCTCCAGGTGGTTGTTAGGAGACACATTTTCTGTGGAGCTTTTGATCAGTTTTTTGAAACTGCTATTTTATCTCTTATTTTTGTTTGATTTTGTCCTTCGTTATGCAAGTGGATTATCTTATATCTAATCCCCTCACAAATATCTCCCAAAAATGGACTTAGGCACAGTACTGTTTGTTGGTTAGAATGGAAATGCAATATAATTAATTTTTAGAGAACTTTCTGATGAAAGTTGTGTCTGGCTGTTTCTTGCAGAGGTGGAAGATGTGGTCAACTCCATCTTGTTCCTTCTCAGTGACAAGAGTGCCATGACCAACGGAGTGACCCTGCCAATCGATGGAGGCTTCCTGGCCAGCTAGATCCTCAGCTGAGCTCATCTTCACTGCAGTTAGATGACAGTTCAGAGAATCCTGAAGGAAAATGTTAGGTGCAAAGTTCTTGTATGGTGTAACGAATTACAGACATTAGCTCAATAATATATAATGTGAACTAACAAGGAATCAACCCTCCTGGCTGTACAGAAGAACACATATTTCACACAATGAAACACTGAGAAAACATCTTAAACATCTGTCCGTTTTGGTAAAGGCTCATCAGTCACTATTCTGACAAGGTTTTTCCGCCCAGCTGTGACAGATGATTTTGGGTTACTGAGTTGTAGTACCACTGATAACCAGTAGAGGGTGAATGCTAAAAGCTAATCAAAGTGGTCTTTCTAGTTTGGTTTCCAGTAAAGTTTAATGAACATTTTCCTACTCAAATAGTTTTCCCTCTTTACTGTTCTCTCTGCCACCACTGAGGATAATAAAAACTTAAAAGCTTTAATATTTCAAAAAAATATAGCTGATATGTAAGCAATATGTAAAAAAAAAGAAAGATGTTAAATGTTTGTCCAGGCTACCCAAATCACAGTGCTGGACAGTGAAACAGCAAATGTTTTTAGAAAGATGAAGGATGTTCAAAGCATTAGGAACTCTTAAGTTGGCTGTAAAGATGTTTGACAACCAGAAATAAAGTCAAGAAATCAAGCAACAAGTCTGACACAGCAGTGTTTGATAGGTCATTGAGTGAACAACGACTTTCTTCAGAAAAATGGAAAAGTCACTAAATTAACCACTAATAGTGGGTGATATACTGGTTCATACAGAATACCAGTTGAAATTCTTCCTCAGGTGGAGTTTTGTCACAACCCTTACACCGCTATGCCACAAATGAGCGCAGGTAATGCGACATAAAGCCATGTTAACGTTACCCCGTCTAGCTGAATGTCTGAGTCAGGGACGTTTTAGTCACGTTTCAAATGAAAATGAAAACACAGCCGACCCTTGATCACCTTCCGCTGTCTAGTACGTGCATACTGTCTAGTAAAATCCATATTTTTTAAATGTAACAATGATATAAAAAGTAAACATGAATCTGTTTTATACAAATTTCTAAGTTAAACCTCATAAAAATATTGTTCAATATTAAAAATGCTTGAAAATTGGTTTAGTGATGAGCTGTTTTACAGATGCAGAGCGACTGAAACAGGATAAAAAGAGAAAAATCAGAATCATAAAGGAAAAGTGTTATTTAATCTCAGCTCAACTGTGTAAATGTACATACTGACTTTTGGAGCTGTGCCTCATATTTTAAGCATCTTTTTAGGCCCTGAAACCTCTGTGACATGGTTTCCCCTCCAAATGGAGAACGACCCACGTACATTTTTGCTCATCACAGGGTGAGACAGCAGCCAAACGGCATTCATTTTTCATAGAGGTAAATGGCTTCGACCCGGAGTCCCTAATTTGGACACCAAGTCCAGACAAATTGCGAGGTCTATGTCAGACGCTACTGAAAATACCGATGACGTCAGAGGACGGTTAAGATGTGAACAGATTTATTAATGCATTCCTCATTTAAGACATTGTGTTTTTAAATATTCCATATTGATTCACTGAAATGTCTTTTGGCAGCTGTGAACATCATTTCTCCCCTCCAGCTTTAGAGTTAGTGACAGTGTAGGACATGGAAGGCTGTAGCACCGATGCAGGACACTGCTAGTGACCATGCACACCACTCACTCACATCCACACAGCATGCAGACAAGAGGAGGCTGTTCCAAAGTGGAGGAGGAGAACCCCCCCGTACATGAGCCTGAGCCTAAAGACGCTTTCAGGGTACCAAGGCTTCTCAGCCTCACATGCAAATCACATTTACATCTCATCGGCTTTTCTCAATCCACAGACCTTCTGGAGAACAAAAAGGAACTAATCTTCTAATCGACTGTTAACCAAACGAAGCGTTTTCCGTTTAAATGTATAAAACCAGTGTTTTAATTCACAAAAGCATTAAATAATAATCCTGTATGACTCACACAGACCACTGAACTGTCTTACAGTTACTTCCCTAAACTCTTAAAGGGGAACTCCACTGATTTTTCAAAATTTCTGCATAAATTACATGGGTAAAATGTAAACAGAGAAACTTAAGAGTCAGAACTGTTCACAGTGGTGGTGATAGGAACCAGACGTCCACCTCTAAAAGCTCCCTCACAGAAAGTTACTACATGAAATGGTTATGAATTCACTGCCTGATGACTGAGACACTGTTTTATGATAGTTTTGAGAAGAGTTTGGGCCTAAAATCCATTCATGGTGGAGGGATACATAATATGCAGGGTGCTGTGAGGCAAAATAGTCCCCAAAAAATATTTCCACTATTTTACCATCAATAACATCCTATATAAAACTCAGAAGACTCGTGTAGGTTCACTGGTGGTTCTGGATAGTAAATAAAATGTCTATATTTGTGTTGTAGTCATGGCGACCCCTGGTTCCTATCACCACCACTGTAAAGACATCTGAACCATTTCACACCAAACCACTCTGAATCTCTCTGATTACACCTCACACACAGTTACAGAGTTACAGAGGAATTTGGGGGAAATCAGAGGAAACCGCCTTTAAAAATAAAGGTCCCTGAAGGGTTCTTGTCTTGGAAGGAGCTTAAACTGGAGTAGATCCTGCACATTATGTCAGCTTTAAGAAGGTTCTTCACAAAAAAGAACCCACTGATGCTGACTGAAAGCTCTTCCAGGAGCATAAAGTGGTTCTCCAATGACATCATTTCAAAGAACGTTATAGCACCTTTATTTATAAGCGTGTATGTACATTGAATATGCTTTCATAAGTTTAAGTGCCATATAAACAGTTTTAAACCCTCCGTTCACACCTGTGAGCCGTATCGGTAACACTGTGCAGGGCAATGTGAGCTTTCTACAACTGTGTGTAGGTGAGTGTGTGTGCTTCCCTTACCGCCCTCCTTCAGGAGCTACACTGAAACATCCCCTCGTCAACACACACCTGTATTTACCACTAAAACACCTCATAGAAAACAGTGTGAAAGGGGTGTTGTGCCACCGTGTGAAAGGGAAAACAAAAAAAGGCACCTAGTCAGCCATCTACCATGATGCTTCTGACCGTCATCCTATGGGTCAAGCCATGCCAACAACTTACATACACACACACACCTATTACTCTCCTTGTGGAAAAGCCTCAGGGGACGGAGGCACCTGTCTCGGAACCTGTTCGTAGTGGTTGGTGTAGGCCGCTTCACAGTTACTGTAGTGTTGAGTAGTGAAGGCAGGAAGCTGCCAGTGGTCTGTCCAGCTTTCAGAACAGTGTGCACCTCCGGCCATGTTTCTTGACCGGCGGAGGGCAGAGGACGGCACGGATTGCCTCGTCAAACACGGTCTTCAGGCCGCGCTGGGTCAGAGCCGAGCACTCCAGGTACTTCACAGCACCTACATGGAGAGAAAACAGAGGCAAGAGGTGAGCACAGATGTTTACGTCATACTGAGGAGGAGCTAATTCATAGACACGCCCCCTTCCACTGAATACACAGAGTCTCTTATGTATTTATCATTAAATTTCTCAGCATTCCTCCATAACTCAGCGTGTGAGATGTAATCAGAGAGATTCAGAGTGGTTTGGTGTGAAATGGTTCAGGTGTCTTTACAGTGGTGGTGATAGGAACCAGGGGTCGCCATGACTACAACACAAATATAGACATTTTATTTACTATCCAGAACCACCAGTGAACCTACACGAGTCTTCTGAGTTTATATGGAATGTTGATGATGGAAAATAGTGGAAAATCTGAAATAATAAGTTTTCTTTGGGGACTATTTTGCCTCACAGCGCCCTGCATGTATCCCTCCACCATGAATGGAGTTTAAAATGACACTTTAGGCCAAATCAGGGTCTCAGACAGTATCAGGCAGTGAATTCATAACCATTTCATGTAGTAACAAGTTCACCACTTATATTTAAGGCTTTGTGCGCTGTTCAACTTCCTTGATCACAAATCCAGAGGATGATCTGAACACACCACAATCTCAAACCATTTTGTGTTGACAGCGCAAAAAATGGTCCCTGTCTGACTGTAAAATCAGCGATAATCTGGCTCCATAAACCTGCTCTTCTCAAAAGTGGCGCAGGAAACTGACGGTAGAGCAAAAGTGGTTTCCAAGAGCTGCTATCTAAACGGTGAACAAAGAAGAGCTGGTTTTCCATGTTTTTAGGAAAAATGAGTGAAAATCTGCAAATCATCTGTCTGTAGCGTACACTCTTAAAAAAGATGGTTCTATATAGAACCATGAACACTCAAAGAGCCCATGATTAAACGCTTCTCTGCATGGTGAAATGGTTCTTCAGGTTGATGGAGAATGTGTTGTATATGGTTCTATTTAGAACCTTTTTGAGAAAGGTTCTATATATCACCGAAAAAGGTTCTTCTATTGTAACAAGTTTGACACTGTAACAATAGCAGAACCTTTTTGGTGCTATATAGAACCGTAAACAACACATTCTCCATCAATTTAAAGAAAACATTTGCGATGTAAAGAATCCTCTAATCATGCAAAGGGTTCTTTAAGTGTCCGTGGTTCTATATAGAACCATTTTCTTTACTAAAGAATTTTTGAAGAACCATCTTTTTAAGTGTGTAGTAGCTGAAGTGTTTACTAAATACTAGATTACTGAGGCTGGAACAACAAAAATATAAACAAAATGAAAAAATACAATAAAGGGACTAAAATATAAGCCAAAAAGTAAAATTGGCTGAATTTTTGACTGTTCTAGGCCTGGGAACCCCCACACTCAAATACGTAAAAGCTCATCTCTCAAGCCAGTGGAATGGTTGTTAAAAAGGGTTACTGGTTCCACTGGTGCAAATTTAGGGAGTGGCGGTGATTTTCTGTGAGTAATACTGCTTGTTTCTTTTTTTTAATGTTGACATATAAACCATAAAATATCATAAGATTATGGTAACTCTGCATATTTTGTTTACGTAGCTGAAATCTGCAACTTTTATGTGGTGCTACTATTGTATGTATGTAAGAGCCTCACCCTGTTGGCTCCGCCTACTTGTCATGTCAAACTTGCACCCCTAAATTGTTCCCAGCTCCGGCTTGAGCACCAGAACTTTGTCAGTGAAAAACAAGTAACAGAGCACCAGCAGGCAGAGTGCAGCCTACAGAACAATAGTACAGTCCAGTATAATGGAGCACAGGAAATACATAATTAGAGGAAATTATTCATTTAGCTGGAACAGCAGTCGGGGAAGTGAGAGTGCAGGAGCTCCCAGAGATGATTATCTGGGCAGTGGTCTTGTTTAAGTCAGGCTTTTATTGTTCCTGGCGAGCTCTAAAGCGGCGCTCAGTCTCAGGACGGCGGCCTGGAGAAACGCACGCGCCACAAAGGAGCCCTCTGTTCCAGCGGACGGGCGGCTCTCCCCGCAATGGCCATTCAGTTTGCCAAACATCTTTCTCGGGCTCCTCCTTGCTCCCCCTCGCGCTTCAGACAATGGGCCTCTGTGCTCCGCTGAACAAGCTCAAGCACATGACAACACAGACCATAAAGCCACTGGCTCTGAGAGTCCGGCACTTTACTCTGAGCCTCCAGCCTGTAGAAAAGGCCGCTGAAGCCCTTCTATATTCCAAACACAACAGGGTCACTTCAGGTCATGCATGGCTGATTTTCTGCACCTGGGTCTGTTTAGGCCGTTTATATGAAGCCGTCAGAGTCAGAACTGTTCACAGTGGTGGTGATAGGAACCAGACGTCCACCTCTAAAAGCTCCCTCACAGAAAGTTCCTACATGAAATGGTTATGAATTCACTGCCTGATGACTGAGACACTGTTTTATGATGGTTTAGAGAACTTAAACTCCATTCATGGTGGAGGGATACATGCAGGGCGCTGTGAGGCAAAATAGTCCCCAAAGAAAACTTATTATTTCAGATTTTCCACTATTTTCCATCATAAACATTCCATATAAACTCAGAAGACTCGTGTAGGTTCACTGGTGGTTCTGGATAGTAAATAAAATGTCTATATTTGTGTTGTAGTCATGGCGACCCCTGGTTCCTATCACCACCACTGTAAAGACATCTGAACCATTTCACACCAAACCACTCTGAATCTCTCTGTTTACACCTCACACACGGAGTTATGGAGAAATGTGCTCAGGGTAACTGTAGTCAATTATATAATTTGTGAACTATTCTCGATGTTCAAATTGCACAGAAGTCGTTCGGTTCGGGGCTGTAATGTGATCTGTAAAGCCCCAGAACGTGTTTGGATTCACTACAGTCATTATCTGAGCTTATCCTCTGGTGTTGGTTAACTCTATGGTTTGTCGCCATGCAGAACTCTCCGCTGCCCTCACCGATCTCCCGGGCCATGGCCAGGCCCTGAGGGTAAGTGATGGGCGAGAGCTTTTTGTCACGCAGCCTCTCTATGGTGTCCTTATCGTCACGCAAGTCCAACTTGGTGCCCACCAGGATGATGGGTGTGTTGGGGCAGTGATGTCTCACCTCTGGATACCACTGTACAATTCACAGAATGAAGAATTAGCATGAAAGGGGACTAGCATTCGCTATCCAGTTATTAATGGACATAAAGAAGGCAAAGACAAATGCTAACATACACCGATCAGGCATAACATTCTGATAACATTATCAGCTCCACTTACTATATAGGTGCACTTTGTAGTTCTACAGTTACAGACTGTAGTCCATCTGTTTCTCTGATACTTTGTTAGCCCCCTTTTACCCTGTTCTTCAGTGGTCAGGACCCCCATGGACCCTCACAGAGCAGGTACTATTTGGGTGGTGGGGCATTCTCAGCACTGCAGTAACACTGACGTAGTGGTGGTGTGTTAGTGTGTGTTGTGCTGGTCTGAGTGGATCAGACACAGCAGTGCTGCTGGAGTTTTTAAACACTGTGTCCACTCACTGTCCACTCTATTAGACACACCTACCTTGTCAGTCCACCTTGTAGATGTAAAGTCAGAGACGATAGCTCATCTGCTGCTGCACAGTTTGTGTTGGTCATCCTCTAGTCCTTCATCAGTGGTCACAGGACGCTACCCACAGGACGCTGTTGGCTGGATATTTTTGGTTGATGGACTATTCTCAGTCCAGCAGCGACACTGAGGTGTTTAAAAACTCCAGCAGCACTGCTGTGTCTGATCCACTCGCACCAGCGCAACACACACTAACACACCACCACCACGTCAGTGTTACTGCAGTACTGAGAATGATCCACCACCCAAATAGTACCTGCTCTGTGAGGGTCCATGGAGGTCCTGACCACTCAAGAACAGGGTAAAAGGGGGCTAACAAAGTATCAGAGAAACAGATGGACTACAGTCTGTAACTGTAGAACTACAAAGTGCACCTATATAGTAAGTGGAGCTGAAAAAATGGACAATGAGTGTAGAAACAAGGAGGTGGTCAGAATGTTATGCCTGATCGGTGTATGGCTAACAATGAATCAGCATTTGGGTGTGATATAGGAGAACTCAAGACAAACAGCCTATGTGAAGTTACCATACTTATGACACCTCCTTCACCTTCGTGGACCCCAAGACCCTAATTATGACTGTGTTTTAAATATATTTAACAAATATATTTGGTAAATACATCTGGAATATACATTTCTCCATATGGGGCTGTAGAACCACCAGTGGGCCGCCCAGAAAACGCTGAGCAGAAAGGCAGTGGGCCGTCAGCTTTTGCCCTGTTATCCTCTTGCTATCTGGGTAATAACATGGGACAGCTAACCAAAGTGATCTAGCCAGTTCTTTTGGTAGCCACTGTGCTAAGATTCAGTAGTTAGCCACGTTAGCCGCTTTTACAGCTACAGAAGTGATCACAGCTGTACTGAACAAGCGTTTGATGGAACTGATGAAGCTCCTGATCCAATGTACTGAAAAGTGAATTTTAGGAGAATTTGGTTTGGCCAAGAAACAAATGAACAGAAACTGTTAAAACAAACCTTCGCACGGACGTTCTCGAAGGACGCTGGGCTCACTAAGGAGAAGCATATCAAGAACACATCCTGTAAAGAAATGCACAGCGCTATTAACATCACAGCCTTCGCTTATTTTACTCTGAGCACATTAGAGTGGGGCGTAAGATCAGTTTTAGCCAATGATTAACTGTCTTATAAATAACTGTCTTTTCTTGTTAATGAACAGTACAAGCCTAAACCGACTGATTAGCCATCTCACTTCCCAGCTAGGTTTGATTTAAGCAGTAGAACACAGAGGGAGTGTGTTACCATGAAATAACATCACGGCTGTGATTTGGTCGCCGTAGATCATCACAGCCGTGATGTTATTGGCGATAACACACTCCTCGAGTGTTCTATTGCTTTAATACAGCAGTTAAATAAATACAGTAATAAATTAATAAACTGGGCCGTGAACGCGGCGTTTAATATGTTTTAATGCTCGCAGCTCCTTCACCAAATTATAGTTCCTTAACGAGCAGCTTGTTGCTACGTCAGAGTAATGAGCTCCGCCCACTCGCTGCACAGCCGGCAGTTCGTTCTCCAACTCCTTACACTAAATTCCCAAACTGTCGTCACCACTGAGCAGCTTTTCAGTCGGCAGCTGTGACAGAAGAACAGCTAAACAACCTGGAATCAGCCAGAAATGAACCCAACACCATTCGCCAAACGTGTAGTCTGATCTTCAGAGTCTGACCAAATCGGCCGTCGGTCAAATGTGATCTTAAAAGTACCCATCATGCCTTGAGCGTCTCCTACAGCTGTCAAAGTCGTTGCTTAGCAACAGTGGACTGCTACAGTGTTTGTGAAAAACCTGTGATGTTATGGTGAAATAACAGCACAGTTAGAACGCCTCTCAATCAGCTTACGTGGCCAGAACTAACTGTTGTATAATAGTAGCTAATACTGGTTGCACTGACAAAGTGATACACTGGGCTGTTGTGAGTGTGACCGAATCGTGTGTGGAGTCACACAAGAGCGAACATATAAGCACTCAGTCTGCTAGCATACATGCTAAATATGTTAGAATTAGCTACATAGCTAACAAATACACCAACATCACTCAGCACTGCCCGCTGATCATCTTACACTGTTAATAAAAACGGTTCTTCAAGGGTTCTTTAGTAAAGGCAATGGTTCTAGAACAATGAACCATTTGCATGCTTAAAGGGTTCTTTGCATGGTGAAATGGTTTGATGGAGCATGAGTTGTATATGGTTCTAAATAGAACCTTTTTTTTTTATAAATGGTTCTATGGAGCACCAAAAAGGCTTCTGCTATTGTCATGATGTCAAGCTTGCACACTTTTGGTTCTTCAAGGGTTCTTTAGTAAAAAAAATGGTTCTATGCAGAACCATGAACACTCAAAGAACCCTTGTGTTCTCTGCATCATGAAAGGATTGATGAAGAACGTGATTCTTAGGATTGATGAAGAACGTGCTGTATATGGTTCTATATAGAACCTATTTGAAAAGGGTTTTTTATAGCACTAAAATTGTATTGTTACAAGCTTGACGTCATAACAATAGAATAACCCTTTTTGGTGCTATATAGAACCCTTATATATGTAGAACAAAAATGTTACACATAGAACCATCTACAGCGCAGTAGTTTTCACCGATCTAAAGAACCATTTCACCATGCAAAGAACCCTTTAATCGTGTTCTATATAGAACCATTTTCTTTACTTAGGAACAGTCTTTTTAAGAGTGTGTAACAGTAGAAGAACCCTTTTTGGTGCTTACATAGAACCATTTTCAAATGTTTTTTTGGAAAAATGAGTCAAAATCTGCACATCATCAGTCTGTAGCCTACACTTATAAAAATGAGTTCAAGGGTTCTTTAGAAAAGAAAATGGTTCTGTATAGACCCATGAACACTCAAAGAACCCTTCTGACATTCTAACGAGAAGATCCTTTTTGGTGCTATGTAGAACCCTTTTCAAAAATGTTCTATATAGAACCATCTACAACACATTCTCCATCAGTCTGAAGAACCGTTTCACCATGCAGAGAAACATTTAAGCATGCAAAGCTGAACTGTTTAGTTTTCATAACCCGCAAAATGTCTTAATGAATTAAATTATTACTTTCTTTTATTTACATTTATTTGCCTCACAATTCACATTTTGCTTGTTAGAGAAATTTAACGGCCGAGGAAAATAACTGCGGTATTAAATAATTACGATCATAATTGCGTTTATGTAATAATCCTGACAGGCCTACATAGGAGATCCGCCTGCTCACCGTCTGTGGGTAAGAGAGAGGACGAAGGCGGTCGTAGTCTTCCTGTCCTGCTGTGTCCCACAGGCCGAGATTGACCGGCTTCCCATCCACCATCACGTTGGCGGAATAGTTATCGAATCTGGACAAAACAGACGCCCCCATCAGGTCGTGTTTTAAAGCTGCGGTATGTGGAGAATGTATGTGGTATTTGGTATCATTATAATGTGCTCATTTGCTAATTTTCCCGACACATTCCAAAACCTGACCTCTATTCCAAACCGGTGACCATAAACGAACGGCCTTTTATTTCTGTGGTGAGCGTGAAAATTAAAATTCTGACACCACATTCCAAAAATTCAACCTGGCTCTGGAACTGGGCGACGATCAGAATCAGCTCATAGCTCAGCAGCTCCATAGAGCCGTAGAGTCTCCCTGGTTCCTGCATGGTGATGCTAATCAGTGCTCCTTTGTGGTGACTTGACACCAGATTCCTCTGTGTTAAAGGGCCCATATCTCGCATTTTGCTTGTGTTTTGTTTTCCCAGAAAGGTCCTTTTATGACATTTGTGTGGTTTTATGTGCCAAAACAAGTCAAAATTCATCATTTTTCATGACCATTTTCCAAGCTCTTTTTATCCCTTTCTGTGCTGGATTACCACAAAGATACAGACACAGATACAGAGACAGAGACTTTGATCCAGAGGGCCAAACAGGCGTTTTTTTGTTACTGTGCCTTTAAGACAATAGAGCTTTACAAATGAGCTCTATTCTTATTGGCTGCCCCGAATTGTGCCTCTTTTAGAAAGCAGCCCTCTCACACTGAAGTCTCTCTTTAAAACATCAGCGCGAATGGGCGGGGCTAAAGTGCTGTTTAGGTTTCAGTTTATTATGTAATACTTTCCTCATTTTAGTAGTTCTCTTCATTAAAACCTTACAGTTGTGTTGAAGCATGTTATTCCTACGCTGAAGGTGATGTTTAGATACACTTTACATTTTTTTGTGATTCTCAGATCCTCCAGTTCCGGCTTTATTGCTGTCATGTACTGCAGTTCAACAGAATTTATTATGTGTTTCCCGGTAGTATCTGTTTTTAGGTTTCACGGTAGATTGTGAGTTCAAATCCCAGTGATGTCACATATAAAAAAGACGCTCGTTATCAGCACATATAACCGATAAAACTGTTCAGATGTTGTCAATATCGGCCGATGTTATCGGCCCCCGCCGTATCGGTCGGGCCCTACTGTACTGCAAACCTTAAAAAGCGAACTTCAGACACCACTTCTTTTCACCACACAGGGGTGGCTGATATGGCGAAAATATAATACATGGTATGTACCATGATATTTGATTTTTTTAACAATACTGAGTTTAAACAGACAAAACAGAGCCAGCAATGTTGCATTAAAAAGTTACTATAAAAACTATGAATACAGCGACTTCTATTCAGTGTTTCACCCACTCTGCTGCACTAAATCCCATTAAACAGGCCTAATTAAGCTTTCTTTGTAATTAAACATGCAGTTGGTCAGGGTTCTTTAAGTATTGGTCCACAATAAGCTCAGAAAAGCATATTGTGATGTAATTTACCACATAATATATATAAATATTGTGCATATTGCCGACCCATGACTACATTTGGCATAAGGGGTGGGGAGGCTGCATAAATGTGTGGAAAGCAGGCCGAGAGAGCATCAGTTTGAATAGGGGTCAGACAAAAACAAGACTAAATAGGCTAATGGAGTTTAAAGCCTGAGGGTACTCACACTGTGGGTATGTACTCGCCCGGGAAGGCATTGGTGGTGTAGCTGATTAGTAGACAGGTCTTACCCACAGCCCTAAGAGAGAGAGAGAGGAGAGAGAGAGAGAGAAACGGCAAAGTAATTCACTCGTTAACCCTCTTACAGGCAGTTTCCCACACAAACAAGTCTAATCTTGGACTAAATTGTAAAGTCAATGGTGATTTTCCATTGACAGTCCTTTCTAGTCCAGGCACAGGCCTAATCTGGGTCTGCGAAGCTGCTGATCAGTGCACTATAATGATGTAAAAGTATACATTTGCAGTGTTTCCCACAGGTCTAAGGGGGGGGCATTGGAGCGGGGGGTGTGGGGGGGGGCGGTTAGATGTACATTCAACTTTATCATTGCTTAGTACAAGTACGAGACAACGAAATGCAGTTCAGCATCAACCAGAAGCGCAAATAGTACCACTGCGCAAAAAGGAACACAATGCAAGTGTAATATTATCTGTATATACAAGTTATAACTACACAAAATACATAAACTAGTTAAATAACAGTTAGAGAACAGTCTATTTTATAACAATATTTACCATAGGTACTATTTTCCTTTACATATATATATATATATATATATATATATATATATATGTATATACACCGATCAGGCATAACGTTCTGACCACCTCCTTGTCTCTACGCTCATTGTCCATTTTATCAGCTCCACTTACTATATAGGTGCACTTTGTAGTTCTACAGTTACAGACTGTAGTCCATCTGTTTCTCTGATACTTTGTTAGCCCCCTTTTACCCTGTTCTTGAGTGGTCAGGACCCCCATGGACCCTCACAGAGCAGGTACTATTTGGGTGGTGGACAGTGAGTGTGTTTAAAAACTCCAGCAGCACTGCTGTGTCTGATCCACTCGTACCAGCACAACACACACTAACACACCACCACCACGTCAGTGTTACTGCAGTGCTGAGAATGATCCCACCACCCAAATAGTACCTGCTCTGTGAGGGTCCATGGGGGTCCTGACCACTGAAGAACAGGGTAAAAGGGGGCTAACAAAGTATCAGAGAACTACAAAGTAGAACTAGAAGTAACTGTAGAACTACAAAGTGCACCTATATAGTAAGTGGAGCTGATAAAATGGACAATGAGCGTAGAAACAAGGAGGTGGTCAGAATGTTATGCCTGATCGGTGTAGTAACGCATGGCACTCCTTGTTTTTGCTGTATTGACAATCAAGACACTGCCGTATTGTATTGAATTGAATGGTGAATTTGATGAATCGTTACACCCCCAGCAGAAACCACACCATTTGTGCTTTATAGATTAATGTGAAAGGTCTTCCATAGAGCAAACATAGCTCATTGAAAACACATAAAGAGGGTGGGGGGGTGTAACTGTGTTTGAGTGTGAACGTTAGTGACAGACTCTGTCCCAGATTCACTCTGCCCGAGGCCACACTCCCTCTGTCAGGAGAGCACGCAGGGACAGTCCAGAGAAATACTCACATTCGCTCTGCTCTCATTCGTTCTGACCGCAGTGAAGGGAGTGGCCCTTCAGTCTTAGGGACGGACGATACCTCCCGTTTTCTTACAGAGTGATATTAGGGCGACAGATACTTTCTAAAATCACTTTTCACACCAGTTTTGAGTTTCAGAGACGTTTTCATTTGATTGGGTTGGTTTCACAGTGCAGCGGCTAAAGCACACCCAGTTATACATGTAGGTAGGGCTGGGCAATATGATGATATTTTATCGTTATCGTGATAAATTATGTAAATTATGGATATCATCAGTACTTAAAAAACACTGACTGACCGCTGTTTCATTACAAAGTCAGCACAATTATTATTATTACAAATTACTGTTGTTATTATTATTGTGTGTAGTGAAACTGCCTTGAAGTATCGTTATATAATACTTTCTGACATATCGCCCACCCCTACACCTGGATGCTTTCCCATATGGAAAGAAAATGTATGAACGTGTATTTTTAAATATTTGAAATATGTTTCAAACACATTGCAGGCCATTGAAAATACATTTTAGTGTTTGGAATGTATTTCAGAATTTGTTTCCATAAACCAAATATATTTAAAATACACGTATTATAAAATGTATGGGGAAATATTACACAGACAAATATAAATGTATGTAAATGTGTTTATTAAATCCATTTGAAAATGTGTGAAAGTATCCAGAATCCTGTCTGATGCTCTTCACTGTCTGAAATGAATTTGTGTTCCAGTCTCTTCATTTTAAATCTGATCTAATGATCCTTTAACAGGACAGAAGCGAGTGTTGTGGGTATTGATACTCTGTGAAAATGCAGTTATGATCTGATATCTTGTTTATGTGAAATACATTGTGTGTGAGAGTCTGACTGCAGACGTACATGGTTAATGTAAAGTACAGTGTGGATCACAGTCAGTACGTTTAGGTACATCTGGAACCTTCATTACACAACTCAACACAGATAATAACACAAACTGATAAATGCATTTTAAATATATTTAACAAATATATTTTTGGCCATTTTCATACACTGCACAAATATATCTGATAAATACATTTGGAATATATTTTTTCTTCCATATGGGTTGATTGGTCGGGATAAACACTTATTATCGATATTTTTTATGTAAATATCGATACTCTGAAGTATCAGTAGTATTGATACTTCAGTATCGAGTTGCCCAGTCCTTCCTCTGCTTAACGTTAGGCTTGTTTTTAGAATTTCCCGTTCCACCTTAAACGGTTCAGGCGCTAGAATGTAACTGCTGCACCATTTAAGGTGGAACGGGAAATTCGAACATAGTTCAGTCACTAAAAACATATGAATGAACTAATTATGCCTTTAATAAGAGGGAAAATGACTCCAGCTACAGAGAATCTCAGGATGTAGCTCATCTAATAACGTTATAGTCATTTTCACGCAAAATATGCTTCATAAGTCTGACTGGAGAACAGAATTTGGCTTAGGCAGTGACAAAAATGACAGAATACTGTGTGCACAGACGCGTTTTTGCATTGTAGAACCGTGTCTGAGGTTCGGTCCACCTCCCTCCCTCTCTCTCTCTCCCTCTCCCTCTCTCTCTCTCTCTCTCTCTCTCTCTCCCTCTCTCTCTCCATTCACAAAATCATAGTCACTCACCCGTCGCCGACCACCACGCATTTAATAGCCTGCATCTGTGAAGTGGCGGTGCAGCTTCTTCGAGGCGACAGCAGATCTTAGTGTTTCTGGATCTGTATTTATTCCAGGTTGTGATGCAGAGCAGAAAAGCCCACATTCACTGTCCCAGCCCTCCCCGGCGGATTCGGAGCATCGGCGAAAACCTCCGGAAAGTGCCGAGCACCTTTAAAGGGCCAGTACCGTCACTGTATGATGAACTCACACATTTGCTATGTACACTCTACAAGGCTTTATAAGGCTCTATAAGGGTTCTTCAGTAAAGGGAATGGTTCTGTGTAGAACCACGAGTTCTATATAGAACGATTTCATGCTTCAAGTGTTCTTTAGTAAAGACAATGGTTCTATTTAGAACCATGAACACTCATATAACCATTTGCATGCTTTACATGGTGAAATGGTTCTTCAGATCGATGGAGAACATGTTGTATATGGTTCTTAATAGCACCAAAAAGGGTTCTGCTATTGTTACCATGTCAAGTTTGTATACAATAGAAAACTATTTTTGGTGGTATATAGAACCCTTTTCAAAATAGTTCTAAACGCTCTTAAAAATGATGGTTCTTCAAGGGTTCTTTCATAAAGACAAAGATTCTATATAGAACCATTAACACTGAAAGAACCATTTGCATGCTTAAACTGTTCTTTACATGGTAAAATTGTTCTTCAGATTGATGGAGAATGCGTTGCATATGGTTCTAAATAGCACCAAAGAGGGTTCTGCTGTTGTTACTATGTTAAGTTTCTGTACAATAGAGAAACCCTTTTTGGTGGTATATAGAACCATATACAACATATTCTACATTCGTTTGAAGAACGATTTCACCATACAGAGAACAATTTAAGCATGCAAACGGTTGATTCAAGGGATGGCTCTATTTAGAACCATTGTTTTTTGAAGCACCACCTTTTTTAAGTTTATGGCTGCGTTTAAAGGGATGATTTGACCTAAAAATGACATTTACATAGTTTCCCTTTACCCCTAATAAAGATAACGCCTCTGTGACTTAAACCACCATTTTTTTTTCAAAATTTCATAATTAAATGGTTAAACAGTCGTTCAGAGTGGTTTGGTGTGAAATGCTCAGTTCTAAAGAAACTTACCGAGTCATAATTGTTCACAGTGGTGGTGATAGGAACCAGAGGTCCAATCGAAAGTCAGATTTTCCACTATTTTCCTATCATCAATATTCCATATAAACTCAGAAGACATGTGTAGGTTCACTGGTGGTTTGGGATAGGAAATCAAATAGTTATATATTCTGAATGACAATGTTTATATCTGAAAGACTGAACCATGCAGAGATTTTGAAAAATGGTGAAATTTCCCTCTAATTCTTTTGCACAAATGGCTAAATCACTTGTCAAAATGCATTAAGACAAGTCGTCTGAAACAGACCTGCTTATGTGTATCTACAAAAAAAACAAACTGACCACTTTTTTGTAAACATTTTATTGTATAAAAACAGTCCATACAAGAAAATAAAATAATCAAGTATAAAATATTAAAAAATGATCTGGCTCACAGCACCCGCCAGCAGACAACACATACAATTCATAAAGATCATAATTTTTTCCCAGTTTACACAAAAATATGGATCAAATACAGATTTGCTGCATTGGTTCTGATGAAGCCTCGCTTGAGTTGGTTTATCCTGAGATAACAGCTGGTTTCAGTGAAGAGGTTTAAATGATCTGAATATAATTTATTCATATTAAAGAGAAAAATACCACACAGGACACCACTTAGATAATTTTATCATCACTGCCGTAACAAAACCTCATAACTCCATTTTAAGTTTTAATTTAGTTTTTAACTATTTGGAGCTGTTACACTGTGTGAAGATTTCACGATGAATTGACAAACAAAAATGGTCCCAAATTACTTGGAATAAGATCTCATTGCATTAACACACATTCAGCTTGAAGAGAAATTCCACCAATATCCCAAAAATGTTCTCATCTAGAGTCAGAATTGTTCACAGTGGTGGTGATAGGAAGCAGATGTCCACCTCTAAAAGCTCCCTCACAGAAAGTTCCTACATGAAATGGTTATGAATTCACTGCCTGATGACTGAGACACTGTTTTATGATAGTTTTGAGAACTTAAAATCCATTCATGGTGGAGGGATACATGCAGGGGGCTGAGAGGCAAAATAGTCCCCAAAGAAAACTTATTATTTCAGATTTTCCACTATTTTCCATCATCAACATTCCATATAGACTCAGAAGACTCGTGTAGGTTCACTGGTGGTTCTGGATAGTGAATAAAATGTAGTCATGGCGACCCCTGGTTCCTGTCACCACCACTGTAAAGACATCTGAACCATTTCACAGCAAACCACTCTGAATCACTCTGTTTACGTCTCACACACTGAATTATGTGGACATTTTACAAAATGGGTGGAATTCCCCTTTAAGAACATGTTTCCCCTGTAAAGTTAGCTTTTCAGAGATATGGAGTTCAGTTACAACAGTGACAAAATGCAAAGCCACCTCAAGCAGCTGCATTTTACGTCCTCTGGTCCAAACCAGAAAATTTCAAAACTAAACAACGTTCAAAAAATGTACAAATCCGCACATCAAATATCCTAAAAACCAGCCAGGAGTGTTTATTAATCAGATAAGTTGATGTCCAGCTGACGTGAGAGGAAGTGCGTGGTTGTAATGCTGACTGTGTCTGTTGAGGAGGGCTGGGGGTCACTTTTTGGGGCTGTAATGTCCGAGCGGTGAGCCCTGGACGTAGGTAAGTATCGCGTTCTGGAGGAAGCTGGCTCTCTGCGCCTCGTCCTCGCGCATGCGCTGAATCTCTCCCTCCTTCATACGCAGACGCTCCAGCAGAGAAGAGATCTCGCTCTCTTTGTCCAGGAGAGCCTCGCGGTGGGAGGCACCAAGAGCTGTACAGCAGAAACACATACAGACACACAAAATTATCTAAAGGCATGTAGTGTAGCATATCCAAAACGTGTGTATGATAACTGATATATTACATATCAGTGAGTTACACACACTCTCAGAAATAAATGTACTAAACTGTCACTGTCCCTGAAGGCTCCATCTCAGTACCTTCAGTCAGGGAACATAACTGAACCATAATCCACTGAAATGATATGTTCTAAGCTGTACTGACTCCACACACCCCGTCTCGTCTCCAGGACTTTATTTTACTGTTCTGTTTAAAACATTCGGTTATGAAAAGGTACAAATACGAACTTTTCACCTGGAAACACTTATTTAAGGTTCACAATCAGACCTTAAAACCACTGTTGGAGCTTTGAGGGAACATTGACACTGTTTGTACCTTGATGGACAAAAAAGGAACTGGCACAGAACGTTTATTTCTAACAGTATATGAAGTGTATGAGCTGTGGAGTGAACAGTGTGTAAAGCATGGTTGTTTTTCCATGATATGAGCCCTTTTAGCCGTGTGTGTGAGAAGAAGCCACTGAGGTTTTTATCTGTTACCCTTCATTTCTCTCTCCAGAGCAGCGATCTTCTCCTTCAGGCCACTCTGAGCCGTCCGCTCCGCCTGAAGGTGGCCGATCTGCTCCTGCAGCTCCACCCTGACCCGCGTCACCTCCGCCATCTTCTCCTGCTCCTTCCCCGCCAGATCCTGCAGACGAAGAACAGAGTCGTGCTACTGGAAGGATGGAAGCTTCATCTGTGTGGCCTCATAGGACTTTAATCGCAAGTGGGACAGTCTTTACTGTCTTTTTTCATTAGTTACTGTAGCAGAGAGAGATTATTTATTTATTAACTTAATTTACTGACCTAGTTTGGTTTTTCATTTAGTCCACTTATTTTTTTTCTTTATTGCTATTCTTTAAATGTACAACATGCTACCTGTATGAAAAGTGCTCTATAAAAACGCTTTTATTATTATTATTGTTATTATTATTATTATCATTATTATTATTATATATTCATGTCGAGGCAGATGCCAGTTTGTTAAGGAGATATTATCCATCCATTACTTTAAAGCGACGTAATATAAAATTAACACAATCTTACACAAAATATAAAATTATAATAATTTATATATACATAAAATATAAAACATACCAAAAAAGAACATGTTTTGGTGTCTGAAGTTTGCTTCTTAAATTTTAGCACCAGAGCTAAAAGGCTATTACCCACCAATTAGCATTTTGCCAACTACATGCCTAAATCATTTCATCAGTTAGCACTGGGCCTGGAAGATATCTAAAAATAATTATCATGATATTTTCTAGTTAGAAAGATTTTTGATAATATTGCCCCCACACGCCCAAAAACAAAAAAGACGCCGTCTGTGGCAGCTTTGACCTACTTTCTATTCTATTTTAGTCTATATGCTTTTTTAACATAGACGGTTTCAATAAAACTCTTTAATAAAACTCACATATTAAATAATACGATAGTGAGTGGCTGAACATCTTTAGAGAACAACTCTAACTTCATCTGTTATTATAATAAACGTTACTGTAAGCACATGTGCTCATGAGCTTCTTCTGTCGCAGATTTGCAGAGACTTGCGCCCCTGCTGGAGAAACTTCAGACTGCAAGGGATTTCCAAAGCCACGTCCGCACTTTCCACATTAAAGACAAGCTGTTTTCCACCTTTACAGCAGTGTTTTCATAATGCAGCACTTAATCTGTACAGAAAATACTGAACACCGGCCGCAGACGAGGATCACAGGTTAGAGTTAACTGAGCTGCTCTACACTAACTTTCAGTCATTTTAGCTCGTTTTTACTGCAGTGAGTTACTCTGAGGCTGAAGCTCCAAACAACGTCAGCTTCATTTTAGATTACTGTAAAGTAAATTAAGGGGGAATTCACAGTAAAGCTAGCACTATAGTGCATAGCAGAGAGAAATAAGACACACAGTTTCTTAACAAACCCCTCTCTCCCTCTCTCTCTCTCTCTCTCTCTGTGTGTGTGTGTGAAATTGCCTACTGGTGTGCTCCCCGCACACTCCTTAAACATAAGCCCCAGTTTCCCAGTGTATTTTTCAAGCTGCCATCGGGTTACTGGTCCATCATCGACGATTTCCAATTACATTGCAATATATCACCCAGGCCTAGTTAACACAATGCTTTTTGGTCTGCATAAGCTTCCATTACTCGTTAGCTACATTAGCCTTGTAGCTCCAGAGCTAAAACTAAAGAAGACAACTTCAGACACCAAACTCGTCTTGGCTGATCGACTACATTTGTGATAAGGAAAAATTTTAGTTTCACCAAACTATCACTTTAATCTGATGTGAAACCTGGTTACAGTGAAGATTAAGAAAAAAGGACTTGGTGCTTTTTCCCCTGAAAGTTCTGAGCAAAATAACTCCTCGTATTTAGACATTGTGGTTCTGCTGCTAGCGCCACCTGCTGTAGCTCATCTATCCTGCGGCGCAGGGCGTCCATCTCGATGCTCTGCTGGCCGACGCGTGCGTGCAGCTCGGCGATGGTCTGTTTCTGCTGGGCGCAGTGGCTCTGAGCCTCGTCCCGGGACTGACGTGTGCTCCGGAGCTTCTCCTCCATGCTGCTCAGATGCTGCTGCTGCGGGTGTGAATAAACAAGCAGGTTATAAAATAACGTCTTATTTGGAGAATAATTCCAATTATGACGTTTTGAATTCATCATAGTTGTGACATCACAACCATGAACACAAGGGCACATGCAAAGTCTACATACTACATACGAAGCTTACCCCCGCTCCATGTCTCTGAGGATTTCAGCCTGAATTTAAATAGTTCGTTCCACATTTGTAACCAGATTGCTTAGTGAGTAAGGCACAGCCAGCCAATCGGAACAGAGGACATTTACATATTTACAGTCTTAAAGGCACAGTAACAAGCACAGGCAGTTCTAATACTAGCCACAACCTAATACATTAGCCCTGAGCTAACATACTAGCCACGACCTAATAGGTTAGCCCCAAGCTAACATGCTAACCAAAGCCTAATATGTTAGCCCCAAGCTAACACGCTAGCTACAACCTAATAGTTTAGCCCTAAGCTAACATGCCAGCCATGACTTAATATGCTAGCCCTGAGCTAACATGCTAGCTATGACCTAATAGTTTAGCCCCGTGCTAACACGCTAACCACAGCCTACTATGTTAGCTCTGAGCTAACATGTTAGCCAGGACGTAATAGGTGAGCCCCAAGCTAACATGATCTAATAGGTTAGCCCCGAGCTAACATGCTAGCCACAGCCTAATATGTTAGCCCCGAGCTAACACGTTAGCCATGACCTAAAAGGTTAGCCCCAAGCTAACATGCTAGCCACAGCTTAATATGTTAGCCCCGAGCTAACCTGCCAGCCATGACCTAATAGGTTATCCCCGAACTCACATGTTAGCCAGGACATAATAGGTTAGCCCTGAGCTAACACGCCAGAGATGACCTAAAAGGTTAGCCCCAAGCTAACACGTTAGCCATGACCTTATATTTTAGCCTCAAGCTAATGCATCAGCCCTGAGCTAACGCTCTAAAAGGAGTGACCTTTTCCGTTTTGCATCATTCAGCATCTGATATGTTTTGAACTGTGAGCCTCAATCTGAAGAACACAGCATGTTGTACTGCCATCGTTAGAGTCCTGATATCCACAGAAATGGCTTTAAAGCTTCACTCCAGCATCTTCTGAGTTCGCTTACAAGATGTTGGTTTGCTAGATGTTCCTGATTCTTTCCAAATATGATGATGTATTTATGTTACATAGAGATCCAAACCTCCTCCAGGCGCACTTGCGTCCGCACTTTCCCCAGCTCTTCTTCCGCCTGCGCTCTCTCGGTCACCATAGCGGCCTTCACTCGGCTCAGCTCCTGCATGAGGACAACAGGCTGGCCAAACTGCATTCTTTCACATCGAAATCCTGAAAGCTTGTCATTCTCGTAAAACTGTTAGTCTTACTCAAACGTCTAATGTTGATTTTCTTCCTTAAAATAAAATATAACCAAACCAAACAAAGATCAAAGCTTGATTTGAGTTTATCTGACCTCCTCCAGCTGGATCCGCTGGCCCTCCAGTTTGAGAATACGATCTTGTAAAGCCCTCTCGCTCTCCTCCAGGTGCCTGTTGACATGATCTACCTGAAGAAGAGAGAAAAAGAAACAACAAAACACACAAAGAGAAATGAATAATTTCATAGTAACTTTCTGATCACATCATGTTTTTCCGTTCAGAACTGAATTTTATATTTATTTATTTATTTATTTTTTGTAATGCTTGCATGAATTTATTTTATTCAACGTTCTCCAATCACTTTTACACTTCTAAAATCTAAGCATCAGCCATACAACCATGGAAAAAGTTAAAATGTACTGTAATTATGAAATTTTAAACTTTTTAATGCAAGTGGATTATCTTATCTTATAATCAAACCTCTTCAAAAACATCTCCTGAAATGAAAAACTTGTACATATAATGGCTGTTTTGACAGGAAATTAAATAAATGGTCTCTGACTTCCGCACAGTTCTGCAGACTCATGAAGAATTACCTCTTTCTGTCGTAAACTGTCCATGTCTTCAAGAGCTTGTTTGGATCTTCTCTTCTCCATGTCCAAACGCTCTAATGAAAAAACATCTCAGTGTAATAAACCTCCTCAAACCTCAGCGTAACAAACCTCAGTGTAATAAACCTCCTCAAACCTCAGCGTAACAAATCTCAGTGTAATAAACCTCCTCAAACCTCAGCGTAACAAACCTCAGAGTAATAAACCTCATTAAACCTCAGTATAATAAACCTCATTAAACCTCAGTATAATAAACCTCATTAAACCTCAGTATAACAAACCTCAGTATAAGCTTTATTAAACCTCAGAGTAATAAACCTTTTCAAACCCCAGTATAATAAACCTCAGTGTAATAAACCTCATTAAACCTCAGCATAATAACCCTCAGTGTAATAAACCTCATTAAACCTCAGTGTAATAAACCTCAGTGTAATAAACCTCATTAAACCTCAGTTTAATAAACCTCATTAAACCTCAGTGTAATAAACCTCAGTGTAATAAACCTCATTAAGCCTCAGTTTGCAGAGATACTGTCTCTGTGTGTGTGTGTCTGTGTGTGTGTGTGTCTGTGTGTGTGTGTGTGTGTGTCTGTGTGTGTGTGTCTGTGTGTGTGTGTGTCTGTGTCTGTGTGTGTGTGTGTCTGTGTGTGTGTATTTGTGTGTGTGTAAGATGGCGGTACCTTCAGCCTGGGCCAGACGCAGTTTCAGCTCTGCAGTGGAGTTTGTGAGCTCCTGCTTCAGCTCAAAGATCTGATCTTGCTGAGCTTTGCACCGTCGCTCACTCTCGTCCAGCTGCAGGCAGAAGATCCTCACATTAACATACATATCAAAACACATCACAATACACCACCTGCAGCTCCTGTACCTTGTTCTTCAGTTGGTGGTTCTTCTCAGACAGACTGTTGGTCTCCCTTAAAAGCTTCCCTTCTCGCAGGACACTCTCCTGAACACAAATCCATCATCAACATCCATTAATACTAAACATCGTTTAACATTTAGATCAAAAGGTTCACTTAGAATTAAACAACAGTGTTTCAAAAAATCTCATTTAGACCCCCCTTTAGCCCAAACGGAAACCCACATGCATATCATGATACTAACTGTATGTCTAAATCATCACAGACTCGCCTCAAACCGTGTGGAGTTGTTAACGAATGTCTAATAGATGTGATTATTACAGACTGCTATCTATAAACATGTACTATAGTCTATGTTTATAGATAACAGTCAGTCATACAGTGTCAGACACCCCATAATCAAGTCTATTAGAGTTTACTTAAAGGGCCCAAATCATGGAAAAACAAATCCTCCTCGCTTTTTTGTAATAAAAGAGTTCAGTGTAGTACGTAAACACTGTTAAAGTTCATTCCCCTGGACACACCGTCCAAATATGAACAATAAACAGCTTGTTTTGAATTAACTGTTTTTGTGATGTCATGAAAAACCAGCACATTTACATCCACCGATCAGGCATAACATTCTGACCACCTCCTTGTTTCTACACTCCTTGTCCATTTTATCAGCTCCACTTACTATATAGGTGCACTTTGTAGTTCTACAGTTACAGACTGTAGTCCATCTGTTTCTCTGATACTTTGTTAGCCCCCTTTTACCCTGTTCTTCAGTGGTCAGGACCCCCATGGACCCTCACAGAGCAGGTACTATTTGGGTGGTGGATCATTCTCAGCACTGCAGTAACACTGACGTGGTGGTGGTGTGTTAGTGTGTGTTGTGCTGGTACGAGTGGATCAGACACAGCAGTGGTGCTGGAGTTTTTAAACACTGTGTCCACTCACTGTCCACTCTATTAGACACTACCTTGTCAGTCCACCTTGTAGATGTAAAGTCAGAGACGATAGCTCATCTGCTGCTGCACAGTTTGTGTTGGTCATCCTCTAGTCCTTCATCAGTGGTCACTGCTGTGTCTGATCCACTCAGACCAGCGCAACACACTAACACACCACCACCCTGTCAGTGTTACTGCAGTGCTGAGGATGACCCACCACCCAAATAGTACCTGCTCTGTGAGGGTCCATGGGGGTCCTGACCCCTGAAGAACAGGGTAAAAGGGGGCTAACAAAGTATGCAGAGAAACAGATGGACTACAGTCTGTAACTGTAGAACTACAAAGTGCACCTATATAGTAAGTGGAGCTGATAAAATGGACAATGAGCGTAGAAACAAGGAGGTGGTCATAAAATTATGCCTGATCGGTGTATATCCCCCTGTTCTACCTACAGCAGTTTGGCCACGCCCACTCACACTGCTGTTATAAGGAGTACAATACAGGGCAGTCAATCAGAACAGAGTTAATTTAAAAATGAATAGCATGTAACAGCAGGCACATCAACAGCTTGTTTAATTTGGTCAAGTAAAAGTGAATTCCAACTATTTTTGGTACATAAAAACATAGAAACGTAATATGTCGACCACAGGGGAACAAAAATGTAAGATATGGGCCTTTTAACTTGAAACGGTTTGAGGTTTGACGTCTTTGATGTCTTGTTCATGCAGTTAGCACCATGCTAATTTCGTTAGTTGTTAGCTACACTCGCCTCGTAGCTCCAGGCTAAAGCCAAAGTAGTACTCTTTGTCCAAATTAAACATGTCTTGGGAAAATTAAGGGCAAAATTGCATAAATTTGATTTTTTTTGCTGAACTACCACATTAAGTGTCATGCAACACCTCTTGAAGCTTCTTTATTTCTCTGGACTGCCGGTCCATGAGCTCAGTCTTCTCCAGCTTCAGTCTGGTCAGCAGGTCTCCCAGGTTATTGACCTTCTGCTCAGACAGAGCCAGCGCAGCTTCGGTCATCTGCAGCCTGTCCAGCCAAAACAACCATTACACAATGGTGTACATTTAAACTTTTACACATATTGCAAGAAAATGGAAACTCCTCTACACACAGCGTAAGCGCTGACCTTTCAATAGAGCGGAAAAACAACACAAAGTACAAGGCTAGCTGAGATTAGCATAAAGGCAAGATATTATAGCATGGCTGAAGTGTGTGAGCAGCTTACTTGGCTGTGAGAGAGTTCACTGCTGACTTCCGTTCATGTAGCGCTTCTTGCAGCTGCCCTAGACGTATCGATGAATTTCTGAAAGAAGTCATGCAATAAGCCTGTTTTCATTAATCATATTCTATAACATATATTACCCATCAGCATAATGCATCTTATATTATGCTTCTATGGCTATAAATTGGATTTCCTATTAGAGATCCACAAATATGGAATTTCTTAGACAACAGCTATAACCAATAATTAGTATCTTATGGTGCATATGGCTTAAAAACTAACACTGCCTGTTAGTGATCAGAGTCCATGTCAGCTCGAGTGCTACTGGGATTAAGGCAAAACAGGGACACAACCTGAGAAATTCTGAAATTCAGGTTGAAAGTTCAAAGTTTCTCCTGATCATTCAGGTTGTTATACTGATAATATAATTTGTAATTAAGAACTTTGTATTAAATTAGAGTAGAACACAAAATACTACTTACTAATGCTCACAGACTTTTGTATATATATATATATATATATATATTTATATATATATATGTGTGTGTGTGTGTGTGTGTGTGTGTGTGTATAGTCTCTTCATGTCATTTTTTTTCTAGTTGTCCCTTACATTGTGTGAAAACAATGAACAAAAATGCTCAAAATTACTTAAACAAAATAAAGTTACATTAACTTTCCTGTGAAAAGTTGAGAATTTTTGTCAAGTTACCATTCTGGAGGAATTATGTTTTGTTCCGACAGTGTAATTCCAATATTGGACAGATAATAATAATTAAATTTGCCAATTTATCAGTAATAATACAATAGGCACCAATATGTCATGCACCCCCTTTTTTACTGCTTCGCATTAGCTCCAGCCCTAATGGACCCCATCTGATCCATCTAATTCCGGTATTCAGAAGTAACTGATTAGCTGAGTGACAAAGACTGAAGATCTGGAGGTGAAACGTGAAGGAAGGTGGGAAGTTTGTGACCTCTAAAGATTTACAGTAGAACTCACCTGCTGCTTCTCCCCATCTCCTCCCTCTGTTTATCGATGGTCTCCATCAGACTTAGAAACTAAACAGACCCATTAAAAAGACAGTTAGAGACTAAAACCAACTGAACAGGGAAAAGAACTCAAACCTACGACTCCCAGCAGCACTGACCTGCCGGCCCTTCTCCTCCTTTAGATTTTGGATCTCCTTGCTGAGCACCTGGGTCCTGGAGCGGCTCTCTCTCAGAGAGGACTGCCGGTCTGCATTGTGCTCCATAGACTGCTCTGAAGAAACAAGGTCAAAATGAGGATGTGTGGCCTGTACTGTATGTATGTTTCTCTGCTGTTAATGATGTTATTTAGTTTTAGGATAATGTACACGCTTAAAAAGATGGTTCTTCAAGGATTCTTTAGTAAAGAAAATGGTTCTACATAGAACCAGGAACATAGGGTTCTTCAGATTGATTCTACATAGAATCTTTGAAAATGGTTCTGTATAGCACTGTTCTATATAGCATTGTTATGGTGTCAAGCTTGTAACAATAGAAGAACCCTTTTGGGTGCTATTTAAAACCCTTTTCAAAATGGTTCTATATAGAACCATCTGTAGCACGTTCATGCACATTTTCCTTCACAACAATGTCACCATGCAAATAACCCTGTAACCATGTTTTATATATATATATATATATATATATATATATATATATATATATATATATAAAAACCATCTACAGCACATTCTCCATCAATCTAAAAAACATTTTACCATGCAAAGAACCCTTTAACTATATAAATCATTCTCTGAACGTTCATGGTTCTTTATAGAACCATTTTCCTTACTAAAGAACACTTGAAGAACCCTCTTTTTAAGCTAATATGGAAGCTTACACCCCTCCAATTAGCTAAATCAAGCTGTTATTTCATTCGGGCTTTAAGACGACGCAGGCATGCAGGACTGCATGACGCTAACTGGTGGGGTATAAGCTTCATTATTTGTTAGCTATGTTAGCCTCGTAGCTCCTTTTAGCAAACATGACACATCAAACTTGCCTTGGCTGATCAGCAAAATTTGAGCTAAGGAGAAAAAACTGTAAATCTGATTTTTCACCAAACTCAAATCACTTTGAGGGTGTTTTGTTTTACATATAGCTCCTTTTAATGAACTGAACTCAGTTCTGTTAAAGTGAACCTGAAAGGGAACCTTAAAATGACCACTTTTTTGTGTTCACCGTGTAAGAAAAGTTTGAAAGGGGCTAGGTTCTCTTTCAGGTCCTCTTTAGCAGTGATGAGAACTCCTTTAGAACTCAGACCCCCCCTGTTGGCACTGATTTATTAAAATAAGGACATTAAGCCACCTGAGTCTACATTACAGCGATCTCAATTTGGTTAGAAAACCAAGAAATGAAAAAGTCCTAAAATGTTCAGTTATTTGTGCCTCAGTGCTGTGATGTGTTGACTGTATCTGACCGATGGCTCTGAGGATGTCGCTGGGGATGTTGTTGCCGGCCATCTCGAGCTGGAGAAGAGTGCGGTTCTGCTGCAGAGCATCCAGCAAGGAGCGACCACCCAATAAACCAATGTTATTCCACCGCAGATCTGTCTCACACACACACAAAAGTTCACAAGTTTGGAATCAGTTATTAGGCTATTAGGTATTATATTCATACTGCTTATTCAATAATAATACAGTTTCAATTAGCATCTTATTCACTAGGCATCAAAATGTAGTCTTTTAATGGTTTATTTACAATTTCAAAGGGCTAAAGTAAAAAATAGCATACCTTATAAATAATAATTATATTAAATAATTTAATTATCTATTTATAGTAATTTCTTAACACAAAATTACTATGAGTAGCTAATTTTATCACTACTTTTCCAATATGAGATATTCCAGATATACATTTATCTTTTTCTCGATGCTATAGAATGTTATACTGTATAGTGACAGATATTTGGTAAAGTGTTAAATATAAAAAAGAACAAAAATGTGGATGAAATTCTGGCTACTAGTGTTTTTAGCTATGCTAATGTACTTCAGTCCATGTTTGTAGATAATTGGATGTCAAATGGTGCCAGGAACTGCACGCAGAACATTTTTGTAGCATGGGTAAATTCAAGGTATCACTTAAGTTAAGATGGCAGTGAACTTAAGGTGGAGATGCATTTAAGGTAGCAACGAAATCCATTTAAGGTAGCAAAAATCCAGCAAGCTTTGGATACTGTAGCAACCGCCTAGCAACATCTAAGCAACACTTTAGCAACCATCAACAGTCTTCCACCATTTTTTAAAGTTTTAACGTAATTAGCTGGCTTTTTTAAGCCAACTTAAGGTTTGTTTACAAACTTTCCCTTTCTAGGTCTATATTCTATTTATTTTTATTCTATATTATTTTATTTTTACTTTTTCCTTAGTTTAATACTTTTTAATAGTCTGGTGTTTGTCTGGTCTGTTTAGTATGTTACATGTCATATATGTGTGACTCACCAAGACAAATTCCTTGTATGTGAAACATACTTGGCGAAATAAAGTGATTCTGATTCTTTTTAAAAAATCTTACGTAGTGCAGCTTTAACAACTCCACACCATTACTAAGCCATTAATAAGCTTCCATTACTAGTTAGCTACATTAGCATCAGTGCTAAAAACACAGAAATAAACTTCAGACACCAAAAAGCTGATCGACTACATTTGGAGCAATAAGGGACAATAATATTAGAGACTGAGTGAAGGCCTGTGCCGACTCTCACCGAGCTCCTGGAGGACTGAGTTCCTTTTTAAAGCTAAGGCGAGCTCTGCTGCCCCCTGGTGGTTGATCTGGTTGTTGCGCAGGTCAAGCTGGGTAAGGCAACCGTTAGAGGCGAGACCTTCACAGAATATAGAAAAGCCCTCTTCCCACATGCCGAGAGCGTTCCACTCCAGAACGAGCCTGTAAAGAAGACAACGGCACCGCTGAAAATGATATACAGGAGCTGGTCTGATTATGGACATCAGCCACAGATGAGGAGTGGCTGTAATTCTGTTCTTCTGTTCGATACACAGCTGTGTATTTACCTTCGTAACGTCTTGTTCCTCACCAGCAACTTCCCCAAAGCCTCCGCACCGGCTCCTCTTAAGTTGTTTCCCTGAAACAGAAGACAATGTGTCAGAAATCAAGGTGGGCTCAAAGGAAAATTGGACTCTGTTGATTCTTTCCACAATCATAATAATAATAATATTTTTAGAGCTCTTTTCATACATTTAGCAGCTCAAAGTGCTTTACAATGAAATAGCAAAATTAAAAAATAAAAACAAAAAACACACAAAGTAAAAATACCCATAAAATAAAGCAAAGTAACACAAGTTAGCATGAAAAGATGATAAAATTGGTGTGCATTATAATTTTAAACAAAAGCAAAGTTTATTAGGACTTGTTTTTGTAGATGCATCATGGATGTAACACTAATCATGATAAATAAGCATGACAGCAGGCTGTTAGCTACGTTCTCTTTGAGGTTTGACGTGGGAATCCTTTCTGCAGTGATTGCACAAAAACAAAAATACAGTCTCTCTCTCTCTGTCTCTCTATGTCTTTCTTTATCTCTCTCTCTTCTTTTTTTTGCAAGAATTTGTTTTGTAGTGGATATTACTGCTCTTTATTTTCGCTTTTCTTTTTTTGAAAATTGTCGTTTTTATTTCTATGACAGTACATTTTTTCATTTTTTACATTTTCAACCTGCTTAGACTTTTTACATGTTAACGTCTTGCAAACCGACAAAGAAAACAAGCACAGCATTTGCATTAAAAACATTGGGCCTCATTCATCATCTCTTCTTCAGAAGACATTTCTTTTTAAACCCACTTATGCAGTTCTGACGAAGACTCTGATTCACCAGTGTTCTCTTATCTGGGGTTTGTTCTTAGGTGAGGACAGAATCTACACACACTCAAGAGCACAAAGGTGAGAACAGTTCTGCGCTTTAAGAACACGTCATGAATCTGATGGAGACTTTTTCTTAGGATCTTTCTCAAGAACACGTTTCAGAACAAACTTGGAGGATACTGTAGAATGAGGCCTATTATTTTGAAAGGTCAGGTGACTCCAAACCTTTGATGGTCAGTGTCCATGGCTATATGTGAAATCCTGACTAACTTACCTTCAGATCCAGCGCTCTAACTGTGGTGTTGGAACACAGCCCGTTCAGGAAGAGCTTGGCGCCTGTGAATGACACGTCCAGAACAGGTGGCTCTGAGTATAAACGGCAATCAGAGTCTCAGCTGCAGTGCTGAGAGATTATTCCTTTTATATGCAAATCACAATTTAAAAAAGTGCATTTTTAACTATTGATAACTTTACCTACAGTTATGTCTTACCAAGTTTAACATGAGGATATTTAATACAGCTGAATGATATGGGCAAAACATCCAAATGCATTTTTTCTGACCAATACTGCGACTGCGTTCTACAAATTTAGGTCTATTTTTTTTTTTTTTTACCAAGAAGACCAACATTTCCACTTTTTCTTGGTTGTTGTGGTTGTGATGTCACAGCACAGGGGTGTTTTGTTGCTTTCAATTGGTTTAAACTCATCTACAAGCAGCTCACAAGCTCTGTGTTATTAATTAATGCTAAATTCTCCCACTTAAAGCTTGTTGAGTACAAAGTACACTCCAAAAGATGGTTCCTCATGGGTTCTTTAGTAAAGAAAATGGATCTTGCTTTAGTAAAAACAACAGTTCCATATATACCAAAATGTGTTGCATGCTTAAATGGTTCCCTGCATGGTGAAACTGCTTTTGAGATTATGGAAAATTGCCGTATATGGTTCTACATAGTACCTTTTTGAAAATAATTCTATATAGCACCAAAAAGGTTCTTCTATTGGTACAAGCTTGACATCCTAACATTAGCAGAACCCTTTTTGGTGCTATATAGAACCATATACAACACATTCTCCATCAATCTGAAGAACTCACCATATGTTTTCTACTGAAAGTCGACCCATTTTTCCACAAATCTGGGCTATAAACTATAAACAGACGGCGTCTCTTCAGTGATCTGCTCTGTAAACATTATTTTATAAAATAATACAAAGAGCGTCTAAGATTTTTGGCTTGCAGCAGTAAATTGTAAGCATATAGCAATATGTGTATCATAAAACACATGTTCTGTTAATTTGAGAGGAACTTTTACAAAAAAAACACCAACACTTTACATTTATTTCATGCAGTTACTGAATAATTTGCCTTACGATTTGGTCATGTGAATTCAGATGGATAAACCAAAATATACCCTGGAGAAAAAGAGGTTAAACATGCAAAGGGTCCTTTAAGTTTTCATGGTTCTATATAGAACCCATTCTTTACTACAGAACCCTTGACTAACCATCTTGTTTAAGTGTGTAGCTACCTTACTAGCATAATATTGTGGTACACCACAGTATATAGTGTCGCATTACTTTATAGTAATTTCTAATCTAGCTAATAAGCTCACAAACAATTTAAAAAGCAAACAATATAATTTTTTTTTTTTTATAAGCATCTGCCGATACCGATATGATTCCGATATCTTCATGCATCGCTATTATTTAGATTTGACCAATATTTTAAACGAATATCTGATGACATATTGGGCATGACATACCTCACCAGATGTACCTGGAACCTTTTGAATATCAGCATCAGCCCCCAGTTCCCATATCGGTGCATCCCTATTCCTGACCCAGTGATCATGTGTCTGTGTGCAATGATCCATGTCCCTCTCCGAGCCTGCTGGCCACTCACCTTCCTCGCTGAGCATGCAGTCGCTGAGCACAAGCTCAGTGAACAGCGTGTCCTTTTGCAGCGTCCTGCCCAGCACGGCGCACGACTCCACCGTCAGACTCTGGCCGTTCAGGTCCAGTCTGGTTCCGCCGGCCACGGCCCGGGCCTCCTGGAGCTGAACCAGGACCGACTCCTGGGGCTCCACGCCAGCCTCCTTACACAGCCGCAGGTAGGCCCTCCTGAAGTCCTCCATCCCTGGATCAGCTCCCTCACCCACACACAGCGCTGCAGGAAGACAAAAGGAGAGAGGGAGAGAAGCTGAAGTGGTGTGGATTGGCAGGAGTTGGCATCATCAAGTAGCTCGATGGAAAATCATTCCCACTTATGCCGGAGTCTGATTTGCCTCGTGTTCCTGACGGATTCCATTTCTGATGTAAATGCAATCATCATGATTGCAGGAGAGGCAGTGGGTCGTGCCCAAGATGTTCAAGACGGTTTACTTTCAAATGAGGAGCTCTAACACAGCCACACATCAGCACAGGGGGTTCTCCGTCAGCCAGCAAGCATCTAGCTTTAGTTCATCTAGTTGGTCTTATAACTGAAGAGCAGCACAGATGCAAACAAACAAGTAGGTTCCCTGTACGGATTTTCCGTTCCATCTTAAATGGTGCAGCAGTTACACTCTGATGCCTCGGGCTAACTTACACTCTTAAAAATGATGGTTCTTCAAGGGCAGCGGTGGACGAAGCACACAAACCCTGTACTTGAGTTAAAGTAGAGACACCCAAGGTAAAATATTACTCCAGTAAAAGTAGAAGTTCCTCCCTTTAGACCTCCACTTGAGTAAAAGTACTAAAGTATTTGCCTTCAAATGTACTTAAGTATCAAAAGTAAAAGTACTAAAAGATTAATTATGACTTTAAAGTCCTGTTATCATTACTGTAAGAAGACTCGCTTCATTAACTCATTTTTAGTGAAAATACTCCAGTGTCTCTCTTGGTAAACCAGTCTTTTAATAGAATGTCATTAATTAGTGACGCTGATGTCTATTAAAATTATCATAAGCACAAAACACTGAAGGCAAACAGTTTCCATCAGGTAGAACTGAGTGGCTCTGAAATCACTTTTTACAAACAAGCAAAGTTCCAGTTTAAGATTTATTTAACTTAGTTCCAAGTTTAAGATTAATAAAAACTTTAAACTCAGATTCACAAATGAGTTTCCTTTACTAAACTGCATCTGTAGGTCTCTGTTCATAAACATAAACTAGACAAAACTAATTTACTATAAAATGAAATAGTGTTTGTATAAACTCAGAAAAAAGACACGATACCCTGATTGGTGTTTTTGCTTTGCACTTCTTTCGTTTTGACATGTTACGTTTTTATACACACATAAACCAAAAGGAAGGACAGATTTCTCATAATGTAGTGGAGTGAAAAGTGAGATATCTGACTTTGAAATGTGGAGTGAAAGTAAAAAGTCGCCCAAAACGGAAATATTTCAGTAAAGTACAGATACAGGAAAAACTACTCAAGTACAGCAACGAATTACATTTACTTAGTTACTGTCTAACACTGTTCAAGGGCTGTTTGGCAAAGACAATGGTTCTATGTAGAACTATGAACACTCAAAGCACCATTTGCATGCCTAAAGGGTTCTGCATGGTGACATGGTTCTTCAGATTGATGCAGAATGCACTGTTAAAAATGGTTCTATGTAGCACAAAAAAAGGTTCTTCTATAGTTTAGCTTGTAAAAACAGCAGAACCTTTTTTTGGTGCTATATAGAACCATACACAACACATGCTCTATCAATCTAAAGAACCACCTTACCATGCAAAGAACCGTATGTTTATGGGCCTTTATAGCACCATTATCTTTACTAAGGAGCTCCTGAAGAACCATCTTTTTTACATTTAAACAAACACGTTAAACTTCCTGATCGACTTTTCAAAGCAAGACATTTGAAAACACACAGGACTGCTAGCTCAGTTAGCTATCCTGCTAACCAGCTAATTATTTCGCTACACCGGGTGTCTCATTACTTCTTATGGCTTTCTATACTCTATACTTATATAAGCTTATAAACGACTTAAAATGCAAACAATCGTTCAGTTACAGCTGTCCGCCAGGGCAGAGCCGTTACTGAGCTGGTCAGCTATCGTCCGCAGGTTTCAGGAGAACCTGTCCAAGTTAAACCCGTTCTTGGTTCGTCAGTAAAGGACAGAAATGCTCTAAATAAGAACAAATCTTACTCAGTGTCGCTGAAAAGCATCTCTGTCCTGCTGTTTTGGCAGGTAGGCTCTTTTCCTGCTTGGCTAATGGTTTCTTGGTTTCTTCTGACAGTTGATATGTATCCAGGAAAAGAGGAACCTGCCGGACCCCGGGAATTCTGGGAAATGTAGTTCTACCGTAAGAACAGATTCCACCAGAGGACTCTGATTCCTACGACGGCGTTTTAGGGCCACTCTTAATAAAAATAAAAACAGTAGACTTTGAGAATAAAGTTAAGGAGCCCCGCTGGCGACATCCTGAATAAATAAAAATAATGCGTGGCCACGACTTATTTCCATTTCCAATAAGTAGACCAAAAAAAACACGTTTTGATGTAAAGTCTGTCATACTGTGAACATATGAAAGATAAGATCCATTCACTGAAGCATTTTAACACAAAAGGCTGCACTTGAAAGCCTTAAAATTTTTCAATGAAGATTAAAGTTCATATATGAATCCTTACTGACATGCACCCGCAGAGGGTCGTGGCCAAAAAAACAATGTTGGACGAACTTGCAAAGCAAGCTTGGACCCCGCAAATCGCCGCTTGCAGCTATATTTATTATTATTGTCGTTGTGTTGTTGTTTTGTATTATTATTATTATTATCATTAATAACACAATCACAAAGTGCTTAACACAGGAGTTTATGTAAACATTGTTACAATGTTATTAAATGACAGCAAAATTACACACCAAAAAAGAGGAGCTTGTTGGGAACTAGGAATACTGGGAAATGTAATGCTACAGCAACATGCCTCTTAGAAAACTAATATTCTCTTGTAGTAGTAGTAATAACAATAATAATAATAATAATAATAATAATAATACTTTTATATTATGGATATTAATGACTAATTTTACATAAGTTTATTTTATATTGGTGCTTCACACAGGAGTATGTGTAAACATTGTCACATAGTGATGAAACAGCAGCACATTTACGAACAAGAAAAAGAGACTCAGAAGTCATGCAAAACACTTAATAAATAGGTAAATAAGGAAACGGCAGTAATTAAATCAATAAACCCTTATTGTCCGTATCTGAAATATTAAATAAACTTTGGTCCAAATATTCTGTGAACTCCAATCAGTAAAACTGTACGGCTAAAAAATGCATAATTTTTATCACTTATCATTCAGTTTAGCCTTTTTAATTGATCATTAAATTCAGTCGTTCATGGGACTACTGATATCAAATTTAAGAAAGTCCAAATTTTACTGTGAATAATTGTAAATGTGAACATTTCATCAAAAAATTAAATGGCGAGTGTAATAATAATAATAATGTTTCTCCTGACTCCTCTCATTGCTCTTGTTGCTGTTCGTTGTGTTTTACCTCCAGCTGCTCCAGCATCATTGTCTTTTCACCTGAGCTGATGCTGAACTATCATCACGTTCTGTGGCCTTTTTCCTGTCTAATCAAACATAACAGTACCTGTGCACTTATGAAGACGATGTCCATGGTTTGTATTGATAAACGTCTCCAGTTCTGGCTTTTCTCAGCTTCACTGTAACGACCTGTGTGGCCTGAAGTCATTCATGGTCGATCATTAAGCTTCTCTTAGTGCAACATTTACTCAGTTAACCTCCTGCAAGGCTATTTCAACCAATCAGGATGATCCACTGAAACCTGCTGCAGAGATGTTTCCTCAGAGCTCTCCACCTTTTTTACTGCTTTACTTTTTCTGAGTGAATCATCCAGGAGAAAATCACTAAAGCTTTCATCAACTGTCACGTAGAAGATCTTTACAGGATCTTAATGAGGACCAGGATGTAATGGAATACAAGCATGAGGAGAACATATTGAGAATACAGAAATGATCTGTGTTTATGAGTTCAGAATACAGTTATCTTTACAAAACAGACAGTATTTACCCCCCTGTGTGGTGTTCAGGTCCGTGGGACACGTTTTCAATGTTTACTGAAAGAAAAAATGGTGTGATTTATTATTATTTCAACCTCAGATTCCTTGGCCTTTGCTCATTTTCTGTGAAGAACATACACCGGTCAGGCATAACATTCTGACCACCTCCTTGTTTCTACGCTCATTGTCCATTTTATCAGCTCCACTTACTATATAGGTGCACTTTGTAGTTCTACAGTTACAGACTGTAGTCCATCTGTTTCTCTGCATACTTTGTTAGCCCCCTTTTACCCTGTTCTTCAGTGGTCAGGACCCCCATGGACCCTCACAGAGCAGGTACTATTTGGGTGGTGGATCATTCTCAGCACTGCAGTAACACTGACAGGGTGGTGGTGTGTTAGTGTGTGTTGCGCTGGTCTGAGTGGATCAGACACAGCAGTGGTGCTGGAGTTTTTCGGGTCAATACGTGTGACAAACAGCCTTTAACGAGTGCGGTGTTGACGCTGGTGGACTCTCTGTTGTTGCCAGGGTGATTGATGGATGATTAATCCGGAAGCTTGACCGTTCTGTCCCTCCTGTTTGAGTCACAGGGTTCAGGAACGCTCAGCCTGGAGGGAGAAGCAGAAGCTCTGAGCAGAAGCCAGAGAGAAGCTGCATGAATAGTTTGTGGTTGTGAGTGTTTAGAATCATAGAAGCTTCTGTAGAGCTGCGTCCAGCGGTGCTGTGACCAGAAGAACGGTCAACATCTAGAACATCTCTGAAGGACAGGCAGATCTTCTGTATTTACTGTTCTGAGGGACGGACGCTGCGGAGATGTCCAAAGATGACCCACGGGAAGTCTGTGAGATGGAGACCCCAAACAGAACCGTTCAGTAGGTCTACCACAATTTATAAAGTAAAACTCTTAAAAAAGGGTTCTTCAAGGGTTCTTTAGTAAGGAAAATGGATCTGTAAAGAACCAAGAACACTCGAAGAACCCATTGCATGTCCAAAGGGTTCTTTGCATCATGAAAAGTTTCTTCAGATTGATGGAGACTGTGTTGTATATGGTTCTGTATTGAACCTTCTTCTATTGTGACGATGTCAAGCTTGTTACAATAGAAGAACCTTTTTCAAAAAGATTCTATATAGAACCATGTCCAACACATTCTCCATCAATCTGAAGAACAATTCCATGATGCAAAGAAGAACCTTGAAGAACCGTCTTTTTTAAGTGCGTAGAAGAACCAGTGAATGGTTCTTTCAAGAACATAGTTTATTAATGCGATTTGTGAATGTGAAGAACATAATGTGAAGGTTCTGTAGGTTTTTCCCATGTGCCCAAGCCAAGAAGCGCTGAGGAACGTTAATGTTTAACAGTGTTGGTGCTTCTTTTATTAAAGCTTCTCGCATAAATTTACATAAATTGACATTAATTAACTACAGACAACAACTTTGTCACAACATATATTTTTACATATTTGAAATGCATTTGAAACACACTGGAGTCGATGCTGAAATACATTCCAAACACTAACATGTATTTCAGAATAGTTTGCCATATTAATCAAATATATTTTAAAATACATTTATTTTAATATGTATGGAGAAATATTAGACATAGAAATATACCATACAAAAATAAATGTATGTAAATATATTTATCAGATACATTTGAAAATTAATAGGGTGTCCTTCTCTTGCATCAATGTTTTTTTACTGAGATGAAATATTGAAGTATCCATGGCAACAAGGCTATATAGTAAGTTTCTGTGAGGGAGCTTTTAGAGGTGAACGTCTGGTTCCTATCACCACCACTGTAAACAATTCGGTACGTTTATCTAGAACGGAGCGTTTCACACCAAACCACTCTGAACCGCTCTGAACCACTCTTTTGAATTTACATGAATGAATGGATTTTAAAAATCTGTGGATTTCCCCTTTTTAGAGTGTATGCAGGATCAGCTAATGTATCTGGCCTTAAAGGGGAAGTCCAAAAGGGGACATCAAACATGATATAATTGGTATTAATATGCACGCTGACATCATTAAAAGATCTGAAAAGGTGAAAGTCACTATGCTCTGATGGAAGATTACAGAAAAACAAGAATTTAGTTTTTAAATGACATGATATGATGAATCATGAGCACAAAAGTGAACTAACAAGGAAAGGAAAATATTTTTATACAGTTTATGTTGCTTTTCAAAGTACAGAGACAAAGTGTATAATATATATATATGATTCATCATATCATGTCATTTAAAAACATATACATATATATATATATATATATATATATATATATTAAACAGCTGGTCGGGTGTCACGATATTCATATAATCTGTAAACAGTTGCCAGGTCTTGTAAAACTTGATACTTTTATTCTTTAGGTGGTTATAAAAAAAAGTTAAGTTAGGTGGTGGATTGAGACAGAATCTATTGAAACAGATGAAAAAAAAAACAGATTTGAGTTTTATGGGTTGGGCATAAATTATCATAGGTTTAAATTATCATGAAAAAGATGCAGCATAATCAGGATCACTGAATCTGATTACCTGAACAAGCTTAGTTGAGCTCAGTTTTGGTTTTATTATTCAGGGCTTCACTAGATGGCGCCAACATTCTTTCAGACCCACAGCGCTGAGTCGTCTTCTCACAGTGGAAGGATGGACAGAAACACCTGTGGATGTTTTCAGATCTGATCAGCTTGATTTTCTCCTCTCTCTCAGAGATGAAAGCTTTAAGTGCTGTTTATCTGATGGGGGCAGTTTTGGGGTCGACCAGCTCTTCCAGGTGGTTGTTAGGAGCCACATTTTCTGTGGAGCTTTTAATCAGTTTTTGAACTCCAGTTTTGGAAACTCCTTTTTTTGCACTTCGACTTTCTCCTTCATTATGCAAATTAATTATTTTATATTTAATCCTCACAAATATCTCCAGAAAAATGAATAACTTGTACTTAAGGGCTGTTTTGAATGGAAATTAAATAATTGATGGCTGACTTTTGCGCAGTGGGCCCCACAGTCAATGATGTTAGCCAACACAGTTGAATGTAAAATTCCAATAAGAAGCCCAATCAGAAAGTGTTCATGTGAATCGACGTTAGCTTAGTGCTAACAAACTAATAGAGTCCAATAGGGATGCTAGCAGAAGTTAGCATTATCACTCAGGTGGGTTTTTTCCTCATGCTTTGACCGAGTTTTGACATTTATGGCCCAAACTGAAGGCCCAGTGCTAAGCATCACAGCTCACCACTGAGTTTGAGAGCACATTATGGAATATTTAAGGAGTAGAACCCGAGAGGAGTGTGTTATCACCAATAACATCACAGCTGTGATTTGGTCGCCGTAGATCATCTATTGTGTTCTATTGCTTTAATACAGCAGTTAAATAAATAAAGTAATAAATTAATAAACTGGGCCGTGAATATGTTTTAATATGTTTAATATGTTTTAATGTTCGCAGTTCCTTCACCAAATTATAGTTCCTTAACGATCAGCTCGTTGCTACGTCAGAGTAACGAGCTCCGCCCACTCGCTGCACAGCCAGGAGTTCGTTCTCCAGCTCCTTACACTAAATTCCCAAACTGTCATCACCACTGAGCAGCTTTTCAGTCGGCAGCTGTGACAGAAGAACAGCTAAACAACCTGGAATCAGCCAGAAATGAACCCAACACCATTCACCAAACGTGTAGTCTGATCTTCAGAGTCTGACCAAATCTGACTGAGCCATAAAACTGCTGCAATATCAGGTTCAGCTCAGTTTTGTCAGTTTTTGCCAGATCATTATTAATGTTGTTTCGTTCCAGCCAGTCTGTAAAGCATCTTACAGCCCATTTAGTTTGGCGAATGGTGTTGGGTTCATTTCTGGCTGATTCCAGGTTGTTCAGCTGTTCTTCTGTCTCAGCTGCCGACTGAAAAGCTGCTCAGTGGTGATGACAGTTTGGGAATTTAATGTCGTCTCATCTTCAGAGTCTGACCAAATCGGCTGTCGGTCAAATGTGATCTTAAAAGTGTCCATTTTCTGTTTGTGGCAAAGTAAGAAGTAAAAACGTTCAAATGTCTTGAGCGTCTCCTACAGCTGTCAAACTCGTTGCTTAGCAACAGCATCTCAGCGGAGTGATACAGTGTTTGTGAATAAACCCGTGATGTTATGGTGAAATAACAGCACAGTTAGAACACTTCTCAACCAATCAGCTCGCATGGCCGAAACTGACTGTTGTATAATACATAATATTACATAGTGTTAATATTACATCACTTTCTCTTTACCCAGAGAATTAAACTCACTCATGAACTTTCGAGGCCATCCTGATATAAAACTGTTTAGCTGTTCTGTTTTATTATTTTTTATTGTGGTGTCCAGTCATGATGACCGGAGTGCTGATTTCCACGACTCGCTGCAGCTCCATCATCTACAGCTCCTCTTCGACACCTTCTCCCAGCAGCTAACTATAACCGGCCACTCTCAGAGGAGGGTCAGAGCGTGTAACACCGGTCACTCTGCTGACACTCTGAGCCTGGAGCAGTTCCGCTCGGCTCTGACCACTGCGATCGGCGAGGAGTCCTGGAATGAGAAGATGGAGGAGCTGTTTAGAGAGGTAGCTGACTCAGCTATCTTAGTCCCACCCTTTCAGCCAACAGCAGTTTAGCCCCGCCCATTCAGCCTACAGCAGTTTAGCCCCACCCATTCAGCCTACAGCAGTTTAGCTCCACCCATTCAGCTACAGCAGTTTAGCCCCACCATTCAGCTACAGCAGTTAAGCTCCACCCATTCAGCCTACAGCAGTTTAGCCCCACCCATTCAGCTACAGCAGTTTAGCTCCACCATTCAGCCTACAGCAGTTTAGCCCCACCCATTCAGCCTACTGCAGTTTAGCCCCGCCCATTCAGCCTACAGCAGTTTAGCTCCACCCATTCAGCTGCAGCAGTTTAGCTCCACTATTCAGCCTACAGCAGTTTAGCCCCACCCATTCAGCCTACAGCAGTTTAGCCCCACCCATTCAGCCTACAGCAGTTTACCCCACCCATTCAGCCGTGAGGAGCAGCTAAAGTTTATTTTTCCTACCAGCAAATCAGAACAGGGCTACATCAGTCTTACAGGCAACAAAAACAGATACAAAGAGAAGTTGAAAAATGGTCGTACAAAACATCTCAAACGTCTCTAAACAGGCGTGTTCTTCTCATTCGTAGCTGGAGTCGTCCTGTGACGGCCATGTTGGGTGGCAGACGTTGTGCGACTGCGTTCTCCAGCAGCTCAAACAGAGTGAAGACACATCCGAGGCCGAACTCAGCAGCGTGAGCTCGGAACCAGTCATACGCCACTGTCGGCGTTACAAGGTCAGGCCTTCACAATCCTTACTATAATCATTATTCTTCATGACATATAATCATAAACCCGTTTCAACAGCAATTCCCAGTTATTCGCATTGTGGAAGTGAGTCAGCCACCCCCTCTGCGTTACATCACCGTCAGTAAAAGGGGAACTCTCACCATCTGGAACAGCCAGCTTCATGTCATAGAGTCACTGGAGGTAAGAAAGTAGGTTTAAACATTAAAAGGCACCATATAAATACAATGTATTATTATTATTATTATTGCTATTATTGTTATTAGTAGTAATAGTAGTAGTAGTGTAGCACATGTGCCCCGGTTTCACAACTGACTGGGGCCCCAAAATGGGCAGCTGCAGTGGGCCAAGTTTTCAGCCCATTGCTGGGATGGTCTCCCAACACTGAGGCCCACGTGTTCCCACCGTTTCACATTATATGCAGGCAACCAACACTTTAAACAGGCTCAGTGTGGGTTTGGTCACAGTGGAGCCGTTAACACTCGGTCAGTATATGTAAGTTACCTCTAAACACTATGGAGGACAAGGTCTGCTAATATGAAAAATAAATAAAATAATAAACAATAAAAAAAAACAAATGTATACATAAATTAATTTCAGTATTTATTTTTATTTTCATTGTTGTTCAAATGTTTTTCATTGTGCCTATGATAATGGGGGGTTACATACATTAAGAATTTATTTATTATTTTATTTATTTTCCATATTAGGACACGCACACACACACACACACACACACACACACACACACACACACACACACACACACACACTCTCACACAAAAGTCCTCTCCTTGACCTCTCCATGCACCATGCAGCACTTACATTCTGGCCCCTGTACACGTACCAGAATAAAACTGCTGCACCATTAAAGGTGGAAAATAAAATTTGAATTAGTAACTTAGCTGCAAGTGTAGAAAGCAGTAGACGGTAAAAACAGACACTAAAATATAAACAGAAATAAAGTCAGACGTTATCTTTTTATGGCTATAAACTACGTTTATCTTTTTCAGTTACAGTTTCTTTTTCATCAAATTCATTTTATGGCCTCGCTCAGTTTTTGTCAGCTAGCTAGCATTATCTATATTAGTGAGGTACCTGACCATCAAAGAATTCAGATATAGAACCGAATTCTTCCACTGTCAGGAACCTCACTAACATACCGTAACTGTTCTCACGAGTGTTGCGATGCAACAATGGCAGAGTAGAGCCCTGAGAACCCTTTGGTTCTGCAGAGGAAGAGAGATGTGGGAATGTAATACAGAACTGGGACTGTTAGAGCTCGGTCTTCAGTTCAGGCCTCAGATCTCAAAACTCAGCTAAAAACAAGGAAAAACTCCTCTGTAAAAGCGCAAATATCTTCTAGCGCCCCTATGAGATTATGGGCTGTAAAAACACTCTTTATTACTGATCCTGACTGATCTTGATTCAATATATTAGCAAAAACCTAACCTTTATTTGAAGTGCAATGAAAAAAACTAAATCTCATCATGAATTACATATTTTTCTCGTATCTATGTGTGCCACAATTGTCAGCACCCCTAGAAATTTGTTTACATCTCAGTGACTGAATTGTGCAGGCATTTTGAAAAATTGGTGAAATTTCTCTTTAATGGGACTCCTGGGCCTCTGGCTTTTCACACGGTTCTTTTAAGTTGTGTGAGAATGCTGGTGAAAAAGGAGGCTCAAGCAGGCAGTTCCGGAGCTGGATGACCGACGCTGTCTACATGCCCAACGTCCACAAGATCGCAGTGGCCTCCATGAGCCGGAACATTCACCTGGTTGACGTGTCCACCAGCACCTGTTTCGAGACGTTCCACTTGTCAGGTTTGCTGCCTTAACCAAATCTTAATTTACGGTCAAAGTACAAGTGATTCATTTTTCAGGAGATATTTGTGAGGAGATTAGATATAAGATAATCGACTTGAAGGAGACAGATGAAGTGAAAATAATTAGTTTCCAAAAACTGATCAAAAGCTGCAGAGAAAATGTGACTCCTAACAACCACCTGGAAGAGCTGGTCGACCCCAAAACTGCCCCCATCAGATAAACAGCACTTAAAGCTTTTATCTCTGAGAGAGAGGAGAAAATCAAGCTGCTTCAGATCTGAAAACATCCACAGGTGTTTCTGTCCATCCTTCCACTGTGAGAAGACGACTCAGCGCTGTGGGTCTGAAAGGATGTGTAGCTGATCAAGAAGAACCTCACTGAGAAAAGGAGACGGACACATCAAACAAAGAAGCTGAACGATGGACTGACCACCCCAGAGTCCAGACCTCGACACCACTGAATGTGTTTGATTACTTCAGAAAATCATCAACCAGCTTCTAAGACTGAACTTTGGAGGCGTGTCTGCAGATTCTTTGAGGAACTGAAAGTGAGTCTCCTGAAAAGAACGGAAGCTGGAATAAAGGTGAAGAGCGACACACTGACTCACACAGCTGATAGTAGATTTAGCTGTTGAGGCTTCTGTGAGATTTTCGGTTAAATTTGTTTTCTATATTTTTCTGATACTACTGTACGTAATGGTCATTTTGCCTGGAAATATTAAAAATAAAAGGTGGTCTCTGACTTTGGCACTGTGTTGGATGGTATGATGGGCATCGTCAGCACTTCTAGAACACTAAACAACTTCAGAAGGATGATTAAAAATGACAGATTTATACTAATTATAGAAAACCTGTAAACAACAACAACCAGCACACTGTAACTGCATAAACTGCCTAATAACAAGTAGCTGATTAGATAGCAACCTTCATCAGATAGTTCAGTTAGTTTATTTGTTGTCCTTCTGTTCCTTTTAAATAGTTCATTTGTGCAAATGTTTAATAAAAATCACAATTTTAACAAAAGGAAGCTTTGCTGTCTTGTCCTGAACTGTGATGTCATTTTTTTCCATTTCTTCCTGTGATTTTACAGGACTAAGTCATGTTGCAACCGCTCTTTGTTACTGGTACAATGTCGAGGTAGGTCAAGCGGCCGATGCTGGCCACGGTTGGAATGAGATTTGGTTTAATGCTCATAAACACTCCCCAGCAGTTTCTGCAAGCCTGTTATTGACTGACTCACCAAGAGCTGCCTTTGTTTTCCGGGCACTTAAACCCTCGTCCAGGCTCCAGGAGAGAGGTGCGCTCTGATGTGGGGGGATGAGAAAGGAGCTGTGAATTTGCTTTGGTTCCTGCAGCCTCACAAAGGCTTGTTTGAGACACCATTTTCCAACCAAAGTGGACCTCAGCAAGTGTTTTTGTCGGTAAGCACATCGGTCATCTGTTTGATGCATTGCAATAAAAACTCACCATCCGTTTATTAGAAACACCCGCCCTGTACTTCCAACTCACTGGCCACTTTATTAGAAACACCCACCTTGTACTTCCAACTCACTGGCCACTTTATTAGAAACACCCGCCCTGTACTTCCACTCACTGGCCACTTTATTAGAAACACCCACCTTGTACTTCCAACTCACTGGCCACTTATTAGAAACACCCACACTGTGCTTACACTCACTGGCCACTTTATCAGAAACACCCACCTTGTGCTTCCACTCACCGGCCACTTTATTAGAAACACCCACCCTGTACTTACACTCACTGGCCACTTTATTAGAAACACCTGCCCTGTACTTCCACTCACTGGCCACTTTATTAGAAACACCCACCTTGTGCTTACACTCACTGGCCACTTTATTAGAAACACCCACCTTGTGCTTACACTCACTGGCCACTTTATTAGAAACACCCACCCTGTACTTACACTCACTGGCCACTTTATTAGAAACACCCACCTTGTGCTTCCACTCACTGGCCACTTTATTAGAAACACCCACCTTGTGCTTCCACTCACTGGACACTTTATCTCCTTATATCAGGTTGCCTTTATTGCAAAACTAAGTCAGCATGTCCGCATAGTCTGTCATGGCATCCGCTCAAACTCCACTATAGCATCTGTGCTACAGTCTCTAAATGTACACCAATAAGCTGGACCTTCAAGGGAGGGGTTTCTAATAAAGTGGCCAGCATGTTTACATGCTTTGACCAACCTTCAAAAAACAGTGACAGGCAGTTCAAGCACAGCATCAATTGCATATCATTTTAAAATGCCTGAGTCATCAGATGACCGCTGTTTTGCCTCTGCACCCTTACAGGACCTCTGTGTTCAGACCTCACTGATCTCTTACCAGCAAAGCCCAAAGATCCACAGGGAAGCCATCAACAGAATCAGATATAACCCCCGAACTGATCTCATCGCTACGTCATCAGAGAGCAGTGCCAGCTCGGTGGTCATCATGGACGTGGATCAGAGGAGCGACAGTTACATTTGGAAAATTGAAAAGGTGAATATAGACTGAAGGGGACACATTTTGGTTGAAACACAGAAATATAGCCGTCTTATTTACAGTGAACCTACATGAGTCTTCTGAGTTTATATGGAGTGTTGATGATGGAAAATCTGAAATAATAAGTTTTCTTTGGGGACTATTTTGCCTCACAGCGCCCTGCATGTATCCCTCCACCATGAATGGAGTTTAAGTTCTCTAAACTATCATAAAACAGTGTCTCAGTCATCAGTCAGTGAATTCATAACCATTTCATGTAGGAACTTTCTGTGAGGGAGCTTTTAGAGGTGGACGTCTGGTTCCTATCACCACCACTGTGAACAGTTCTGACTCGGTAAGTTTCTCTAGAACGGAGTGTTTCACACCAAACCACTCTGCATGAATGGTTTACAGTTTAAGCATCTAACTATGGAGAAATTTTGGAGTTCCCCTTTAAACCACCCCTCTGCCCCGTGTGGAGGCCGTACTTTAGCCTGTCTGGCTCTCACTGTGAGCTGTTTATCAGCTTCTAAATGCTGCTATATTACACACCGAGAGGAGATTAACATAATATATGAGTGAATTCTGTACAGCTCACTAACCACAAACACTATCACAAACACTGATGATGGGAAAAGTTACTTTTACGGTATAAAAACAGTCTTTAGAGTGAATCTGGAGAAACATCTGTCTGACTGCTGTGAAAATTCACAGATGATGTTGCTATGGGAACACGAGAAGATGAACAAAGTGTGTTCTTCTGGAACCTATTTAACTACATAAAATATCGATGTTAGAGGCCAAGAAAAACACATTACAAAACACAAACACTGTTTATCTGGGTAATAAGTGCTTTTGCTTTTGAAATATTGCATAACATTAGAAAAAACGCAGTACAAATAAACAAATACAGTAAAAAAAAAATATATAAGGTCGTTGTGTGACGGTTGTGAGCTGGTTAGAAGAGCTTCAGCCGTGTTGTGGATTTGCTCAATTCTGTCATCTGTATTCTTGATTTAACTTAAAGAAGGATTGATTAGATCAGGGGTGTCAAACTCAGCCACTAAAAGGGCCATATTAAAAAATCTTAATGAATCTGTGAACTAAAAAGGTTTTTTCATTTTTTAAAACACATTTTGCTAAAACCTGAACTGGCCATTGTTTACTTAAAGCACATCAAAACATCAAAACATCAACATAAAAAAAAACATAAACGTGTGTGTGTATATATATAAATATATATATAAATATATATATATATAAATATATATATATATATATATATGCACATATGCACAGTCCTCCGTTTGATGCAATGCAGTATAAACTCACCATCCATTTACACCCACCCTGTACTTACACTCACTGGCCACTTTATTAGAAACACCCACCCTGTACTTACACTCACTGGCCACTTTATTAGAAACACCCACCATGTACTTACACTCACTGGCCACTTTATTAGAAACACCCACCCTGTACTTACACTCACTGGCCACTTTATTAGAAACACCCACCCTGCACTTACACTCACTGGCCACTTTATTAGTAACACCCACCCTGTACTTACACTCACTGGCCACTTTATTAGAAACACCCACACTGTACTTACACTCACTGGCCACTTTATTAGAAACACCCACCCTGTACTTACACTTGCTGGCCACTTTATTAGAAACACCCACCATGTACTTACACTCACTGACCACTTTATTAGAAACACCCACCCTGCACTTACACTCACTGGCCACTTTATTAGAAACACCCACCCTGTACTTACACTTACTGGCCACTTTATTAGAAACACCCACCCTGTACTTACACTCGCTGACCACTTTATTAGAAACACCCGCCCTGTACTAACAACTAACCAGAACCTGCTTAGACTGCGATTCATTTTCACAGTCAGTGACGTATCTAGAATGTCCTGAAATGGTTCTGTCACAAAAAGGCATGGTTGATTGGTTCCTCTGTCACTTCCTAATAATGTTGGTACTTAATCTAACATGTAAGGCCTTCAGTCCAGCTCCTGAAGTCCTAACCAATGGGAGAGCAGCTCTATCTTCCTAAATACCACAAAGAGAACAATCGTGACTGGATCATTTTCAATTGGTACATCATGAGTCAGAGCAGAGAAACTCTAAATCCTTGTGGTAGTAGTTACCTATTTTCCCAACTGCTCAGCCTTCTTGAAAGATCCATCATCACCATTAGCCTAAATACAGTGCTGTGCTATCACAAGTCACGACTAGCTAGCAAGCTAGAAGGCTAGAGAGCCGGACTGAGGGACGGCTACTAACTTTAGCCAGTTCTAGCCAGAGCCAACTATCTTACAAAGTAAACTATGCCTATATTTCTCAATTGCCCAAAGGGTGTGTGACCAATTGCATTTCATTTTCACACATTTGAAATTGGGATTGATGTGCTATTGACTACTTCAGCAACACCTTTCATTAGCCGCTCAACACTGATGACCACAGAGTGCTGAGTGTGTCTGTACCTGCTACTGAGAATCTTCCAGTAACTTTTGGACGAACCCAATACCGCAGGGAAAGGGAGTGTGAGACGTTCTGGGCTATGATCTACAACATAATTAGAAGAATAAATCTGACTCATAATATAAAATGATCATAGCTACATATTATAAAAAGTTATAGTAAAAAAAATGTGTAAAAAGTACAGATATTAAAAAGCTGGTGTGGCACGTGCCTCCCCAGCCTGTATGGGCATGACACCCCTGGGTGTAGTTCAACACCACTAGTGGACCTGTTCCAGAGATGGACGCCACTGAGGTTAGTATTCTGTTCATTCTTTAAACCTGCCCTCCTGGGCTGCGTTTTAAATCCTGTTATACAGTATTTATTATGGCTGCAGTAGCTTCCACTGGAAAAGTTCACAGACTGCTTCACTTGTGGATCAAAGTCCAGACTCAGTCCTCGTCCTTTAGCTGTGGAGAAGGGTTGTCACTTTAGCTTTGAAGCTAAATATGCACTCATGACTCAGATGGGTGGTGGTGTTTTCGATTTGCTATTGTGGTTTCCCAAAGGGTGTGTTTGGTTTCTAATAAAGTGCCTCACTTGAGTCGTTTAAATTGGAAATACGTTGAAAAAGACTATTAAACTGTTTTGCAATCCCTTATTTTTTAATATGGTAACAAGTTTGTCTAGACAGCCTAATTCCAGAAGTCAAAGTGGAGGTACAACAGCCCTTGAATTGGTAAGCTGTGAGAACGACTGTCTCGCCCATTACACAATTAAAAAGGAAGCTGTGCATTCTGAGGCACTTTAAAGCAGCAACTACTGACCTTTTTCTGACCAGGGCCAGGATTACCCACATTCACTTACATGCCACTTGTTCTTTTTAGGGAGTCCGGTGCTTTGACATAAGCTGGTCACTCGGTCTGCTGGTCACTGCGGGGCTGGACCCTGATCTAAGGATATGGGACCGTTATGTTACCTCTCGGCCTGTAGCTGTGCTACGTGGTCACAGAACAACAGTAGTGGACGTGGCCATCCACCAGGATCTGGGCAAGATCTTCAGCTATTCAAAGGATGCTGTGAGTACTGCTCCACCTTAAACAGCAAAAAAGTCAAACCCATTTTTTCCCTTACTGACACTTTCCAGTGACTTAGTGCCCAAAGGAAACAGACATGGCCCAAGAACAGAGCCCTGGGGAACCCCAATAGTAAGGCTGTGGAGCTGTATGTGTTATAAATGGTTTATAACTCTTAAAGTGATAGTTTGACCAATTTCCACAGTCTCTTGCCAACCCCTAACCCCAAATGTAGACATTTGTCGTTTGGCATTGGAAGTTTGCTTTTTTTAGTTTGGCATTTGAAGTTTGCTTTAGTTTCACGCCAGAGCTATGAAGCTAATGTAGCCTGCAATGAATGGCTGATTATAGGCATAGTGGAACAACTAACTTGTGAAGTGGACAAAAGTTTGGACAAAATTCAGGCTTTAGCCCTTTTTATAGATAACAGTGTGTCATACAGTGTTACAAAGCAAATTACCGAGTCTATTAGAGATTACTGAACAACTCCACATGGTTTAAGGAAAAAACATTTAGGCATGCAGTTAGCACCATGCTAACAGGTGCCTGTAAGCTTCCATTACGTGTTAGCTACATTAGCTTTTTAGCTCCAGTGCTAATCTAAAGAAGCAAACTTCGGATTAAGATCTTGGCTGATCGACTACATATGATTTAAGGGGGAAAATGGCTGAACTTAAATGAAGTCATTTACACCCACACAGTGGAAGTTTCCTTGTCCCTTATTGTAGCTGTATTGGGTAGAAGACTCAGCGACATCAAACTAGACATGCTGGCAGATTTTTCCCCAGAGCTGTAGCTCATTAACCACAGTGGATATATTGCACCTTCAACCCATACTGTGGCTCTTACTCCTCACAGCGCACACAGTTGTATTCAAAAGTTTCATTTTATTTCTGCACATTTTGATAAACAATTACTGTTTATTTACTAAATTAAAAACATTGGAGGGAAAAATGAAACATAAAATGTGCCATGTGATAAAGTTATGGTGCATTTTATGTTTTCTAGTTATCAAAACGAATAAATAGAACTATAAAAGTTGCATAGTTGTAATTCGACAGGGGTGTCAAGTTGTACATGCACAGTTGTCTAAATGCTCACAAAGTCCTCATATGTGTAAAATACTTGGTGAAATAAAATGATTGTTGTGAATGCTAAAATAATTCTACCTAAATTTTTACAGTGAGAAATTAGATTAATATGATCTACAACCTTTGCAAACACTCTTAGCAAAAAGGGTTCTGTATAATACAAAAAAGGGGTTCTTTGGCTTGTAACAATAGTGGAACCCTTTTTGGTGCTGTATAAAACCACCTACAACACATTCTCCAGCAAACTGAAGAACCCTTTCACGATGCAAAGAACCCTTCAATCATGTAAAAGGTCCTTTGAGTGTTCATGCCTCCATATAGAACCATTTTCTTTACTAAAGAACCCTTGAAGAACCATCTTTTTTGAGAGTGTAGAGGTGAGATGGAGAGGAGTTAGGAGATACATGCAGATAAGTTAGAGTTGGGTCCACATGCTCAAAGCATCTGAGAGTATGAGCATGGGGCATGCTTGGAGCAGTCGTGGGCTGGAGGTTAGGGAACCAGCCTTGTGACCGGAAAGGTCGCTGGTTTGATCCCCTGAGCCAACAGTATGTGACTGAAGTGCCCTTGAGCAAGACACCTAACCCCCAACTGCTCCCTGGCCGCTGTGGATAGGGCTGCCCACTGCTCCGGGCAAGTGTGCTCAAGGCCTCCTAGTGTGTGTTCACTAGTGTGTATGTGGTGTTCCGCTGCACGGGTTAAAATGCAGAGGTGAGATTTCCCTGTTGTGGGACTAATAAGGGTCACTTTTAATCTAATCTTAGTCTTAATGCAGTAGTGCCCACATCACTGTCTACTCCAGGCCTTTGATGGCCTCTGGCCTCTCCTTGCAGGTCCTGAAGATATGGGACATCTCCTCTGAGCGCTGTGTGAAGACCGTCCCGCTGAGGTTCCCCAACGTTCAGACTGGACGTATCCTCGAGCAGGGTAACTTCTCACTGCTGCTGAGCCTGGCTAGAGCTCCTGCACTGCTGCTCAGCTGCAGAGAGTACCTGGCCCTGCTGCGGCTGCAGAATGCAGCCTCCAACGGCGGGTCAGCGGCCCTCTCCTGCACCCTGTACAAACCTCACCTCAGACAGGTAGAGCTTTAGTTCCACATAAACCTGGACTGTGGAACGTCTCTGTTGTGTGGGGAAAGGATAATAACCCATATCCATTAAATGGCTTTTTAGTGTTTTTTCAGGTTAGCACTGTCCATATACTTGGACAAGATAATAATAGCTGGATAATATAAGTTTTAGGCTGTCTCTGTGGTATAGGGAAGAACAATCATCCATAATCTAAATATCTCAGTATAAAAGGCCGAATTATACAATCTCAAACCAGAAAGAACAGAAAACAAGGCAGAAATTCTCAGATCTCTCCAAGAATTAAAAGAATTCTGTATAATTCAGGATTTGAGATGTAATCAGAGAGATTCAGAGTGGTTTGGAATGAAATGGTTCAGATGTCTTTACAGTGGTGGTGATAGGAACCAGGGGTCGCCATGACGACAACACAAATATAGACATTTTATTTACTATCCAGAACCACCAGTGAACCTACACGAGTCTTCTGAGTTTATATGGAATGTTGATGATGGAAAATAGTGGAAAATCTGAAATAATAAGTTTTCTTTGGGGACTAAAACTTCGATACATCATTGTAAGGGGTTTCTCGTTGTCTGGCCGGAATGTCCTTTTAAGGGCTTTCTCCTGAAGGACTACAGCTTCACTAGGATTCAAACTCAAGATCTGTGGATGATCTTCCCTTTAACTGACAGTACTAAACTAATCAATTAATCAGTCAAATGTTATTGGTCATAAAGTGCCTTAAAACATAACTGACATTATATTTCAAATATATTTACTGTGGCTGTGGTAATTTGCTAATCTTTCTTCCATAGATTCTTTCTCACAATGAAATATCAGCTCCTAAAGGGAAACACTGACAGAGGGCTCGATCAGCTCCTTCGTTTGCTGTGTGAGGATGTTCAGAAATATTACTGGTAAAAACGTTTTTTATTGTATCATTTACTACTGTCTTAAAAAACTTACATTGTTCTTTGACTCATTATTAATTATTTGCTGCTACTTTGACTGATTTCCATTTGTACTGACTGATTCTGTTTATTTTAAGTTACATGGCTGACCTGGAAGACACTGGACGAATCAAGGGAATCAACACTGATGACTTCTTTTATGCTGTCAAGACTAAGGCCCAGTCCCATTTCACCCCTCACCCCTACCACTCAGCCCTACCCCTCCCTTTTGCACGTTCACGTCTAGGGGTAGGGTGTCCCGGTTCTTGTTGAGATAGAGGGGGAGGGTGAAGTGTTGGGGCCACACAACTCTCCAAACGGAGGTTTTTCAGAGACTCCAAACCGAGTGATATGAGAAAAAAAAGAAAAAAACCAGCGAGATGGAGAGCAAGAGACCAAAGAAACCCACAAATGTGAGAATTTTCTCCGTTAAAAATTACAATAATCACTGTATTATCTTAGTTTAATGTCGTTTCAATGTATTTTGGATAGTACTATGTAAAAGACGTTATAGGAGAAGACTAAGTGCTGTTTTTTCTATTTATTGGCAAAGGGAGGTTGTACAAAGTATTAAAAGCAGGGGTGCCAATAATTGTGGTAAATGCAGTTTTGTTAAAATAATTCTGGAGGAAAGATTTTTTCAATCTCAGAATAAATTTACTTCAATTAAAGGTTAAATTGTTCTAATTTTTTCAGTGTGAGAAAAAAAATCTACCAGAAGGTGAATTTCTGATAACCTTTCTTTACCAGGGGTGCCAATAATTGTGGGTAGGACTGTACACCTTTCATGTTTATGCAGGTCGTTTACAACAGTTTTGGGATGTTATGAATGTGTGCCAAAACAGATGTTGTGCTCATACGATTTCATCTCCAAAACATAAATATCTGAAAAGTTGCACTAACAATACTCCAATGTTGCTGAAAGCCCACTGATTCCAAAGTTCACTTCATTTGTAATTAAGACACATCCTCTTGATTTACAGTAAGATATTTTGCATAGATATTTGCTGAACAAGTAGAGCTAGAGCTGGGCGATATGGCCAAAAATGTTATCACGATAAAATATCAGTCGATATCGATACATATCGCGATAAATGTCAAATCGTTATGTCTTTCAAGTTTGAAGGCTGATTTTTGCTCCTGAGTGGTTAATTGTCGTGTTATACCATCCTTTATGGTCAGAACACGACAAACACTCACCAAACAGTGGAACATTTCACTAATCTGTCATAAAACTCAGATTTTCTCACTTTGATCAAAATGTGGTCCCGCATGTGGATGAACTCTTTAGAGTCTGACTCGTCTCAGCCCAGCCTCAGCTGAGTAACACCTCCATAAGAACAGTGTGAGATCTCATTGTTCTCTTATACAGCTCTGTTCTAGATCACAGAACCCTCTCAGCGGTCTGTCAGTGCAGAAGGAGAACTCACGCTTTTCTCCTTCATCACCAGAACGTCTCACAGTGAGATGCTGATGTTAATCTCCTCTTTTCTCCTGAGGGGAAAATAAAAGAATTCTCGCACTCGGTTACAGGAGAGCAGATCACCGATCGCTCCACTCAAACAGGGAATATATAAAACTCCACGTTTTAGACGTTGCCAAAGTATATTTGGCGACTCATACCATTGAACCATTGACCAACTGTGCTTGTCCTCAGATAAATTAGACATCCGCATTTAATTCATCCGTGCAGTGAAACACCAACATACACTCTAGTGAACACACACACTAGGGGGCAGTGAGCACACTTGCCTGGAGCTGTAGGCACCTCTATCCACAGCGCCCAGGGAGCAGTTGGGGGTTAGGTGTCTTGCTCAAGGGCACTTCAGTCATGTCCTGTCAGCTCAGGAGATCGAACCGGCAACCTTCCGGTCACAGGGCTTGTTCCCTAACCTACAGCCAACGACTCTCAGCAGAGTAGCGTCGCTTTCCTTGCAGTAGAGAACGCCACCAGGGCTGTCGCTAAACGTGGAAGTGTGAGAATGCTCTATTACATCAAACATTTATCGAACATTTCTTATATTTCTATTTATATCACAATAATTATTGTTATTGTTTTATCTCCCAGCCCTAAGTAGAGCATTTTTCTGAAAAAATAACTTGAAATGGTTAGATCATCAATTGTCCAATTCCAGTCCTGAAGGGCTGCAGCTCAAGCTTTGTTTTGTTTTCACTTCTCCAAAATGCATAATTTTAATCCTTAACCAATTAACAAATTGAATGTTGTTTATTAGACTGAGGAAAAACACAAAACACTGGCAAAGCTTACAAGGCTGGAATTGGAGAATGTTCAGTTAATGTATAAAATGCTCCTTTAATACTAAATTAAATAACCTTTTACTTTTGTTTATTATTTTATTTGCACCACTTGACTTGTTCGTCCTAGACACCATCTTGTGACAGATACCACAAATGCCTGATGTCTCTAAAGCACACGAGAAACATTTGCTGCATTGTTAGTCTTTTAACAGGGACCAGTCAGGAACTCTAAACACATACAGTGGATTCAGAAAGACTTCGGAGCCCTTTATGTGTTATGGATTTAATTATGAATGGACATTTTACCCATTAATCTACACTCAATCTCCCACAATGATGAACTGAAAACATGTTAGTAGTTTTTGAAAATAAATTAAAAAATCAAAATCTGAAATCCTTTATTCACAAAAGTATTCAGACCCTTCATTCAATACTTTGTAAAAGCCCCTTTGGCAGCTGTTACAGCTGCAAGTCTGCAAGTTGTCTCTACAGCGTCTCTGGACACCTGGATTTGGGCAGTTTGTCCCATTCTTTATGGCAGATCCTCTCAAGTGCCACACATTGGATGGTGAGCAACTGTGAGCTGCCATCTTCAGGTCTCTCCATAGATGTTTGATGGGGTTTAAATCTGGCCACTCAAGGACATTCAGACTTGCCCCGAAGCCACTCCAGCATTGTTTTGGCTGTATGCTTTGGGTCATTGTTGCATTGAAAGGCAAAGTATTGCCCTAGTCTGAGTTTCCGTGTGCTCTGGAGGAGGTGTTCTTCAAGGATGAAAAAAATCCTCAGTTCTTTCTCAATCCATGCCAGTCTCCCTGTCCCTGCTGCTGAGAAGCACCCCATAGTATGAAGCTGTCACCACCATGTTTCACTGTAGGGACGGTATTAGCAGGATGCTGTGCAGTATTTTTTTTGACAGACTTAGTCAAGTTAAGTTTATTTCTATAGCGCTTTTTACAGCAGGTGTTGTCACAAAGCAGCTTTACAGAAAAATCCAGGTCTGAGCCCCCATGAGCGTCGCCAGTGGCGACAGTGGCAAGGAAAAACTCCCTAAGAGCAAGAGGAAGAACCACTGAGAGGAACCAAGACTCAAAAGGGGAACCCATCCTCCTCTGGACCACACCGGATAGGAAACTTAGTGCTTGCTGTTTGTCCAAAGAGTTCAACTGTCATCTCAACAGAGCCGTCCTTGATATGCTGTACAGCAAACTCCAGGTGGGCTTCTTACGCCTTTTACTCAACAGTGGCTTCTGTCTTGCCACTCTGCCATGGAGGCCTGATTTATGCAGTGCTGCAGAGATGGCTGTCTGTGCAACAGGTTCTCCAATCTCGGCACAGGACTCCGTCTCACCTCACCCTTCTTGCCCAGATGCTGAATTTGGCAGGATGTCCAACTCTATGAAGGTTCAAAGTTGTGCCAAGCTTCTTACATTTACAGTGAAATGCTCATTCAGACAATGCTTAAGTAAGCATGATTTGTCTTAATAGTACAGTTCTCTTGCCCCAAGAGCATTTCTGTCCATGCAATATCCTAATAAGCAGCACTCCTGCCCCAAAAGCAGCTCTCCTCAATAGACCAACACTGTGTAGCAAGATATGAGCTAATGAGCTAGCTATATGGCTATGCTACTCAAACAGCTCACTCCCAAAAAATTAAGGCTGCTTAGCATGCTAATGCATACAAACAAACAGCTAACATCTCAACAGTGTTAACAAGTCAACACTATGGGATTTTTGACTGCCATTATAAATAGCAAATCTAGCTAAGCTCTCAAATGCAAGCTTGTTGGTCACACATCAGATTGAACTAGTTAGGCTATATCAGTCTGTAAATTGTGTTGGCAAACGAACATAATTCAAATTGCTGCTGACATTAGTGAAACTACTGTTAACTTTGAGGTTGAGTAGCTAACCCAGCTAGCCTAATAAAGGTGCACTCACTTGATTCAATATAGCTCAACAAGATAAACCCACATAATAAATAAATAAGAAATAAAAATTAAAAATGCTTACCTTTGCCGAAAGTTTATCCAAATTTCCCAGCCGCACAGCTGCAATTTCCCACTGCTGGGGATGTTTTTTTTTTCTTTTGGTCCCTCTGCCTCCTCAACAATTTGATTGGTTATCTCTCTAAACCAATCATTTTTCATTCGGACCTCAGATCACTATTGCAAAACTAAAGCAGAGAACTTGTAGAGAGGAGAATTTCCACTCTGCAATGTCTTCTGGGGTTTCTCAGACACTAGAGGGCGCTCCTGAGTGAGTCCAAAATGAATGGGCTGATTTGAGCAAAAGTCATAGTTTAGAAATGCTTAAACATTTTTAATGTAAAAGAATACATTTAGTTACTGAACACAGAGCAGCATAAAACATTTTAACACTGTTGTTATATTTTTAAGAGCTTTTAAACTCGAATTATATATTATTATATATATAATTATATATATTATATATTATTACATTCATGACGTCTGTGAGCATGAACAGCCAATGAGCTGCTCCGCTCACCAACCAATCAGCACTCAGTAGCAGTAGTGTTAGCGTCCTGCTGCCCCAAAACCTGTTTGCTGTATAAAAAAGGAAACATACAGGTGCGTTTTCTTTGCTTTTTTAGAAATCCATCCTTCTACTGTCTAGAACTAAAGGAAAGTTCTGGTTCAGTGATTAGAAACTATTTTAACTTTTTGTTTTTAGCCGTTGAGTTCCGTTCACTCCCATTCATTGAGGACTCGCTCATGGGTGCCCTCTGCTGTTTAGCTGTCCTGTTTTTTGATATAATGGGGGAAATAGGAAGCAGCCAGACTCCTCATAAACTGGCTCTGACTAAAACTCCCATCTGCGCTGGTCAGCTAGCATGACCATGCTGAATGACCAGCTAAACAAGCACCAGACCACCATAAACCAGCATAAACCAGCTTAGACCAGCGTGAAATGCATGCCGGTCAGTGCTGGTTCTTTCAGCAGGGCTGTAGGATGAGAGTAAATGTTAATGTCAGGTTTTTGGGCCTTTAACCCCTTAAATGGCCACGACGCACCAGCAGGTTCAGAGTTTAATGGCACACTTCAGAATAACTCAGCCAGTTTGCACTGAAGTCCCTGTAGTCACTGAGTAATAAGTCTTAGTATGTAATAAGCCTGGATTGATCCCAGACTGGACTTCCATGGCAACAGTGTTTTCTCAGTAAAGTTAATGATGGGAAAAGGTTTTGCTTTGTGTATAACACCATGCTGAGAGCGCTCCAGTGCATAAATCACATCGCTGTGTGTACTGAAGGTATGGAGCTCGCAGAACGGTCACCCTCTCCATAAACTGGAGGCTGTTTCTGACACAGAGGTCACAGGGGTCATCTGTCTCCATGACAACCAGCTTCTGTCTGTGGGCTGGTTATTCGGTACAGCGTTGCTGAATCACACGTGAGAACTTCCTGCACATGCATTTACACTCAGTCACACAAACCACAAATACTTCGCTCAGCGCTACCTTAAGAGGGAAAATGGTCCTCAGCCAGGACAAACACCAGCTCCACGCTTTTAGGTAATACCTTTCATAGCCCTCGGTCGGGGTCGGCTTTTGTGGTTCCACTTACAGACGTGCCTGACCAAAACGGTGGTGTTCATGGCCGATTTGACGTCGAACAGGAGCTGAGGCAGCAGAACTGGCCGTCACAGAGACTGATTGTGCCACATGCCTGCACAAAAGATTATACGCTCATCCAGCATTTCTTCTGTATCGATAGTGCGTTTGTCTCCCTTTGCCGCAGTAACAGCCTTTACTTTTCTGGGAAGGCTTTACACTAGATGATGGAACATTGCTGCGAGGAGGATTTGAATGCATTCACACAAGTGTTAAGGCCCAGTCACGGTTGGATTTGCCAGCAACTTTTTCTCAAGCTAAATTAGGTTCATTTTGTCGCAGAGTTTCAGGATGGATACATTTCCCATGCAGACAAAAACAGAAAGATACTGGTACATTTTCTTCTTGTTTTTGCAAATTATACACAAATTAAAAGAATGTCACAAAATCTGCTGTGTCTGATCCACTCGCACCAGCACGACACACACTAACACACCACCACCATGTCAGTGTTACTGCAGTGCTGAGAATGATCCACCACCCAAATACCTGCTCTGGGGGGTCCATGGGGGTCCTGACCACTGAAGAACAGGGTAAAAGGGGGCTAACAAAGTATCAGAGAAACAGATGGACTACAGTCTGTAACTGTAGAACTACAAAGTGCACCTATATAGTAAGTGGAGCTGATAAGATGGACAATGAGCGTGTATGTGTGTGTGTGTGTGTGTGTGTGTGTGTAGTGTAGGGTGTATCCCCCCATTGACAGGTTGCTGTTCCTGCAGAAGCGAGCTCGGGGCAGACAGTGGAGAACGAGGGCTGTTCTGCTGAGCTCTCAGGCGGGCAGTGTTTGCTGGGGGACGTCTGTGGGCCTCCACACAACCGCAGCACGCACACTCAGGCACACTCAGACGCCATAATGAGGGAGAGCAAATGACAGACAGCTCAACACCACAATTACGAGGAAGATAAATACCGTTCTACTCAGTGTTCCACGCCTCAGACTCACAGCCATAGAAACACAGACCATCCTACTGCTGCTGCCACGGGCTCCGAAACAGCAGCCAGTGTCACAGAGGGGTCTGCACACATATTCATTATGGAGCTCATTGTAATCCTCTAATGAACCCCCTGCGCCTGCTGCAAGCCTGGCTCACTCAGTGTTCACGCATTACATCAGCAAGGCTGATAATATTCATTCATCTCAAACAAAGAGTATCATCTCTTAAAGGGAAACTCCACCATTTTTTTTTCAGAATTTCTGCATAATTAAGTGGTTAAGATGTAAACAAAGAATGGTTTCAGAGCAACTTACAAGTCAGAATTGTTCACAGTGGTGGTGATAGGAACCAGACGTCCACCTCTAAAACAATACAATAGTTTTAGATGTAAGATTTTTTTAGATGTAAGATTTTAAATCCAGGGTACATTAAACTTATTCTGAGCACTATTTCAACCTTAATCAACATTCCATATAAATCTCAGAAGACGTGTAGGTTCACTGGTGGTTTCGGATAGTAAACAAAAAGGCTATTTTTGCGCTGTAGACATTACGTGGAGTTGTTCAGTGTCTCTAATAGACTTGATTATGTGGTTCCTGATGCTGTATGACTCACTGTTATCTAGAAACATGGACTAAACTATGTCACATAGCTAAAAACAGGAGCAGCAACCAGGGTTTAAGGAAGACCAATCATGTTGCAGCTTTGACTGAGGGCGTCACACACTGTAAAAATGAACGGATAATTCTTGCGCTCCCTTTGGGGTTCTTCAGCACTCCAAATGCCTAGAACCATTTAAGGAGCCCCCGGGAACCGAGGCCAGTTCTCTGATGAACTGAAGATAGCTATCCTAGAGATATAGCAGGGTGCTTGGTTCCAGTGAGATAGTTAACCTCTGTCTGCAGTGCCCCCTAGTGGCCATTCAGCCATCGTAATGGAAATTAAAATATACATGTATATTTCAAATTAATGTAATGACATAAAATATTTGTTCTCCATAATTCACACCAACAAGGATTCTGTCTTCACTCTGTGTGTGAGATGTTGAGCTGCTAGCGAGCAATGAGGGGTGGAAGGGGAGGGGTGAGGACCTCCCTGCTGTGAAAAACAATCCACATCTCGCTGCAAAGACGGCCGTGCTGAGATAAAACGGACAACTGCAGTTTTCTTTATATCAAACAATCCTACCAACACAATTAACACACTTTTGTAAATGCTGACTTGCTCGCTCATCTACAAAGACAAAGATTGCATTTTATAGCTATTGTGGAAAAAGAGGTTTCTTTAAGAGCTTGTTGACCTCCAGTGGTTCCTCCATAGCTCCACTATATTGGAAAGTTCTTTGAGGGACCTAAAATGTTTTTTAATTTTGAGAATCCTATTGAATATTTGAGGCATCTTATGTTTTTACAGTGCGCTTATTGCCTTCGGTGTGGTGTCCAATGGTGTGGAGAAAGATTTGTAGAAGTTGTGTGATCCGCAGTGATGCCACAGCCATCCACAGCCGCGAATCAGAGATCATAGCTGTCCTCTCTCTCTCTGGGTGGGTAGGGTGGTCCTCCCTCTCCCCCCATATCACATATTGCAATGCTAGCCAACTGTTTGTTAGCTTACGGAACCCGAATTAGCAGTTAGTGCTGTCCTCCAAAAATTAATGAAATAAAGAATAATTGACATATATGGACATTTCTGTAGCTTCTTAATAAAAGCCCTATTTTGAAAAAAATCTGAATTCATGTCTTTTTATGCTATTTTGAATAACAAAAACCTTGAACTGTTCATGTACAAGGACTTGATTTTCTCCTGTCCAGTTCAAGTCTACTGGAGATGAGAAAATCAGGTAACAATACAATAAATAAATAAATAAGAATTGACATACGTGGACCGTTCTGTAACTTTTTAATTAAAGCTATATTATGAAAAAATCTTTTTATGCTAGTTTGAGTGACAAAAAACTCAAAAAAGCTTAAAAACTATGGATATTGTTCTAAAATATTTTATGTGTGGAAGGTTTAAGTCTGCTGGCGACTCAAGTCCACTTAAATGAACTTTTAATGATACATGCAGTGATCTTACCTTTGATTCAGCTCTTATATTGATAAATTTGGTCGAGAAGAAATTGAGCTAACTAGCTAGTTGGCTTGGTACATGCATGGTAATAGGCTAACATGTGGCTTTGTGATTTAGCTACATTAGATTTTGTGAACTTAAGAAGCATTCTGCCATCTTCCAAACTTCCATTTTAACCTTGGTTGTGGTCATTCTAAGGCCTGAATTCTGTCAGTATTTTTGTCCATTTTATCAAATGTTTTAGTTGTTTTAGTGGGGGGAGGAAAGGAGGAACCAGGTGGCATAAAGTGACATGGTTTTTGGTCTTCTGTCTTAATACAGCGCAGTTCTGTGAACCACACGGAAACAATGAATGCGTGAAGGCCTTAGGTACAGATGATGACAACAGTTTACTCATCAATGGAGACACTTCAGGGTCCATCCAGGTGTGCGACATCTCTCAGTACAGCCAATCTAATGGACATGAGGTCAGCCACAGTAATATGTAGCACTATTACATATTTTGGTTGTTTTACCAACACTTGTCTTCTAATTGGTTTGATTTACGTGTATCTGGTCTTTCCCAAGCTTGTCAGTCAACAGCCCCCACTGAGAAATACCTGGAGAGCCCATGAGGGGGCGATAGTGAGCATGGAGGTTCTGGAGCAACTGTTCCTATTAGTAAAAGAAGTTCACACCACCCCTGCAAACTTAAATTACGTATTTCTGCAAATTTAATTGAAAAATTATTATTTATTTTTTATATAAATAAATAAAACATAAAATATGATGCATGCATAAGTTTGGGCACCCTTTCAGTCAGTAATCCTCAGCTGAAATCACAACCTGCAAATGTTTCTTGTAGCTAACAGTCTTTCTACTATTATTATTCTATTAATTTTATATTTCTTCTAGTCTTTCAGTGCTTTATTTAGGGTTTTTTTAAGGTTTTTTCCTGGCTGCCATACAATCACAAAGCATAATACATCCACCCCATGCTTAACAGTGGCACAGAGTTCCTTTCATCAGATGTTGTTCCTTTTTTCCCCTCAAACATACCTTTGCTGATTGTTGGCCATTTTTACTTCATCTGTCCACAGCACTTATTTCAAAAATGCCTCTGATGTTGTGCATACTTCAGACGCTTTTTGTGAGTTTTGTGATGAGGTCACAAGTAAGGTTACATTCTGATGGGCCTTCCATGTAGATGATCCAACACTGCTCAATGGGCTAGTGCATCGCTATTCCTGTGAGAGCCAAATCTTCCTGTAGGTCCTGAGCAGTGGTGTGGGTGTTTTGCTTTGCATTTTTGACCAGTTTATCAGCAGTTCTTTCAGAAAGTCTTCCAGATTGTGCCTTCAACAGCTCTCCTTGTTTCCTTAATGACATTCTGGACAGTGATAATCACAAGCAGAATGTGTTTAGCTGTCCTTTGGAATCTTCTTTTGCTTTGTAAGTGTTTGTTGCCTTTAGTTTTAGATCCTCAGTAAGCTGCTAGATGAGTCCACGGCTGTTGAGTGTAAGCACACCACTCTGAAAGATTTGAAGGGTGACATATACTCTGGAATTGTTTATACCTGACTTGGAATAATGCTGCATTCATGTTTGCAGTAGACGGATGACGGCAAACCAGATATTCCATTGTTTTCAACTGAGCCGAAACAGAAAATTTTCAACCGCAAGCAGCAGTGTTCCACAGCAGTGAGCAGAACGATCCACTGAGAGTTAACTTTTGCCACCAATTGCAGTGGTGGATTACACAACAACCTAGTATAACACAACAAAAATAAGAGTGCAGAGTGTCCTCCTGACGTTTTTGACCTTAAATAAACAATCTACACTGCTAAAGCTGTCCTCTGATAATGATTTTGGCTGGCACTGCGGTCACTGTGGCAACATTTGCGTGGCTTCATGCTGCTACAGGCCACGTATGGCTATGATGTTTTTTTAAAGTGAACATGTGAACACAGCCTAAGTCTTAATGACACAGATCAGACCCAAGACCCTCCAGAAAAACCCCAATATATTCCAATATATTTCCAATACACACTGGTCAGGCATAACATTCTGACCACCTCCTTGTTTCTACGCTCATTGTCCATTTTATCAGCTCCACTTACTATATAGGTGCACTTTGTAGTTCTACAGTTACAGACTGTAGTCCATCTGTTTCTCTGATACTTTGTTAGCCCCCTTTTACCCTGTTCTTCAGTGGTCAGGACCCCCATGGACCCTCACAGAGCAGGTACTATTTGAGTGGTGGATCATTCTCAGCACTGCAGTAACACTGACGTGGTGGTGGTGTGTTATTTTGTGTTGTGCTGGTCTGAGTGGATCAGACACAGCAGTGCTGCTGGAGTTTTTAAACACTGTGTCCACTCACTGTCCACTCTATTAGACACTCCTACCTTGTCGGTCCACCTTGTAGATGTAAAGTCAGGGACGATAGCTCATCTGCTGCTGCACAGTTTGTGTTGGTCATCCTCTAGTCCTTCATGAGTGGTCACAGGATGCTGCCCACAGGACGCTGTTGACTGGATATTTTTGGTTGGTGGACTATTCTCAGTCCAGCAGCGACAGTGAGGTGTTTAAACCGTGGTGGGTAACACCTCTGCCTTCTGCGCTGTAGACTGGGGTTCAATCCCCTGCCTGGGTAAACACCATATGCTATATGTCCTTGGGCAAGACTCCTAACACTACCTTCACCTACCTGTGTAAAATGATCGAATTGTAAGTCACTCTGGATAAGACTGTCTGCCAAATACTGTAAATGTAAAAACATTTCACTTTGTTCGGTGCTGATATTGTGTTAACTTCTTTTCACTTAGAAAATCAACAAAACATAACATTTGTCCAGGACTGCCTGAACTGTATGTAATATACTACTGTTCAGAATCACCTCTATTGGTCTCCTAAACATGAACATCACTTTCATCACAAACGGCTGCGTGATAGAAAATGGTTCTGCAGTTAAAACCACTGTCAGGACAGTTAGCTTTAGCCTGCAGTTAATGAGTCTGGGCAAGATGTGGCTCTAGCAGCGAAGAGGGTTTGTGGGACATATGATCGCTCTCCACAGTTGGCAGCACTGGTTTGGCAGTGTGTGCCGAGAGGCTATAACAAATAAATTCGGGAGAATGAATGTTGACGAAGGTCAGACATAACCGCTGTTAAACTAGGCCAGATGGGAGAGGCGCTTGGTCAGTGTAGCGGAAGAAGAATCGCCCACAGTAGTCATTAGCTTGCCTCCTGCCATATTGCTTTCTCTGGAACATTTCCAGAGGTCTTCAGAAGTCATAGAGTGACTGCAGAGAGGAATCGACTGTCTGTCATGACAGAGGTCCTGTAATTGTCTCCTGTGTCCACTTTGAAGGAATATTTCACCAACAAATGCTAAGATCACCCAGCTGCTAGGAAAGAAATAGTGGCAATCCGCGGGGTCCAAGCACTTTTTGCCAAGCAGACACTAATTGGCAATTTCTGTTGTAGCGCTCACTGTTGCAGGTTGTAAACAAATACACTACTTATACAAAAGCATCCAGGTAACCCTTCTACTGAGTGGATTCAGAAAGTAATCCCCACACATGAGCATGTCCAGTGCCAAGCGTGGGCTAGAGGGGTATAAAACCCCCAGCATTGGGCTGTGGAGCAGTGGAACTGTGTTCTCTGGAGTGATGGAGCTCCATCCAATACCTTTGGGATGAGCTGGAGTGATCCAGAACTGACCATCCAACATCAGTACCTGACCTCACTAATGCTCAATCAAACCCTCACAGCAATGTTCAACAACTAGTGTAGAGCCTTCTCAGAAGAGTAGAGGCTGTTACTGCAGCACAAACTGTTAATACCCTTCATAAGGGGTTCAGAAGAAATGCTGAAGCCTACAAAAGGGGAATTCTGAAAATATTGCATAATTTAATTATTAAGATGAATTAAGCAAAAGTCAGAGTGGTTTGGTGTGAAACGCTCCATTCTAGAGAAACTTACAGAGTCAGAACTGTTCACAGTGGTGGTGATAGGAACCAGACGTCCACCTCTAAAAGCTCCCTCACAGAAAGTTCCTACATGAAATGGTTATGAATTCACTGCCTGATGCTTAAGAATTTTAAAATAATTTGAGAGAAATTTGGGGCCTGAACTTGTTTTTTAAAAAATAGAAAATAGAAAAATATATATTTTTTTAGTTTATATATGGAAACTAAGGCCTTTTTGAATTCATTGTTTTTGTGATGTCACAAAAACCAACCCATATATGCATATATACACCAGGTAATTTAGCCCTGCCCATTCAAGGTGAAGTTATAAGGAGTGTTTTAGCCCAGACTGCTTTTTACTCTTTTTTTTTTTAATTTTTACCCAATTTTCTCCACAATTTAGTCGTCTCCAATTCCACCCGCTAGTTAGGACTCCCCTAATCACATGATGCCATCAACGCTAGGAGGGTGAAAGCTAACACAGGCTTCCTCCGAGTCCTGTGAAGCACTGCAGCAACTTTTTAAATATAATTTTATTTTTTTGCTTCTTAATTGCTGACGCTCAAAACCTGAGAATCAGGGACTGAAAAAGATCAGATCATCAGTTTCTGTGTTTAATTCGCCAACTACTCTGCACCATTTTTATTTATACAGCTCTATTAATATTTATATTGGCTATAATTTGAAAACATTTGATTCCTCAATTTTTGATTATCAAGATATTCTTTTCTCCACTTTTTGTTACAAAATGACATTACCGGCCCAGTATGAACCACTTCCTCCACCTGAGTGCAGGCCCGCGGACCACTAGAGGGTGCTTCATGGCCCACTGGTGGTCCGCAGCCCACGGTTTGAGAAACTCTGGCCTAAGGAGTCGGGAAATTCTCCTGTTCAAAGTGACTTTTTTGTTTTCCATTTTCATCATACTTCATTTTTACATGACCATTTTTCCCCCTGAGGTCAACTAATGATGCTTGTGTGGTTTTATTTGACATAAACAACATTAGAGTTTAGAAAATGGTCATGTAAAAATGAATTATGACTGATTTTGTTAAATAAAACCACACAAACATCATTAGCTGACCAAAGGTTGAAAGGTGGGGATAAAAATCGATGAAAATGTAGGACGTGTGAATATACAGGAGACCTGTTTGTTCTGCTGAAACCTACTCGTTATGCTGCAAGACCCTCTTGTTGTGTTTTCCACAAGTTAATATTCAACTTCACTTTGATGTTTTGACATTATATTGTGACATATGATGACATGAACCCTCAGTGTTCCAGTACTATGAACAGAAGATCTGTGTGCACTTAAGTTAATCATTCTTTATGGGACATTGTTTGTAGAGAGCTGACCAGTCCATCCCAAGGGGAAGAAAAGGACAGAACTGAAATCAACCAATCAGAGAGCATCAAAGACACATCTGCTCCTACTGGCTGGGCTCAAAGTCCAGGGGGAGTGGCCAGAGCAAAGAGGGGCCTCAGTGAAGATCATTGTCAACAAACAGGTTGGTTAGAACACAGGCAGACACAAAAACACCAGTTACTGCTCCCTCAGTGCGTTTTATCATCTCTGGCTGTCACCTTGTATCAGTGGTCACCAACCCTCCTCCTGGAGACCAGCTTTCCAGCAGAGTTTAGTTCCAACCTGCATCTAATGCTCCCTTATCCCTATTACCTAATGCTAATGCATCTGATCCAGCCAGTCAAAGGACTTCTGGAGAAGTTCATTAGCTGGAGCAGGTGTGGCTGACTGTGGCTTTGTTGACCACTATCCTATCCCCTTTCTTCTGTGTTATTTATTGTTTTTAGGTCCCATTATGATGCTGGTCATGAACTGGCTGCATTTTTTAGCTCAAATTGAGCTAAAATTGTCACTACTGAAACATACGGTAAAGTTCGGTAGTGTTGTGATTGTTTCGGTAGTGACTAAATGGAACATCCAATCATTAGTTTTAATAAAATAATCATAATTAAGGTTTAGAGTCACTCAGAGCAAAAGGACTTTAGTCTAAAGTCCAAGATCAGTTAAAAGTCCCAAATGTGTTTCAGCTCTGACTTATAATAAACAATCCATAAAGGGGTCCCTTTGTATTTATGGGAGGTCCAGGACCCTGACACCTCCCCTTCCACCTCATTCCGGACCCTTGGCAGAAAACAGAGAAAAAGGCTTTTTTAAATTAAGTGATTGATGAAGAATCCACAGTTTCAGAGGAAGTAATAAAGCGACCAGCTTTATTTTTTCACCTGCTGTATGGCGACGGCATCGCCATGGTGACGTGTCTGGTATTTGTTGTCTGTTTGTTGCCGTGCCTGGCTCAGCACGGTTTGGCTTAGCCGGAGCACCACACATGGGTCATCTCGGCTCGGTCTAAGCCTGAGGCCAGCGCTCGGGGCCTGACGAGACGTGAGAAATGAACGAGTGTATGACTGAGAGTGAGAGCATGTGTGAAAGAGTGTGGAGGCGTCAGCGGCTGCCAGCGTCGGCTACCGAGCCGTGTGATCATGGCAGGCTTGGGAGAGGGAGACATTGTTATGGCAACCGCATTACACAAGATGGGCTTTGGCCCGGGTTGCCAGCAATGGGATTGAAAGTCTTTAAAAAAAAAGGAGGAGATGAAAACAAGCAGCGTATGAAAATACCACCCGACTTTATTAGTCTTCAGAAGAAATGTTGGTTCTGTTTGTTTGGTTTGAAGTACTTAAAGCTATTAGAGGCTTTAAACAGCACGGTGGGATTTTTCTTCTCCACACATTTCCCACCAATTCTCAGTGAGATATACACTCCACAGTACTGTGCAGAAGTCAGAGACCCTTCATTCTTTGAGGAACTGAAAGTGAGTCTCCTGAAAAGAATGGAAGCTGGAATAAAGGTAAAGAGTGACACACTGAGTGTGTTTGCATGCAGTTAATAATCTGATAACTGCAGAAAATCAGATTTTGTCAGTAATCTGATCAAGTGCACTTGGGTAATCAGATAATGGGGCAAACAGAAGAAGACGTAAATGTTATTTTGTCAAGCATGTATTTGGTTTCTGCGTCTCTCCAAAAGTGTCTTGCTGTGTCTCGCGGCGACGCTGCTCGCTTATTTCCGGTTTATTTCCTGTTTACAACAATGCGCAGACTGAGAAATCCGAAGGAAATCAGAGTAAGAGTTTACATGCACTGAGAAATCTGATTACTGAGCTAAACTCCAGCCTCTTTATCAGATTTCTAGACCTTACTCTGGTCTAAAAAATCAGAATGTGCTGTTTACATGACCATTTGAATAATCAGATCACTGCAGAAGTCTGATCATGATCAGATTATTGAGTGGATGTAAACACATTCACTGAACACTCAAACATCTGACAGTAGATTTATCTGTTGAGATTTCTTGTGATCTCCTGTTAAATGTCTTTTTTCCGACAGTGAAAAATGAATAACTTGTACTTAATGTCTGGAAATGAAATGAATGACTTTTGCACAGTTCTGTATGTCCAGAAGTCTGTCCAGCGTCCATCTGTAATGAAGGTGTTAATAGTGAGTCTGTGCTGCAGTAACAGCCTCTACTCTTCTGGGAAGGCTTTACACTAGATGTTGAACATTGCTGTGAGGATTTGATTGAGCATTAGTGAGGTTAGGTACTGATGTTGGATGGTCAGTTCTGGGTCACTCCAACTCATCCCAAAGGTACTGGATGGAGCTCCATCACTCCAGAGAACACAGTTCCACTGCTCCACAGCCCAATGCTGGGGGGCTTTATACCCCTCTAGCCCATGCTTGCCATTGGGCATGGATCATGTGCAGCTGATCCAGAGTGTCCCATTCTATTGGTCTGTGCTTTCCTATGGAGATTATACAAGCTGTGTCAGTGATGGGTGACCTTAAGGTACACTCTTAAAACGGATGGTTCTTCAAGGGTTCTTTAGTAAAGAAAATGGTTATATAAAGAACCATGAATGCTCAAGGACCCCTTTGCATGATTAAAAAGTTCTTTGCATCATTAAAGCGTTCTTGAGAATGTGCTGTAGATGGTTCTATATAGAACCCTTTTGAAAAGGGTTTATACAGTGCCCAAAAGGGATTTTCTATTGTTATGATGTCAAGCTTGTAACAATAAAAGAACCTTTTTTTTTAAAAAAAAAAAAAGATTCTACGTAGAACCATCTGCAGTGCATTCTTAATCAATCTGAAGAACACTGTAAGGTCTTTTAAAGAACTAAAGAATCCATTCCTCCATTCTAGAAACACATGAGTGGAACAACATTCTAGAACAGTCTAAATCATGGAGAACAATGTGAATGCTGGATCCCACTGTAGAACAGTGTGAATGGGGGAGAACATTTTAGAACAGTCTGAATAAAGTAGGAGGACGCTCTAGAACATTGTGAATAAAGGAGAATGTTCTAGAAGATTTGCTTCTGTACTATGAATATGAGAAAAATCTTACTTTGACCTTTCAGATCGTAACGTAAGACAGAAAGAGAGGAATTTCTTCCAGTTAGGAAATCTGAACCTACTTGATTGAAGTCGCCAATCAATTTTCATGTCTGTTTCCTAGCAACCAACCATACACACACAGCTGAAACATAAACATGTAATTAAAATAATGTTAAAATGTAACTGTTGCTGTAAAAAAAACTCAAACAGAACTAAAGTGTGATAAACTGTAGGTTGTGAATACTGTGAGAGCGCCCCCTGCTGTTTATCAGAGCGTCGCCACTCCCCAGTTTCAGTCTCCATTTCCCAAACGCTTTAGCCGAGCGTGCTAACGTTACTCCTCCTAATAAACAGACATACGTTCAGCTCCGTCTCCTCATTATTCACCACCATCACTGTAATATTTCATCATCAACATTAACACACGAAGGTGATCAGAGGGGCGGTGGAGATCGAGTCTGCAGCGTCTGAGATCTTTAAAACGCAGAGTTAGAAAAGAAAATCATCTCACAGTGAAAGCAGCGTTTTACAGTAGAAATAAATGGAGTTCATTATGCTGGTAGTGAACTATGCTGCTGACACAGCTGCCTAAAAACCATAGAAACGGACCTTAAACAGAAGTGAGGACCCTGTTGGGGTTCATCCTAAAGTTAGGACAGGATTTAGGAGGTTTAGTCTAGTTAGGATGTTTGTGTGATGCTGTTTTCTTATCTGGAGTTCATGATGAGATGATGAAGTTAGGAGCTGTTATTCTGGAATAGCTACTGTCCCAAATTCAGTCGTCATGGAGACCAAACAGATCAGATTTTAGAGTTAAGAAGTTTCTGTAATGCGGCTCCTGCGAAGTTCAGAAAGGGGAAACCTGTTCTCAGGCTAGCTCATGGCTCTTACGGTTAGCTGCCTCTAGCTCTGCTACAACAGCCACCACTTTAGCAGAACCAAGCACCACCCTCCAAAATAAAAGTCTGATATGTGCTAGGAACAATAACCCAACACTACCATGAGGAAAACACCTCTTTTAGAACTAGCCGTACTCTGACATCACTGTATCAAACAGTCCTGTATAGATGAGATAATAAACAAACAGCATTAAATGCAATAAAATCAAATGTTTATTATCGGCAGAAATTGCATTTTATGACTGCTGTAAAAAAGAAATCCAGCCCTATCTGAAATAATTCAAATGAAGTGTTGAAATATTTAATAAAATGACAGCATTGATTCAACACTTTCTATATGATGCTGTACTGTAAGAAATATCTGTCCCTCAGAGTCTGGAGGACGTTTTTGACAAGGATTACCCATGAGGCCTCTTGCTGGGCTCAGTGTTAGTTGTAACCATTGTGTTTGCCCAGCAGAACTGCCCAGAGTGTCCCATCGATCCTAAACTCAGCAGCCGAAGAGGTAATTTTGTGCTTGTGTACAGACTGTGGCTGGCCTCATCTGTCCGAAGTGACCCTATGGTTGCCCACATGCCAATTACAGCCCACAATCCTACTCTCTAAGAACACAAAACGCACTGAAGGACCCCAGAGAAGAATGAAGAGACGAGAAAAACAACTTCTCCGTTCCAACTGCTTGTGTGGACACAACCAGTAGGCCTGATATGGAAAAACTGCTTGAAAAAAGATGAAGTATTCAGTCCCAGGGACATCATAAATCAATATTTAGCCTGAAAAACAAATATTTGCTACTTTTAGCTCTGAAGATGCAAACTTAAGTCCCCTTGACTACAAACTTAAGTCCTCTTGACTACATACGGCTTTCCCATAAGGCCAAGAAACAGTGGTCCCCATTCTGTGCCATATATCTATGTTTTACGTTCATATTCACCACAGACTCCAGCCCCAGGCAGCCGTGTCTGCTCCTCGTCCCTTGGCAGACTTCAGTTCAGACATTCCACTGCGTTTCAGCTGAACATGAGAGCGAGCCTATGTTTTGATTTATCAGTTGTTCTACCTATCCAGTGACGGAAGATTCTGGAAGGTCACAGGAGCGAATTAGTCCAGATAAAAACATGACGCTGGAATCTCAGGGCTGGCCGTGCTCTCGTCTGGGAATGTGGAAACTCCCATTTGGGGTGGAATGCATTTTTAAGGAACCCGCTTTTGGATGAGACCGAAAACGAAGGAAGTGGAATACGAAGGAAGGAGGCCGTAGTGGACATTGGGCACTCATCTGATGAATGCTTTCATCTGATTTGAGTGTTGTAGATTGTATAAGGCTATACAGCTACATTACATTCTGACCACCTCCTTGTTTCTACACTCATTGTCCATTTTATCAGCTCCACTTACTATATAGGTGCACTTTGTAGTTCTACAGTTACAGACTGTAGTCCATCTGTTTCTCTGCCCCCTTTTACCCTGTTCTTCAGTGGTCAGGACCCCCATGGACCCTCACAGAGCAGGTACTATTTGGGCGGTGGATCATTCTCAGCACTGCAGTGACACTGTTGTGGTGGTGGTGTGTTAGTGTGTGTTACGCTGGTACGAGTGGATCAGACACAGCAGTGCTTCTACAACCATCTTTTTTAAGTGTGCACTTAACTAGTTGTCTGTTTGTCTT